GCACAGGTACAAACACCCAGCCATGTAGGGCAAAGGGCAGGATTGTTCCCGATGTAATTTCACAAGGCTTAGAGAACCAATCAAACCCATAAGCCCTTCGAACATGACACTTTTTTATTTTTTCACCTGCGATATTTGGTGTAAATATGTTCCTGTAAATATGAATTAATAATTTTATCGAAAGGAAGGTAGGCTTGTTGAGACAGATTTTAAATGGAATGTTTTGAAAGAGTGTAGATGGGCTACAGTAAATAAATTTGTATCTTTAAATACCCACACCACAAAAGAAATCTGTAAAATAAGTGAATTTCCATTTACCTAATTGGGCTTTTCTATAATATTCCTTTAAAATAGTTAGTCTAGATTTGTTTTTTATTGAAATAACAGTATTTTTCCTGAGTATGGATTTTGGTGCCTATCCTATACTCTAATACGAGCAATGTTTGCTTGTATGTATGTATGTATGCTTGCACCAAGATCTCGAAAACGGCTCCGACGATTTTGTTCAAATGTTGTAAATAGCTTATTCCTGGCCTAAAAACGAGTTTACTGCAGTTAGAACTGCCAACAAAAATCTAATTTTGTAGAAAAATGAAACTGAAAGTCGAATTTTTTTAACATTAGTCTTATGGGTTGTTAAGTAACCATCTTGGCTGAATTAAAAAACAAGGAAAAAGTAAACAAAAGACTTGTAAGTTGCCAATCCACAGTATACTAGCAAAACAAAATACAGTACAAAAGGAAAAACATCAGTTGTTACTATTGAGCAAAGATTATACTGAAGATTACTCGATACATTGTAGTCAAGGGTAGCAGTGTGGAGTGTGGGATCTGTTTATGACGATTAGGTTACGGTATCTGCAATCCTTAAATGCTATGGGAAGGGAAGGAAACAGATCCGCGATGTAGGAAGTGATAAAGGAAGTAGTAAAGGCGAGCAGTCCGGAGTGTGGCAACTGTTTATGACGATTAGATTAAAGTATCTGCAATCCTTAAATGCTATGGGAAGGGAGGAAATAGGTCCGAGACGTAGGAAGTGGTGAAGGAAGTAGTAAAGGAAAGCAGTGTGGAGAGTTGGAACTGGAGACCTTTTGTAGCAGTTAGATTAATGTATCTGCAATACTGAAATGCTACGAGAAGGGTTGGAAACATGTCCACGACATAAGAAATGGTGAAAGAAGTAGTAAAGGCTAGCCGTGCGGAGTCTGTTGAATGTTTGTGGAAACTATATTAATTTATCTAAAATACTAAAATGCTATGGAAAGAGAAGAAAACAGGTCCACGACGTAGGAAGTAGTAAAGTTTAGCATCGCAGAGTGTGGGAACCGTGTGTGGCAGTTAGATTAATGTATCTTCCATCCTAAAATGCTATGAGAAGGGAAGGAAACAGGTCCATGACGTAGGAAATGGTGAATGAAGTAGTAAGGCCAGCAGTGCAGAGTGTGGGAACTGTCTGTGGCAATTATGTATCTGCAATTATAAAATGGTATAGGGAAGGAGGGCAAACAGACGTAGGGAGTGGTGAAGAAGGAAGTAGTAAAGGCGAGCAGTGTGGAGTTTGGGAATGGATATCTCTATCTGCAATACTAAACTGCTTTCAGAGTAAACTAATAATTTTCCCCGAGCAAAGCTCGGGCCCCAGGTACTGTTTGCTGGTACGGGGAAGGTATTAAAAAGTGTGTTTTTTTATTCTAATGTAACAGCTGATTATGAAGTTAACCAATTTGCTACTAAACAAGCAAAACTCGCTGCAACTATTTATTTATTCTCCATATAAATAACACAAAAATTAAAAATTTACCGTTTTTTTTTTTATTTTCCCCCACAACCTTTTGGGGTACAACAACGCTTCAATGGACTATATATTTTTTAGCTCTACATAGTTTAGAAAGTTGTTGGAAATTTTTATGTTTGAAGGGTAAAAAATTAGAAAACCAATGTTTACCCCCATGGAAAACATCCCCCATAACCCCCCCCCCCCCCATCATTCCCGTCCCATAGTTTGATCAAACTGGTTCGCTAACTCGTTCAAATAAATATAGGTTTACACGATTGTATCGAATTTCATCTAAATCGGACTTGTGATATTTACTCGAGTTTTTGTGATAATGAACACATAACAATTAATTTGAACGGATGGTGTGTAATATTTTCACCTGTATAAAACTTAAATTTCTAAACTAATTTTTTGTACTGTATTATATTAACTTTTCTTCTACAACAAATTTGCAATGCATTTTAAATGCATTTTCTACAAAAAATGCATTTAAACTCTAGGTGTATTTGGACAAATAAAAAAGTTTTTAAAGTATCATTGACGGTTTGAAGTATAAACAAAGGTATGAGCAAATTGTGACTAGAAAGAATTGAATAATAAAGTCCTTCTCAATTTACGTTGTTGGTTTTTTTGTTTTCTAGTATGGTTGTAGTTCTAGCCACAAGTAATAAAAGAGCTAACCTCAAAGTAATTTGTTATTCAAGGAGTATATGTTCAGTCGAGTGTACAATTTATCGATTCCCGGCAACAAAGCTATCAATTCTCCAGATTAAAGGAGGTAGTTTAATTAAATTCCGCCCATCTCAAAAGCAGCGTAAATTGTATTCAGTTCCGAGTACAGTAGGCCTACTAAATGAAAATTCATGGTTAAAGAAAGTTATATGACAAAGTAATATTTTAATTCTTTTATTTTTATTATTTTAGTTTTTATGAAAACAAACTTGCAAAAATTGCTTTGCAGTGGGAAATTGTTTTCATTTTGAGTATTACCTTTTGAATTACTTTACAAATTATTAACAATTCTCCAAGAAGTTAAGTTTTTTTTTCCAAGAAAAGGTAATTTAACGTCTGGTAGATTAGGACTTCAACATCAATAGGTCTGGGTTGATTTTACTGTAAATTAAAATACTATTCCTATTTTTCTCATCGTTTGTACACAAAAAAATCTTATTTTTTTTACAAAACAAGAGAAAAGACAAAAAGTAATGATAAGTAAAATAGCAAAATACCTGATTTAAGGTGCAAGCCAAAAAATTGCTATCCACCCATCTCGTCAACTTGTCAACTTCCACCCAGCTTATCCACTTATTTTAGGTGTTTCTCTAGCTCTCAAAACACAGGTACCCCCTGGTGCGACCCCCCATGGTGACCCATTTTGGGGGGAGACACTTGCCTTAAGCTGTTATGTACTGTTATGACAATTGAAAACATTATTTTTGTAAAACGAGAAGAACGAGATTCTTTTTCGTCATGATGTAATAAACACTTAAAATTCAGATGAACAAAGTACCGGTAATTTAAAAAAATAACAAAATCACATCTGTGTATTTATGTTTATATGTCGAATATAATGTAGGTACATAGAAGAGATACAGAAAAAAGTGCTTGATGTCTCAGGAAACCTACTTTTAAAGCAACAAGTAGGCCTAGTGTTGTGTATGATTATAGAATTGTTGACTAATAAATAATAGAAGTAAAGTATACATTCCAAACTGCTTGTTAAATTTGTTGTTAGTTTTAGAGTAAAATTTAATTTCGCAGTTGAATTGAACCCACTGGCAGCCAACTTTTTTTTAATTAGACACAACCTTTCCATATATACACCTATTTCAGTATAAAAAAGTAGTAAGTTAAAATTAATAAATGCTTCACAAGAACTAAGCAAATATTTAAGAGTTTGGAAATAAGATATGTAAACAAAATCAGTATTTTTAAAGACCGAGATGAAACAGTAAAATTCACATTTAATTAAAACCTGGTGAATATTCTGCAGCATCGAATTTCTCTCAATAATCAACATTGTTTCTCGATTGAATCAGTGAATCCCTCCTGCTGCGTAAAATGATTGGTGTGTGATATCTGGATTCGAAACACATTGCTTTAGAAATCGTATTTCAACAGCATATTTATTGTAGGCTTAAATGTCAATCAAAGTGTTCTATTCATATTTTAAAATATCTTTAAAATTGAAAACTATTGTTTTGTTATATCTATGAAAGGTTGTTTGAAAATGAATATGTGATATTAGTAACATATTGCAGTACCCATGTCTCAGTAAGCCTGCCAACAAAGCTAATTTTATTAAATTGTGTTTTATTAAACAATCAAAATAAATAACTGCGGAAAACCTTTTTTTATTTCACTAAACATTATTGCAGAAATCTATAGAACACCAACATGTTTTAATGAGAAGACAGTGTTAAATTTAAAGAACCTATATCAATTAATTGGCATTACGATTATTAACTTTTTATCAATTTTTAAGAACATTTTTGTGTACAATGTTCTTTCTTGAGTTGTCTTGAACTGATTAAATAAATATTTGTCCAAATGCTTAAAACCTATTAACATTTAACATTGTGTTTCAACCCTTTTTTGTTCCGGTTTTTGAACCCTTAAAAAAAAAATGAAAAAATATTAGCATCAAATTTTATTTTTTACTAAGGTGTTCAGGAATTTTCTTGATTTTAACCGCTATTGGATATCATTTTCAAATAGTAGTTGATGATGGTTCAGAAGAACCGAAACTAGTTACCAAAACAGCAACGTAAACCATTTTAAGTATTGGATATAAGTTTTTTAATATGTTATAAGATTCCGCCTTTGTTAACTACACAGTTTTGTTGTGTAACTTACTGTACTTTTGTAATTTATGGTTAATTTCAATAAAATTCAGAATACACTGTTTATGATTCTTTCTAAAAAGTGTTTCATAGTATTCAAAGAGTGCCCAATCCTTCCTGGAAACTGCCTTTCTTTGTATTATGATTATGTAATACAATACAGACTTTCATCAGTTTAGCTGGCTTGGATCTCCAATTACCCAGATTAACAAAGGTGTACAGCTCATATTGAAAGCATAGGTAGTCTTTTTTTTATCCACGGAGCCAAAATTACATTACTTCTTGTAACTAAAATACAAAGCCAATTTTGCTAAAAAAAAGTGTAATTTTTATACAATTTATCAAACTCAAAATGTTTAATTGTTTTATTTTTGTTTCAGAGATGCTGGTAGACCAAGTGACCATGGACCTCCAAAAACTTGAAAACCGGTAAGCACTTAAGTTGTACAACAAAAAGGTATAAATTTTAAACATAAGTTAAAAAACTGTATTGATCTAAATTATTTAAAGTAGGGTAGGCTAACATTTAGAAACAATTAAAGTCACAAATAATATTTATTTCAAATATTTTATAGCAAAGAAGAGTAAAGGAGGGTTAAATGATGAGATGAAAGCTTTATTTAGGATGAGAAACCGATCTAGTGAGTGATTAATTGACACAATGGTGGTTTTTTTATTTGGTCTAGAAGACGTGTGTTCAAATGCTGACAATGAATTAATTTTTGTTCTCTAGTATCACAACCCAGCACTATCATGAAATATGGTGCTTAGTTTTAAAGTGTTATGTTATAACTTTTCTAAACGCTTAAATTATGGTTTTGTACTTATTTTGTTATATTAATATAAGAAGTGTACATAATCAGTTTCCTATATTCTTTCAAACACTCATTTTATTTTGTCATTCAGGAAGTTGTCATTGATTGAATCTTAAGAAATATCTTAAATTGAGCAGAAAAACAAAAGATAGATCCTTCTACCAGTATTAGGTCAGCTAAGTCCAAGATAATACCTCTTAAGTCTTTGTGAAATCGATCTCATTCAGTTATCCTATTAACCTCTTAAGTTGGTTTGGTTTCTTCAAATAGCATAGGATATATTTCTTAATTTTACTTATGAAATTTTTGTCATTCATTATAGTAAAATGAATAATGTCACTTTCATAAATCATAAATTTAAATATATGCTTCATTTACATATAGCTGGGTGGCTAGAGTGCTAATCTGATCAAAAGGATGCTAGTTCAAACCTGAGACAACTTAAAACTTATAGCTGTTCGAGGATTGAAATTGGCAAATATGAGTGAAGGATGAGTGTAGAATGGAGTGTGGTAGTTTTGTCACTGACTAAGACCAGCTGTTTCATTAGTCAGGACAATTATTTATTAAGTCTTATATTCAGCCAAAAATACATACAGTTAGTTTGTGCCACTCAAAAATAACAATAGATCAAGTCAAGTCAGGTCAAAATTATTTATTCCATAAAATAAAAACAATATTACAATACATTGTAAGTAAAAGGAATTATACCCCCGAATAGACTATTGATCCATGTAATAGTAATAGTCCGTGTAATAATATCATCATGATGATTCAGTGAGTTATCGTCAAAAATAGTTTCCTCGTAATTCCTGCATGGAAAATATTCACAACAATTCCTTCAGAAGCAGTTAGTCAAATACTTGTATGATGATGAGTTGGTAGAATTCTTTTTTGTTGAAACTAACTGTATCTTTTAACCAAGTTGTGCTAATTAAAATACTTGAACTGGAATCTGAAAAGTTGTAGACAAAGCCAAAAGAGCGGCTCTCTTCTGCGGAATTCTCCGAGTTTCAAAGGCGCAGAGTTGGGGGTTGTTGTTGGGTGATTAATACGAGTTAAATAAACTTCTTGTGTTTATTGTAATTAGGTTGTAGATCAAGATTATCTGGATTTAATTTACTGTGTGAGATGATTAAGGTGAAGATGATTTTACTCACAATGAAAATTTTATAAGGATGATGTTTGGCTTGAAAGAGTTTTCACTGGTTTGGGAGTTGTAAACGTAGTAGAAGAGTTGTGACATTGTATTGATTCTTTAAAATCTAATTGAAAACATTAATCTTCAATATACATTAGCTAAATGAACAAAAAACTTAAACATAATTTGTAGAAACATTGGTCCTGTTGTTACAGACATTACCAGCTCTCTAGCCTAAGTTAGTCTGCTTCACGCAATTTATGGAGTCGAGCTAACCTCTCTTAACATGCCCCTCTGGTAGTGCCTGTAAAAGGCAATTACTATACTCCGTTCACAAAATTTAGGCTGTTTGAGGGGAAGTGATTCCTTCCCCTCCACCTCACCCTTAATTTGAAACTACACCTACAAGATAACCTAAGAAGTAAGTATTAACCTAGAAAACCTTCCCTTTATACCGCCTAAATTTTGTGAACGGACTATATCATCAGGGGTTCTCAACCTTTTTTTTGCTCCAGGCCCACTTCAGAATCGTGAATTTTTGTTCTCGCCCCCATCCCCCACCCACTATATTAAGCTCATAATATATCATATTTTACTGGGGCATTCTTATCTTATTATTGTGTGTAATAATTGATTTGAAATCCATTTATCAAAGACCACACTTCTTTTAGAGGAGTTCCATGCCACACCTACTTATGCTGTTTGTTGGTGATTGAGGTCTTGATTTTGCCTAGGCCATAACGGGAAAGAATATTTATTTATTCCAACGGTTTCTCCATTTTAATGTATTTGATTATATGTAAAGGATTGTGTAGGGTATAATGTGTGCTTCTAATAATGTTTGCAGTGTGGCCGAACTGGAGCGAACTCTCTCTGACAACTGCAATGTGCTTCCTCCCGTCATCCAAGAACTTAAAAGTGACGTGGAGAAGTTCCGGGAACGATTAGAAACCACCAAACATATCAGCTGGCTCAGTGAGTATTTTAAATTAACTTACCTAACAAAACATATCAGCTGGTTCCTAAACAAAAAAAAAAAACATACAGAGAAAATTATAATTAAAACCCCATTTTTCTAAGAGGAAAATATTTCACAGCATAAATTTAAGGTTTGAGGATTGACAAAGAATTTCATCGATTTAAAAGATTAAAATATATAAGTTTTATTAGCCACTTGTACTATGGTGTTATAATGAACGAATAAATAAAATAATGTAACATTACCACATAGAGGTGTACAGAAGAAATTTGCTCGTGGGACGATCGTGCCAGCACGTACATGCTATGGCCAATATTCTTGTTAACAAGTAGGATAGGCGACAAATGTTGGACTTTGCTCTAGACACCATCTACTATTGCTAGACACCACTTAGATGCAACATTGAATGATTCCTCTGTGCCTTACTTCTCTGCACTTTAGCCTTTAAATGAGAAAACAAAATTTCGACGTCAGCATTATAACATGTTATCAACACGAACACTCGCAAAAAAAAAACAGGATCACACTTCAAAGGTGACAATAGGATGATATAGTATATTTCGTACCTAGGGCCGAAAATGAGGTATTGCCGGCTCGAGATAGTTTTTAAGTTCGAGACGAAGTCGAGAACTTAAATCGATCGAGAGCTGCAAAACCATTTCGGTCCGTGGTACGAACGCTATTTTTCACCACACTATACCATATTACCACTATTCACCACTATAATAATGCACCCTGATAGTCAACACAGCTACAACTTTAAGGTTATGTGAAGAAATAATTTGAGGAATCAGCAAAAATAAAAATAAATAGTTGCTAGGCAACGGTGACAATAACACAATTCTATTGAAATGCTATAGATGTTGATTGTGTATTTAAAATGCATTCATGTTTTAAGTAAGTAAGCGGACAGCTGATTTTGCGGCCCCGGCCTGTAAAAACCTGCTCGGTCCCCAAATTACGATGACAGCTGGCATAGCCAGCAAAACGTAACTTTCAGCCACCAATTAACGTATGTAATACAGCCAAAAACATTATAGTGTGGTGAAAAGAATTTTTTGTGCTATTCAATGTCAAAGCTTTTCGAATGATAGTTTTCATTACTGAAGTTAAAAGGTACAAGCCACAAACAATTCCTACAGAGCTCTAAAAAATTGCTCAACTCATGGATTTTGAATTCCCTTTACCTATTAACAATTTTTGACTAAATTTTCCTTTGAACCGGTGGAATATTAAAATGTGTCACACAGAGGGAAGCACCCGTGACACGATGGCAGTTGTTAGTTGTCAATGCGCTGACAGATAGACAGACGCGAGTAATTCAGTTTGATAGACCAATTCGGTCTGATCCCTTCACTAAAATCCTCTTTGCAGCATTTTCCATTTCCAGCGTTGCTAAAGCCGTAATCCCTTGTTTTAAAAAACACTTTAATTCCGTGTATTCCTGTAAATAATAGGGTTGTAACAAAATAAATCACTTTTGATTAATTGCAGTTTTACATTGTGTACATAGCTTAGAATATTAGTTGATGTGTTGGAAATTCTACACCGAGCATTAGATTGCTTTGAGTGGTATTTTATTGTAAAACAATTTGAGAGATAGGATATTGTAAAAAGGGACAGAAAAAAACAGTTGTTTGTAGTGAGGGAAGTAAAAAAGTCTAAAGAAAACAAAGAATTTGTCATTATTCCATACAGAAAGTAGCTATAGTTTCAATGACATATAATATGTAAGAAAATAATTATTTCCCAAGCTATAATTAAAAATCAGCTGATTTTCCCTTTGCTCTAAATCTACTTTCCCTTGCTCTAAGCTATCTGCCCACTTCAAACTAGTTTTTCCTTAAAATTTACTTTTATCATTTAAAACAGCTGTTTTCATTGTTGAACGATCTAACTGCAACCATGAATAGGAATAACTGTTTTGTGATGAAAAGTGGTAGGGTATCGTTCATAGCTTATGCCAAATCTAATATCCAAACCAAATCCCCGACTTCGCCTCGTCCGTGAAATTTGGTTTTTTTTCCGATTTGCCTCGCACATGAAACTTGAGTGTGCGCCGTAAAATGCCACTTTCGTGCAATGAAATACTATTCATAATACAGTTGGAATTCAATAGCAAGTTTTTCAAAGGAATTATCAAATAAGACTTATCAAGGTTTACAATAGCTTGTGATTGAGGTTAGTACAACTAAGAAGTTTGTAAAATGACACTTGTTATCAAGGGTGACTTGCTATTGTGTTATTGAGGTTCTAAAATAGCTTTTTCACGTTCAATGAGGTGTTCATTCAACTTAATTCGGTTTTATTTAGAAACTGGTACATCTGAACCATATTGATAAGGTATCTACTTCAGTACCCATCGCTAATAGTTCAATTCAGCTCCAGTTACAAATTATTTAGTGACACTCGTTCAAACACAAGTCTGAAATACATATTTGATATATTATAAACAAAATATCAATTTCAAATGTTTAAAAGGCTATTTATGGTGTAGCAATAATACCAGATTAAAACAATTATTGTAATGCTCATCCGAGTGGATTCTCTCATCACAATATTCTAACTAATCAATTGCTCTTGCCTATTAATGGTACGAATACAGATTAAATTCCATTCTATGTTAATTAATTTATCAAATATACATTTTCTACTTTGGTTTTGATGTAAACCTTCCAATATTTTGAAATTATTTATGTTTCAATACCGTATTGGTGTCATAGGTTTTTGAAATAATTAATTACGCAGGTTATAATGTTGTAGACCTACTGTAATTTCTCAAGCTGTTTTTATGACACAACATTCATGAAAACCAAAATATTAGTGGTCAGTTTAAAATTAATATTATGTTATAGGATTGGTCTTTTTTCAAACCTTTACTAGGTCTTAAGATAAAACACAGTTTCGAATATAGAAACTATTTTTAAGATTTATCGGTAATGCAATACACTAGGACTGATGAAGCATTGATGACAATGATGAAATTAAATTGATTGATCCACAATCTATTCATAATACGTTTACTACACAAACTTCCAATTTGTTCAATCCCTAAAACAAGTCCCCTCAAACACAATCGGAAAATGAAAAAATTAAAATTTTATTTGTCTCTGCAGGGAGCAAGGAGTGACACGGTTTGACGTTCCTCTTTTGACATCACTTGTCATAATCGGTTTTGCGCTCCCGACATATGTCAGTGAACTTATAACTTTATTAGAAGTTGCGCCAACATTTCATTGTCCCATTATTGACTGATCTTCAACAATAGATCCGTTTGTGGCTTCTTTCAACGTAACTCATATTTCATTTATTTACTTTTTGCAAAAACTTGAAAGGATTCAAGTGAATACACTTTCATTAAATAATGATCCACATAGTTGTTGATGTATTGCGATATGGAAAAATTACTCGTATATTGCCTTCTTTTGATTGTGAAAGCTGTATGATCATAATTTATTAAAACTATAAGACCCTTTGATACTATCTAAATATAAATAAAAAATATTTAAATTTACTTTAGAAGACTCTGAGTTGTTAAAATATTATTTCCATTACCCCGTACAGGTCCGCCCAAGGGTTTTAGACGCCTGGGGTGGGATTTAAGTCTTCCTGTCACCCTATTACCTAATCGACTACCGATTCTTCGATTTTATTAGTAGCTATCAGGATTAGTATAAATGAATACCTAAGTAGAAAAAGACTTATTAGATTTTTTATAGTTGTAAAAAGGCTATGATTCATAAGGTCAATGCTGTTTTTTATTTGCTAGTATTACACTTAGATTTGTTATTTTACACTTGCAGGTTGCTACAAAGATCTTCCACCGACCAACCGCAGGCTGCAGTATCGAAGGCAGAGTGATGCACGGCAACGACAAGTACGGGAAAAATTTCTAAAAATTTGGTAAGCATTTGTATCTAGAATAGAAATAAGTCTTCTACAGTCGCACTTAACACTTTCATAGCATTCAGGGTGGAACCGTTCCCACACTCTCATTGTGTATGGCTATCTTTATAGCTCAGTAACAGAACACTATATTAGTTACTAGTAGGTTATTTGTTTATTGATGGGATGGACAACTCTTTCCCATGGTAAACCTTTAACTTAAAATCAAAATCAACATAGTTAACTAAGTTACTTTCCTTTTTGTACAATTTTAATTATTAACTTTAAACATAGCGACAGAGTGTGTTGATGAACTGCTTATTTATGTTGAATACACCAACATTGTCAACCAACCCCAACTGAAATTTGAAATCACTACTCATCATAGTGCACAGTATTATAGTATCTTTCATGTTGATCAATCATCTTAGTAAACAAAATACTAAGGGAGAAAATATAATTTTTTTATCATACTGTCCGGAAAGCAGCCGTTTTTAGTTCTCGATCAATCGTCAGCAAAATCATCGTTTTCAGGTAACTTCAAATAGAGTACAGAAAAAACGTTAGTAAATTTGTTGGTTAGCTAACCTCAAAATTGTATCAGTGCGCTAATCACAATAGAGATGAATGGATTATAACGATTTTTGAAGTTATGTTTGTAAACAACAGAAATGTAAACATAGACTACATCTTAGTATAACCTTTTGAGGTCCACGTTTAAAGTCATATAATTTGTTATGTGGTCTAATTTTGAAACGATTAGAAGGTTATTTCCACAGTATGATGAAAATAGTTGTTCATCACACGGAGCAAAAGTGTCTTTTTGGTACTTATTGTATTTCCAAGCTCGGTTGTGCTTCGCTTATAAAACGCAATTGCGTACCAAAAAAAGCCACTTTCGCTCCTAATGATGAAAACTACTATTATAGTAGCTCACTCTAATAAGGGGTCCATTTAACTATGTTTTAAAGAATTGGTTATAGTTCAGATGCCTACTTCAGCTAGTATTCAAAAGTTAACATTATTACCTTTCCGAATATATTTTATGTGAAATATTTTTTCAGTGTTTGTTGGATATATGTTGGAAACCAAGAAATCAAATGATCAGATCCTATTTATGTATTTTTCTGTTTGTTAGAAAAGTGTTTTTTCTTTTGTATTGAAGTCATATTAAAAAAATAGTACATCTAATTTAAAATGTTCAATATTCAAGTAACAGTCAACACCGAATCTAATATCATAAACTCATGGTTAATATATCTCTTTACCACAAATTTCCTCGCACACTTTACGTAATTTCACTGAGCATTCTTTGAGACCTGTGCTCCAAGAAACTTAACAATTCAAGTCCCGAGTACACTGATAATGCTTCTCGGAAACCTTACAAAATACAACTTTGTGTCCCTAAGAAGTCCAAGAACTCTGCAGCTTTGATCTAGAAGATGAAAGGTCACATTGGGTAAACAGGTAGTTGAAATAATCTGCTTCTAAATTTGTAGAATTGATATTGATACTGAAAGTAAACTATACACAATTTTGTTAAGGTAATTGTATAGCTATGAATCAATTTAACTCTAAGAAATCCACAATCAATCATCAAATGTCTACAATCAATGATAATAGTATTCTTGAGCTGTAAAAACCTCCTTTCTCATTAAGCTCGCATTTTAATCTTGTTGCAAATACCTAGTCTACAGTAAATTTAATTTTTTTTATATTTCAACTAAATTTAAAACATAAATTTTTTTTGTATATTCTGCCAAATTTTTGGCGTTTTGAGAATATTTATTTTAGCTAGTATTAGAAATGAGCAATTTGGACAAATTGGTTTTCTAAGAATAAGGAAATACAAGTAAAATATTAAATTATTATTTCTTTATTGAACATAAGCAACAACCTCTAAACCATATTAAGATGTTTCCAAAATAGGAAGTCGTGTTTACAAGTTACCCTGTGAGCAGATTTCCAATATAAGCTTTGTCAACAGGACGAACAATGCAAAGGCTTACGGCTGTTGCTTGTCAAAATATATGCTTACGGCAAGATCTTGTCACGAATATGTAGAGGAAGCTTAGACATGTAACACAAATGAGAAACAGGACTAGATAAAATGAGGGTTCAAGAATCAAAGCTGATGTTATCAGTTTTACCATACACTGGATTTTTATCCCGAAAACACGATTTTCAGACCATGCGTGTGGGGTCAATATCATCATTACGTCCTCATCTCAATTGATTATGATAATAATAATGAAGAAAATATATGGCATTATTAAATATGTCCAGTAGCGTTTGAAAAGAGTCCAATTAAAGAACAGTTGACTATGTATTAATTTTTTATTATTTTTTTTATTATTATTTGCATGGTTCTTATAAATTAGCAACCTCATAAGTCCATTATTACGAGAACATAGAATTTTGTTTAGCAAATAATTATGAAACTGTTGAACGCTTATGACGGAACTTGACTCAATCAAGAGTTTGATTGCAGAAGCGAAGTAATTGAAGATTTCATAGCGAGAACAAACTTCAGCGCAATCCATATTCAAGTGTTGTCCCGAGAACTTTGTCGTCAAATATTCACTCTGATCATTCGCTTAATGATCTGTCGGCAGTCTGTATTGATTGATAGACTTATATGTTTTTGTTTGATAAGTCAGTGAAGTATTGTTATTAATTAAAACATTGTTACTGTATTTTCAGTGTTCAACAAATTCCTTTTTAAAAGAATTTAGATATACAGGTACAGCATTTATATAGTTGTAGCAGTGCTTTTAAAAAGGAACTAAGTAGCTTATTTACAACTACCATTTTTGAAAAGATTTTTTAAAGTATTTCTAATGTAGTTTTTGCAATTGAAATCTCACCGAGGTTGTTTTACATTTGTTGGAATGTAATGGAGTAAATTTAAAGTCCAACACTGCACTTGTTGCCTTCATGTACTACAACGCTCACGGTGTAAGAAGGCCCTGTGCTCTGTGCGATAGGAATTTGCTCACAGTGCTCGCCGCTTGGGCTTTTCCTTGCTCCTTAAAAGTATATTCCTGACACAGCATAGATGAAAGCGCACGGTTGTCCCATGAACGAGTTTCCTTTGTACCCTACTTCTCTGTGGCTATACGCAACATAACCTGAAATAACCTATCCTCAACTGGTTTAACCTTTCCTTAATACTGTTAATACTGTTCTATGAAATGGCGACCATACAAAGTAGGTATTTTAAGCCAAGTATGAATGGAGATGAGTGTAGGATGAGTGGCGTGATCTTGTAGTCTTGTTAGTGACTAAGGCCGACATTCCTTAGATACAGCTGTTAATTAATAGCCCATACAGCTAATGGCAACTAAGGGACCTACAGTTTATAGTGGAATCCGAACCACATTTTTGCCTTGGTAATTACGAATTGGTCTAATTATCAGGATAGTACTGCGGATAGTCTTAGTACTCACCCGTGTTAATCCACACTGGGGAGTATCGCATCCACAGTGCATGCCTATAAATATCCACAATTCGTGACCTCCTAGTACCTGGATTACAGGACGACGCCACCCGTCCCAGTCTAACCTTATCTAAGCGCAGATCATCCCACACCTTTCTATACTCATCCTTCACTCATATTTGGGTTTAAATACGTACCTAGGCCACCTCAATGATTGATAATCAATAATAATTATTGATAATCTTGATTCTTGTCTACAGTGAAGAAAGCATCAGCGAGGAGGTCCGCCAGTGTCTCCGTCTTCCGTCCTTCGACTGCTGCGACTGGCAAGACGAGGAGATCATGCTGCTTCTACAGTTCATGTTCCTCGACTTTGACTTCCCTGCTAAGTTCAACATTGACATGAACACACTCCGCAATTTTCTATTCCAAGTGTATAAAAATTACAACGAGGTCCCCTTCCACAACTTCAGGCATTGTTTCTGCGTCTCACAAATGGTAAGTTTTAGACATTTATCTCATATTTTATACTTATAGATTTGATATTCAAAAATAGTTTTTGTTTACAATTTTGTTGCTTTATTTAAAGGTGGCGTCCCCATCTGAAATTTATATTAATATGTTAATCATAAAAGAAAAGTTAATTTTGAATGATTTTTGTTGGACATGGTAGATTTGTATATACTGTACAACTCAAATCACTTGCTAACTCTAATTGCTATAGTCTTGGTTTCTTCCCCCGAAGGATATGACATTATTGAACAAGTTTCAAAAAATTGTGTGCAATAAGCCGTTCTAGCTGCAATGCAATCCCATGGTCTACTTATAGGCCTAAGCCCCGCCCTCTATTATAAAAAAACTAGCATCTCTAAATGAGTCCAATATCAATATAAATTCATAAATAAGACAAGCTTCCCTTTTAAAGTCTTAATATATAAAGATCGTAGCCTTAAATAGCTTCCATCACATAATTTGTGTCAATTACGATGTTGTGTGGAAGGAATGAGGGAAATGCTCCTAATAGCACTGAAAGTCACACCACTAGACACTAGTGATAAATTAATCCAACAGAGATTAATATTGCTAAGATAACTATGTATAAAATAACTAAAGCGATCTAATCAACACAATCTATACCATTTATAGTTTACTACTATTCTACAGGGGCGATGAATAGATCCCCTTCTATTCCTGATGATTGAATCAAGTTAATTGAGATAGATAAGACCATATTACAGCTATGAACATCAGGTTGGGGTTCAAAGGGGTAATTCTCCATGAATCCATTAGGAGAAAGGCTCAAAGTTACTGGGAACAGCTCTTAGATCTTAGTATCTGATCTATATGCAAGCTTATAGTGGCAAACACTAATTTCAAAACTATATGGAAAAAACTGCTACAGTTAGTTAATTGTTACCGCTATATAGGCACAAAAATTATCAAAATTAACTTTCTATTAGCCTTATTGCTTAATTTTTTGAATTCCATCCTAACCATTGTCAAAACACAGAGGTTTTTTTGCCTTTTTGCATGTTAAATTGAAAATATTCAATGTCATACAATAATAATGTGATGTCTAATAGGTACGTCTTGAAGAAAAGTTACTTTTATATAGCCTTGTGGTTAGAGTCTCAGACTTCTAGGTGAGAGGAAAAGAGCTCGATCCCCTGCATATCCATAAACATTTGAGGTGTTTGGATGAATTTCCTTTAGAGCGTATGTGGAACACATTGGAAATTCCGCTATTGTGTTGACTAAAAACTTTGCTTCCCTAAATTTATTATTTCCAATATTTGTGTTTGTTTGCCAGATGTATGCGATGGCTTGCAAGGTAGATTTACCCAGCAAGATAGGAGATCTGGAGACCCTCATTCTCATCACATCCTGTATTTGCCACGATCTCGACCACCCTGGCTACAACAATATCTATCAGGTTTGTAGCAATATCTGAAAATAAATGTAACGTTTGACAAGTTGTTTTGATAATGAACCATTGACTATGCACTTTCTACACAGCGAGCTATACGAGAAAATGTTTAAACATAATGTACAGTTCAAACTATACACATAACGCTGGTGCAAACCAAGAATTAGAAATGTTTCAACACTATTTTGGAAAAACGTCAGAGAACACTATAATCAGCTACAAATTAGTACAAAATTTACAGTATTCGGGAAACAAAATAAATTATTTCCTCATTGACTTTAGATATAAACTACTGTAAAGTAGATACTACAATTGCAAGTTAAAGATGTAGTCAGTAAGAACAACTACAAACTAAAATCAATAGCCAGTGACAGAGTGTGCTCTTTGAAAATTTTTAATTTCTTATTCACTACATTTATAAATTAATTGTCCTATAAATTATCCTGGTAAAAAAAAAAACAGCTGATCTTAGTCAGTAACAAAGCTGTCATCTTTACTTTCATCATTTACTCATGTTTTGTTAAATATAAACCTAGATTTGTTATATAACTCTAATCTAATCTATGAATGTTTAGATCAACGCAAGGACAGAGCTGGCGTTGCGGTACAACGACATTTCCCCCCTTGAGAACCACCATTGCTCCATGGCTTTCCGCATCCTAGAACTGCCAGAGTGTAACATCTTCAGCTCCTTCACACCCGAGACATTCCGCGTCGTCCGCGAAGGCATCATCCGCTGCATCCTGGCCACAGACATGGCGCGACACAACGAGATACTTGCACAATTCAAGGAAGCCGTGTCCGATGGCTTCGATTACACTAATAAAACTCACGTCAATTTGGTAAGCAGGATTCTAGAGTTTTTGGAAACATTTAGATGTGTACGTTAACCTGTGTGAATAAATTTGTTAGTTAAAATTCAAATAAATTCAGGTCATCATCAAACCTAATTGTAAGTCTACAACAGTAGCAAAACCTTTTTTGTACAAAAAGTGCTCTTTGTAATTAAAGTAGTGTTGTAGCATTCCAAGTCATCTTTGATTCTCTTCTGCGCAGTTGACTATGGTGCTGATAAAGGTGGCGGACATTTCCAACGAAGCTCGGCCGATGGAGGTTGCTGAGCCCTGGCTAGACAAATTGTTGCAGGTGAAAAAATCTTGAAAATATATTTTACATTGCAACTGTCTTTCTAAAATGTTGATTTCCATTTGACTTTGCCCTAACTGAGTTTAAATTCTCTCTATTAATTGAATATGTATATATATTGCTACACAGACAGGTTATTCTTAAGTTGATAAAAAGTCACAATCCTGTAAGACCTGGAACCAGGACCACTGTAGCCCTGTACTGTTTAATATCTGGGTCCCTAGAATCAAAAACAGTGCTAGTTAAAATTGGATACATTGAACTAATTAGTTGGAATTAGATACATTTTGGTAGCATGAAAAAACAGTGATCAATTTTTTTTCAGATTTTTATTAAATTTTGAATAATTATGTTTAAACATACATCTTTTTAATGAATCAGTTCACAAACTAAGCTTGATCCAATCATTCTGTATCCCAAAAATTTGGATTTTGGCTTTTTTACTAATAGTTTATTTATTAATTTTTTTTTTACTTGACTGTTCACGTAAGCTTTCAAATGCAAACAGCTTAGTATATAACACACATCTATTTGATCACCAAAGTTTCCTAAGTACTAAATGCTGAATGCTTTCAGTATAGTTGCAAACTTCTGGATTTTGGCTTTTGAAATAAAACAAGAAGAATTGTGTTTTTGTTCCTAAGTGTTTCTTGAAGCATCAACACTTAGAGCTTCTGGGTTCAAGTGTAGCTGAATTTCCTTATTTGGATAAAAAAACTAAGAAACTCAAAATTTGCCGAAAATGTTTTTTGCAAGGTATTTAATTGAATCGTGCCACTAAAAATGTTTTCTTTAACCATCCCCATTTAAAGCTAGATACTTTCCTTAAAACTCACAGACTGGTTCTGATTGCAGGAGTTTTTTGCACAAAGCAACGCAGAGAAGCAGGAAGGGCTGCCTGTTACTCCGTTCATGGACCCACAGAAGATTACCAAACCCTCATCACAGTGTAGCTTCATCGGGTTTGTTCTTCTTCCTCTCTTTGAAGCTCTGGGAGAACTGTTTCTGGAACTACAGGTAAAGCACTGGTATAACTTGCCTGTCGTACGCCTTCAGATGGGTGTTTATATGGTCAACTAAGAAGTAAGAGGTTGTCGGTTCAATCCTGAGAAAATTGTGTAGTTTTTGGATGGTTCATAAGCTTGGGGAGTCATAAAGAGATCCAGTGGTACGTGAATTACACAACTAGGTTTTATCAATAGTGGTCTTGGTTAAAGAAAATTTTGATCTTGGTCAGTAACAAAGGTGAAAAAATAAATCATTTAACTGCTTGTAGACTGTAGAAAACAACATGAGTGATTTACGATGGACATAATATGCAACAAATTACTGCAACCAAAATTTATGGCAATGCGTTTTTAAAATATACGAGTCATATAAAAGTGTTCTATTTATTTGGCAAAATTAATATATGAGCAAACAAATAAAGCAGAACTGGTTTGTAATTAGTACGCAGGATTTTGGAGACCCTGTATCAAATCACACTAGTTACAAATAGCTTGTATAGTCCCTGGTGAGTATAACATTCCCTGTATCAAAGAGTACCCTCCACTAAAAGCAATGCAAATATTATTAGTATTACATGTACCACTGTTGAATCAAATTTTAAGTAATTATTGATTAAGTAATTATTATCGAATTGACACTATTGTAATTCTTAACGAATGAACAATAAAGAATATTGTATTGTATTGTATTGTATTGTAAGTTATTGCCAAATTAATTGCAAAGCCTAAAAAGGTGGATAGGGATAAGTTTTTCTCTTCACAGAATCTCTTTTCATCCAACCAAACTTTTGTCGATAATTCACTAAATCATTTTATGCTTTCAGCCAATGATAGTAGAACCAGTTCGAGATGCCTTAGAATACTACCGAAGGCTTAACGAAGCGGCCAAAGATGAACAACGAATGCACCGTAAGAGTATCATACAAGCGGACTTTGCCTCACAATTGGAGAATGCTAGTGCATCTGTCCCAAGTTCCCCGACTCAGAATGCTGGCAACAACATGGACATCGTCAAGTCTCACAGTGGTAACATGAGGAAAACATCCATTTGTCTTTCTCAGGTTGGTAGTAAAAAATTTATATTTAGACGTATGAAACTCTACAAAAGGGCTTGATTGGAGGTGGATTGCGGTGGAATGGTGTTTTAACACTTTTTAACACAGACTTTAACAACTTTTTTAACACAGACTTTTTTGTTCTCAAACTTAAAAAATGGTTATTTTATAGTACAATTGTTTTTACTGTACCAACAATCCTATCAAATCAACCAAAAGTGTTGTCTTTCAAAAGTCACAAAACATTAAAAAAATATACATATAAGAGTGAAAATTTAAAAACGTACGTTTTCATGTCCCTGGCCTTTTACTTCGTAGATACTGGATTTGTAGTTTATTATTATGTGTTTTAATATTTTTTGGGACGGGGGCAACATGTTACACACATTTATTTTGTTTTAAATAGGTTCTAGGTATTTTTTTTGTATTTTTAAAGTCTCGAAATTCACGACCATGACGTGTCCCTAAGGTACATTTTACAACTTTCACGCTGTTTTTAGACTAATTATTCATGCCGAAATATATAAAGCCATATTTTTATGTCATCAATGGTTATTAAACTTACAAAAAAGGAGCATATTATAATTTTATTGTCATTACAAACTGACTACCATGACAAAATAAGTCTGTCCCTCGATTTGCCGTCACGACCATTTGGGAAAAATTTTCAACTTTGGAGCACAACAGTGGCAAGCCTGGCGTCGATGGAGTCAGTTGGTTTTAGAGACTAGTTCGGGGTGTATGTCTGGATTGTAGTGCCGGTCGTTTCGAGTTGAAAGGAGGAATTACAAGATTAATAAAGGAAAGATTGTGTTTTTTGTAATTTTGGTGTGTCCATGACCGTACGTAGTCATTCGATGAAGTAGACATGGTGTTAATTTTTGTTTATAAGATATTTCAATTGCTAGATTAACCTAGAAGTCCACTTTGTATCCTCGAACATGAGGTGCAGGGCTACCGCCAGAACAGAGCCAAATAACAAGTAATTTCACGACCAAAGTTTCACGACCATCGCGGGTTTTTTCACGACCAATCCAGCCTTATGGATTATAGTGTGTTTGGTCGTGACAATAACTTTAATATAATTGTAAATTGAACAGTTTAGTTCAATTGAAACACATATTTTTATTATAACTAACAGGATTATTGAAGGATTGTTTAGAAAGATTTAGATTATTCCAGACAATTCACGACCGTACAGCTCCATCACACCACCACGCCTGGCCACACACATTGGTACACATTGTACCAATGTGGCTGTACACATTGGTACAGCCTGACCATCACGTTTATGATTTCTATCATAATAATTTCAAATACCACCGCCGCAGCAAACCTGCCGACTAAGCGAATTTCCATTTGTCTTAATTGATTTTCAATTAAATATATAAAAATAACATTAGGTTTAACGAGTACCTAGGTTTGCTGCTACAAGGAAACTAATAAAGTGTGTTTTTTTGTAAAATATTGATAGCTTAGTACAAAATAAATAAATTTGATCAAAATACAAAATATATCCATAAACAAGCAAACTACAACATTTTACAATATTCTCCATAAGAATAACATGGGAATTTTAAATTTACAATTTTTTTAATTTTCTCCGTTACTATTAACCGAACAAAAATACTTTTATATACTAAATTAATTGTTTTTTTAAGCTCTTTAAAAAGGTCTAAAGAGAAATTAGGAAATTTTGTGTTTTGAGGGTCAAAAGTGAGAAAAACCAATTTTTACCCCATAAAACCCCCCGTAAAGCCCCGTTCCCATGGTCCGATCATGCTGGTTCGCGAACTCATTCAAGTTTATCTCGCTTTACACCTTTAAACCAAATTTCATCAAAATCGGACAAAAATTTCTCAAGTTATCGCGTTCACGGACGTATATATATATATATATATATATATATAAGTCTATATATATATATATATATACATATATAAAAATTTGAACGAATGGTGTTTTTGGCCTCTGGGGACATCAAAATGAAAAAGTAAATCGGTCCCGGGTCTAGGTCTTACCGTGCCACCTACGGTAATAGCTACTTCCCTATAGGGAAATTCGCTAAAATTAAAATATCGTCATATTTCAATGTTTTATACACAAAAGAAGCACACCTCTATACAAATATAACGATTTTTCGGGTCTCAGGTAAGTTTTTTCGGAGTTATACAAACTTAAAAAGATTTTATTGGCTTTTTTTCAATTTTTTGAGTTTTTTAGCGAATTTCCCTATAGGGAAGTAGCTATTACCGTAGGTGGCACGGTAAGACCTAGACCCGGGACCGATTTACTTTTTCATTTTGATGTCCCCAGAGGCCAAAAACACTATTCGTTCAAATTTTTATATATGTATATATATATATATATATATATATATATAGACTTATATATATATATACGTCCGTGAACGCGATAACTTGAGTAATTTTTGTCCGATTTTGATGAAATTTGGTTTAAAGGTGTAAAGCGGGATAAACTTGAATGAGTTCGCGAACCAGCACGATCGGACCATGGGAACGGGGCTTTACGGGGGGTTTTATGGGGTAAAAATTGGTTTTTCTCACTTTTGACCCTCAAAACACAAAATTTCCCAATTTCTCTTTAGACCTTTTTAAAGAGCTTAAAAAAACAAATAATTTAGTATATAAAAGTATTTTTGTTCGAATATTAGTAACGGAGAAAATTAAAAAAATTGTAAATTTAAAATTCCCATGTTATTCTTATGGAGAAAATTGTCAAATGTTGTAGTTTGCTTGTTTATGAATATATTTTGATCAAACTTGGCAAATTTATTTATTTTGTACTAAGCTATCAATATTTTACTCAAAAACACACTTTATTAGTTTCCTTGTAGCAGCAAACCTAGGTACTCGTTAAACCTAATGTTATTAAAATATATTTAACTGAAAATCAATTCAGACAAATGGAAATTCGCTTAGTCGGCAGGTTTGCTGCGGCGGGGGTATTTATTTTTTTCTAGAAAGACCAAATATACTAAAAGCGCAGTGACCTTTTTATTGTATAATGGTCATAAAAGTAAATAAGTTTATAGCAAAACATAGTTATAAAAATAATATTAACTATTTTTAATATTCATTTAAACGTCCGTTATGGTCGTGACAGGATTTTGTGTTTTTCCACTAAAGATGCTCTTTTAAAAAGAAACTACCAAAGATATTGCGTTACCATGGACATTTTATGAAACTTCAAATGTTAATGAAATAAAAATAATAATAAAAGTTTTGAAAAACGGGGAAAAGAATTTGCAAAGTGCTTTTCCTGAAAACGTACGTTTTTAAATTTTCACTCATAAATCCAAATACTTTTGAGCTTGTTTGGTCTTGATAATTTATTGATGTGCTTTTCCAGCATGCTGAAGATCCTGAGGACATGCTTGGAAGTGAAGACTTGTTGCCAGAACTGAGTGAAGATTCGGAAGAGGAGGAAACTGTTACAGAAGTTGCTGTCAGTGAGAAGACATTGAAGTTCAAAATATCAACTGAAAGCTCTAGGTAAACCAACTACTTATTCTAAGGCCAATAAAACCCTAGATAATAGAGAACCTAGAGGAAAAAATAAAAATTGCCAGGTTAATTGTTCAAAATGTTAAAGGGGGAATGACTAGTGATCACATTAAACCTTGTATGGTCCAGTGGGTAAAATGTAGTTAATGTAAATGTTAATGAATGTTAATGTAAGTTTTTGACAAGAATTTGGCAACAAATTTCATACTTGAATATTTCTTGCATCTACAAACTTCGTTATGACACAAAAAACATACTACTATAACCCAGAATACCAACCGCATGGTAAAAAACAATTAAGTGTTTTGAGAGAGCTTTGCCTGTCAATTCGTAGGCAGCGCCACCAGCGTTGCTATGCTGAGTGCATGGCAACGCTGGTGGCGCTGCCTACGAATTGACATGCAAAGCTCTCTCAAAACACTTAATGCTTTTTAGTTACCATGCGGTTGGCATTCTGGGTTATAGTAGTATGTTTTCTGTGGTTATGACTACCATTTATTCCTTGCTTGTGCTGGTGCTTCTTATGTGATTCTTATCTTCATCTTGTTTAATAACTAGCTGTAAAGTGAATTACATCTTCTAAATGATATTTTCCTATTTTTCTTGATTAATTATTTGAGATCCAAACTAAGAATCAGTGCTAACAACACAAAAATTACTATTTACTTTTTAGTTACCGTACTATTTAGTTTAGTTTTAGTAAAAAGTAAATAGTAATTTTCGTGTTGTAAACGAAAGTAAACAGGAGGTAAACGGAAGTAAGGATGAGGATGTTCTCAGTTTTTTTGTCCACTTCTGCAAGCTAAATAGCTTACAACGTTCATAGAGAAAGAAAAGTTGAATATAATCCACAATAGCCTACTGTAGTTGGAATCAAATTCATTTATCCTGGTTATTCTTTGCTTCTGAAATCCTACCAGATATTCAAAATGTATTTTTTAATTCAAAAAACCCTTATAACATTGAATGATAATTCTCTTGTTAGCAGCTCTGGCCGGAAGAGTTACCCAGGAAGTCGCAAAGGGAGTCGAGAGAAAACGCATCAACTCGCTGAACAAGAACTGGCTCGGATGTTGAGAGATCAGGAGAGGTCAATCCGGAGTAGCGACAGCGGGGACAAACGGAGTTGGTCATCTGGAGAGCAAGGAAGTGATGAGAGAAGATGTGGTCGGTGCGGCAACGAAGAGAAGAAAGAAACAAGAAGTATGTCACTGGCTGACCATGACTGGAGAAGAGACTTCATGACAGTTCAGTTAAGCAAGAAGGCCAGATCAACATCAGCTGGAAGCCCGGAAGGTCTGAGAGAGTTTAGAGGCAAAGACTCCAACAGCACCAGAAGAACTTCACCCATGAGTCCCAAAGATACTGATGACACCAGCCGAGATATCGGTAGCTTCGAGGACAGTTCGGAGGGGAAAGACATGGAGTATTCGTTGAAATCTAGTTGTCTTGGAATCATCAAGGAGGGTTGTGTCCAAGGTGAGGATCTAGAGGATCCAAAGGATGAAATTCTCATTGTGATAAACGGAGGAGGGAAGAGTTCAGACAATACCACCGTGGAAACGTCCGACAGTGAAGTTTTGATCAGAGAAGATTTAAAAGATGAAGCAAAATACTCTGATGCTTCACCCGATGAAAAAAGTGCTAGGAAATCTCCCTCTAGTATATTGAGAAAGCTTAAATCAATCGGTGAGAGGTTTTCGAGGAGTTCAACAATCGAGCTCGGTTCACCCAAAGGTTCGACTGACCGGAGCATTTTAATCCCTGCATCTCCTGCTTCATTGAAGTCGCACAAGGTGAATGCTTCTTCCTCGGTGGATTCGGACCGGAGAGCCATGACTTTGCCGAAGGCTTCTCGTAAGAAAGCACAGTTGAAACGAGAGAAGGGGTGGAAGGGTTTGCTGCGGTCAAAGGTTTCTATGGATCAAGACGGAGATACGAGCTCTTCCAAGGAGGATGCGTCTTGTGACGAGGCAAGAGCAGGAACTTCCGAGAGAGTGGCTAACGGTCTCACACCTCCTGAAGAGTCTCTGGGTAAGTGGTTTGTTTATAGAGTTCATTTCAATATACTACGCATGGCTCGACAATTTTTTTACAAAATAGTTTCACAATTGACCAAAGTTTCCTTAGGATTTAACATTGTATGAACCTGACTTCAAAGGAGATATAAAGTAGGTTGCAGCCCTTGTCAGGTACTGACAACCATTTTTGTTGAGTTATGCACCTAAGTATAGTTGTAGGATAAGATTAATTTGTATTACTCATGAATTGATATATCAACCTTTAAGGCTCAAGGATATTCATTAAAATTCTTTTTAAATTGATATTTTCTTGAAACTTGAAATGCAGAGAACAAGGGCACAATTTTTTACTAAGGAAAACAAAGCTGAGAAAATTTGACTTATACCTCTATTTATAACGGTGTTTACGGTTTTTTAGAAAGTGGCTCAGAAGAGAGAGGATCGCACAACAACAATCGCAGCCAAAGCAGCAAAGTTCCTGGAAGTGACGAACGAGACGAGAGTGAATCGCCAAACATGTCCCGAGGCCAACATTGGATGTCTTCCCTTGTCTCGACGTTTCGATCCCGCAAGAGCCAGAGCAAAGAAGAAAGTGCGAAAACATAACTTTAACGTGTCAATACGCTTGGTACCTCTAGTCGAACAAACAGTAATCAATTTTAGAATACCGTGACTCGCAAAGTCATTTTATATGTGTACTAGTGTATATCTTCGTCCCTCGAACAAGTGATATTTTTATATAACTATATTTAAGTTTTTTATGACTTGTGGCAAGTATTAATTTATGTGAAGCCTTCCTCTTACTCTTTCACTACCTTGATTGAAGCTGGCAACTTTTGACAAAATAAGATTTACATTTTTTGGTAGATTTGTAGATTTTCTTCTGACTGGATGATTGAAAGATGAAATATTTGTATTAGTTCAATAAAATTCTGTACAGACAATTAAAATTGGTAGTGAACTTGCATTAAATCAGCATCTTTAGCTTGTTAGCATGAATTCAACAGAAAAGCATTATTTTTCCCTGCAGCCAAATGTTGCAGGAATTATGTTAGGTTCAGGTCTGACCAGAGGCTTAAAATCAAAATAGTTTTTAACATTTTATTTCAATTTATATTTTAAGGTAGAGAATGCTGGGAGTTTCAATAAAAATTTAAATGGACTTTTTTCTCAAACTTTTGTAAAAAGTTGCCTGCTCAATAAAAGGTTTGATCGTCTTTGAATTAAATTATAAATTTATTTCGACAACAATTTCACTCTACCAACCATTCCGTGTTCCCTATCTTCAGGCTGGCTGAATGATGAAACATTCTAATATTTTTAACATACTGGTTATGCAGTAATAATTGAACCTTGTTGATCCAAATAGTTTGCTTGACGTGTCAAGACTAGTCATGGCTTTGACTATAGTTATAACCAGTCATTTAATTAACATGTTTAAAGTTTAAAGTTGAAGCCATTTTAAGATTTAAAAAGTATGTAGTTGACTAACGCCTTTGACAAAGTGAGCTGTGGCCAATTATTGATGTCTGTTATGTAACTTAGCCAACATCAGCTTTGTGTATACTACCAAATCTTTTATGTAATAATAAAAACAGTAGGAGTAACAGAATTCAAACAGCAGCCCACTCTGTAAGTGAAGTGACCCAATATTCAAATGTTCGAACCGAAATTAATTTGGATGAACAAGGTTCGCCTGTAGTTTTCCTAGGAAACTTCACGACAAGATAGTTTCGTCTTCAAAAGATGAATCAATACCTGTAAGCCAGTTTAAAAACACTAGAACTTATTCTAACACATTCTATCAAATGTACAGAATCGTTTCTCTATTTCTTAACTCTTATTGAACTGAGATCCATGCCTATATTAGCTGATAGTTTTATAAATTGTTGTTGATTATGTAGATTTTGTGCTGTATAGAGTTATGTAAGTAGTAGTGCAATGTCGTCTAAATGGACCAATATATCTTCTTGCCAAAGTATTTTTGTACAAACTAAACACCTTGTCATAAGTTTTAACGATTTTATCGTTGATTTTTAACTGTGGCCAACGTTTTTGTTTATTTTTTGATAAATTAATCAAATATTTATTTATGTTATCATATACATTCTTGAATAAAATGTTGTATATGATTTTTTATTTTATAGGTTTCTTTTGCTTTTGTAACTGTCCCTTGAACATCACCAGTTTAGTATGAGATCATTTGGAGGTTAGTTTCAAATTAACACGCCTCTTCAAGTTCTAAAATGTACCAAAAAGCTATGATTTATTTATATTCACCTGATAAATCAATGTTACCTGGCTAATTAATATATGTTATGATTCAATGGTTTTAACGGCAGAGGCAAAGACCTGGTTTTGAGGTATTAAAGAACACCGTAACACTATATTATTGTTGGATAAATTTATTCCGTGATTGGTAAATCTGTTTAAACTACAATTGAGCAATTCAGTCATCTAAATCCAAACCAATGAGTACAAACCTTTTTAAGAAGCGAAATGCTTATGGAGAATAGTTAGACTGGAATTTTGCTGCCGAAATGAGATTCTCGCAGCCGCCGCTACGATCACGCACGAATTGGTCGTGCTACTCTATTTCTCGTTCTAAGCAGATTCCTTGTCTCACTTTCTCTCACGCAGTCAGTGGACTTGGCCGCGCTCTCACGACAGTCTACCTAGCGGTCGCAGCAGGAACTATCCGAAATTCAAATATTCCCAGACTGAATTTTCAACAAAGCCAGCACATTGCACATTTTGCATTTTGCATTGGCATTTTTTTTAAGCTTCTTGTAAGTTTTGTATTCACTGTCAAAACGCAGTAACCTAAACATTTCAGTAGTCTAAGCAATGAATTCGTACAAGAACTGCGGAACGATTACTTATAGTTGTATTGGAACACCAACCCATTGGCTTATAAAACAGTCGTCAACTCTCTCAATTAGTTTTATAGAATGGATGTAAACAATAAAATTTATGACACGGAACATATGAGTGCCCAGTGACAATAAGTTTATTCTTCGCTTGACAATCATAGCAAAACATGAATCAACTTTCTGGTATATTCAAGTTGAGAAAACTATTTCATAAAACGCTTTTGAACAATATGGCGTCAAGAGAGGTCTTAATCTGTTCCAACACTCTCAGAAGTTTTGTAATAAATTCATAATTTTTAGTATCCAACATGATTTGAAGATTTTTTACTACTGTTCTTCAAACCTGTTAACAACATTTAATCACATTTAAAAACTATTATTTATTAAAATTAAATCCTTACAGTACCATATCATGAACCGTAGCGGCATATAAAAAATAAAATAAAACTGTTATATAGATTGATAGTAAGATAATGACCTATTTTTCCATGAACTCTGTTGTTAAAAAAAAATTCAATATCTTATCAATGTAGGCTCTACGGTCTACACCATATTATATCAATTCCTACCATATCAGTGATCCAATCATATTCCCACATTGTGGTTAATCGTACCAAGATCAATTACTAAAGTATACATCCTAAAGATTATTTTAGATAAGACTTTAGTGTCATTGTTAACAGTTGATGTTATAAATCAATTTAGTAAATATTTTTAATAATTGAGAGTTATGGCAGAGGTTAGCATTTTAAGTCTTCTAAAACAATTTCTGTCAATTTAATTTTTTTAAGTACTGCCCAATAATGTTTCTCAGTTCATTTTGTACTATCATGGACAAATAGAATAACTAAAGACTGTCAAAGGAAGGTTCCGGGATGTGCCGCTAGGAGGGCTGTGTAGTAGTTACGGCGCACACCGCTACAGGCGAGGAGCCATATGCTACCAGCAGACTACTAATAACTACACGGCACTCCTAGCGGTGGACGCCGGACATATGCTAACCGTAGCACTGCTGTAGGTCTATATTTATTCTATTTGTCTATGGTACTATTTAGGGAAAACCCTATCACAGCTGTTAAATTGATATTCATAGCTCTTGTTCAGCAGGCTGTTGTCGTGTTGATAGCTACAGATATTTTTTTCTGTAATCCATTGTTTCAATATTGTTTACTAATTTTGCACGTGGACTAAAATATAGGACATAAATGATTTGAATCTTTTATTAACACATTCGATGCGGCGGGTCCACCGGTGGACCCCGCGCGTCTCAGCTGAGGAGCGGGGGGTCCACGGGTGGGGGAGCGCCCCATGTCATGTTTATTGTTTCAATGTGAGCTCAGCCATTGTCGGGGAACGTTGTAATCTTTACCAGCCTGTAGCTTATAATGCGAGCTTTATTCTGGTGTAGGTTGGTACAAAAATTGCCCCTAAAATCCCGTCTGGCAATGCTTTTGTCCCGTTTTCAGGGATTTTCTCAGTTTGAGCCGTATTACAAAGACTCTGGTTATTGATCCAGGCAGTGCTGCTACCTTTGGGTGTTTCAGTGAACTACGTCCACTTTCGGAGTAACGCAGAACAATCACCAGTGCTCTTTTGTGATTCGTCTTACTGAGATATTTCAATACCAATAGCGATCGCTGATTCAGTTAGCGCGTCGGGGCTCCGCCCGGGCCTCGCCGCCATTGGCGAGCGCCTGTTTAAAGGTTTCAGCAGCGAATGTGTTAATTGGAAGAAGAGTCTGGTCCAATGTTTCCAAAGGAGAGACATTATATAAGTTTCATCTTCTTTCATCTTAACTGTCTGAATTTTAATTTACGTTTATAATATTCATTTTTATATCTGGTTTTCTTTGTACCTTGTAGACTCAGAGATCCTAATAATTATTATTATTATTTGGCATAATGTCTTGAGCATTAATGAGTAATATACATAATTGTAAAATTGTTATAGCGTGAATAAATAAATAAACTGCTGTTATAAACAGTGTTCCCTTAAATTTTCACTTTTTGTAGCAGCGGAATTATCAACTGCCATAATTTCTCAAGTCCAACTGCCTATAAAAGGAGTTATCATATTTGAAAGAAAACCTTATGATTAGAATATTATAATCTTGAGTAATATATTTTTATACATACATTTTACGGTAAAATGTTAATAAGTTGTTAGAGTCCCATTTTTGTACAAACATTAGAGACGAAGGTGCTTTTACAATAGTTTAAATTTTAATAGATAGTATTTCCAAGAATGTCCTTATAATGTCCAGATCTCTTCAAAATCTTTTTTTTTTCTTTAAGAAATGTTATACATAATTACCTCTAGTTCCATTTTGTACTATATTTTCTTTTTAGTTTGAAGTTTGAAAAGAAACTAAAATAATTTATTTTTTATTGTATTGTTTCAAACAAAGAACAAGCTTTAAGTCACAGATACCTTGATTGTACATTAACATGTATCGGATAATTTTAAGGTTATATCTGTAAATAAACTAAGTCCTATCGCCTCAGAATTCTTCCGCATTTATTTGGAATACCAACATTGAATTCTGGGTAAACTATGCATTTCTGGTGTCCATCAGACCCAATACCTGTTCAATGTAATTATGGCGTCAATGTTACTAATATTGTCAAATGAGTATTTTATGTTTGTAGAAATAAATAATCAAATGTTGATTGATGTGTTTATTTTCCTGGTATAGGTTTCTTTAATCATAGATAAAACATAGTCCCTTGTATTTCTTAGTCTATGCTTAAAGGCATTGAAGAGATTAATAAATAATTCAGTAGGTAACAAATTCAACATCTGTAAACTGTTTGAATGTGATTCAAAAGACAATCTTCGTTGAGTTTTCGTTAAAAGTTTCGTTTTCATTAACTAGTTAACATTTTAAACTTCCCCTAGTTAAATTTGACACATTCATTATCATTGTAGTGGTTAGCATTTAAAACTTCCTCAAAACTTCTGCATAGAATGAAATAATCCAATTAATGAAACTATACAATGAATGAGCAAGTGAATTAATCTTACCAATTAATTTTGAATATTCAAATATGTAGGCATAACATTTGAAATGTTAGCTACCCTAATTTTAAAACATCGAAAAATGTTGAAAAATGTTCATTACTAGAACTAAATTTTTAAATTTTTGACTCAATCTTAGAATTACTAACCGAAAAGTGATTGATATTCATTGATAATCACTCGCTTAAGCTGAAAAAATTTAACCGTATTTATTTATTCAAGTTAGCCTTTGTTGATTTTAAAAATATATTATACTTCTGTAAAAAAATTATAAGTCCCTTATAAAATTTAAATTGTTTTTAGAAATTGGTTTTAACCTTTTCCAGTTGAAATGAGTTATAAATACTAGGCATAAGAGGTGTTAAAAAAATTTTAAAACACATATATAGTCAACACATTGTTTATTGAAACTTCAAAAGTTACATACAAGACAAATTGGTAAATGTGACAGTATACAAACACGAAATAGTTAAATAATAACAAACAGAAGGAAAATCAGTCTTAGTTCAGTCTTGCTAAGTAAGCTAAGAGGTGAAACGCAAAGTGGACCTAACCTACATGGTTTGTACAATGAATACGAATGACGCTGAATAAGCTTAGGACTCCATCTTCTCAACCTTCTTCTCCTTGTTCTTTATCGCTGGTTTGTTGGTCTGTACAATAGGAACGCTGGTCTCTCCAGAAGCAGGATGATTAGCCACCTTCGGAGCTTCCAACTGCAAAACTCCGTCAGAGGACAAGCTAGACTTAAGAGCGTTCTTGTCCACATTCTCAGGGATTTTGTAGCGTCTGGAGAACTGGCGAGAGATAAACCCATGTTCGTCACTTCTCTCCTCATGTTTACCCTCGACGACCACATAATCGTCGACGACTTTCACGTTGAGTTCTTCGGGCTTAAACTGCTGCACATCGAGGTTAATCTTGAGCCCGTCTTTATCGTTAATGATGTTGGAAATGCCGCTGTTGTCCCAGTCGAGCAGACGCCACGGTCGCATGTAGCCACAGCGAAGGGGGGCCCGGAGCAGCTGAGTGGTGGGGATTAGGTTGTCCGACGGCCACAGACCAAGTCCAAAGTGTTGGTCGTAGAGAGGTCTCTCTAGGTCGCGCAGCATCTCATCAACAAAGAAAGGCACCAATGACATCTGAAAATAAACATGGTATTTAATCACTTTGAATTGGTAGGCCTACTTATTTTTGTTCTATACTTTTCGAACTTTTTGAAGTCAGTGGAATTATTATGGATTTTGTCGAATAGAACAGTCCAAAGCCTGGTCTTGGTACTAGGCACCTTGAAGAATACATTATCTTAGGGCCTATGGCTTTTCCTGTCTGTAGTTAATATCACTTTGTCATGAGTAGTTTTGTACGCAAGTACAACTATTAAATCAGGGAGATAGAAGAAAATAGTGTAGGTGATATAGCTATAAGGAATTTGAGGAAAACCCTGTTGTGGCTCTATTTTAAACAATTCAAGATACTGCCAACCCATTGCCAAAGTTTCAAAGAATCTGTCAAGAGTAACATTTCTGTTGTGCAATCAAGCCACACATATATAGGCTAATTATTTGCTGCCTCATCTTGCCTAACCGTACCAGTCTATTTTTGTGATTAGGGCCTACAATCACACTCTGAACTCCTTGTAAAAGTCTTTTTCAAACATTTTCAGTTTTAACATTTTTTGATCACTATATTATAGAAATTTCAAATTGGGTTAAAGACAGTCTATCCTCATTCATGACCCAACCCATTCATTCCCATTACACTAGATTTAAGAGTTATATTAAGCCTGAAACCCCTAGATTAGAGAAATATCATTTATCTCCCCAATATATAGGTGTAATATATTTATATAAGTAATATAACAGGTTTTACTATTTAATAATTTACAAGGCTATGTTGGCAATATCTAAGTGTGTACGTTGAACTGTAACCGTTTGTATTTCCCACTACCAGTTAATAATATTTGAATAAACGAATGCTATTGGACAATCGGGTCACGCCACTCCCCAACCCATGAGTCCATGTTAACCGACACCTCCACACCGCAGTTATAGCGAGCTTCCATCCTGAGTAACTCCGGCCCGTTCGGTCGTTAGCAGTTTTACAGTGTTAAACCGTAGTGCTTATTAACTTCCCGATTCCCGTAGTGTAAGACGTCAGGGTGACGTAGTGACTTAGTTACAGTGTATAAGGATAGCACCGTGTCAACGAAGGTACGTCAGGGTGACGACAATTCAATAGGCCCACAAGTTTACAATAAGTTACCAATCCGCATAAAATTAATGATAGTAATACACAGTTCAGATCCACCCTGAAGTCCTGGTTAAAAACAAAAAAAATTTCTATCGGATGTTATCTCAAGAGGGACGTTAAGTTAGATTAATAATTTAGTAAGACATTTTTGTTATTTCTTAGTTTTAGTATTATCCTGTATATGACACTATGTCCTGTCAAATGATGTAATGACATGCAATTATATAAATAAAAAATAGATAAATAAATACAATTAGGCCGACCTAATTCTAAATTTGGCTACGCCCAAACAAACCCCTCTAGGCGATCTGGCAGCTTATGTGGCCTGCATTTTAAGATCGACCAAGTATTGCTCTTTATCATAAAGGTGGTCAGAATGCAATTTTATACCAATAACAATATAGCTTTTGTGTACTTTATATAGCAACGTAATTAGCAAAAATAGTTTTAGTCGATAAAATTCAACCATTGGCCATTACATGCATACAAATTGAACTAAGAACAGCAAAAGAAATTTATGGGAGTGCAATTGGTACATAATCAGTTAAAGGGAATTAACTTGAGGATTGTTTAAATATTAGTTCTATGTAAATCTTGGTTTGTTGGCTACTCATTGTGATGAGTAAATAAAATTAAAATAAATAAATTAATAAATAAATAAAAATAAATTAATTAATTAAATAAAATTATACACAATTTACTAAAAAAATGTGGAGGTATATTTCGAGTTTACATCAAAACCTATCTTCAGCCTCTAGAGATTGGATAGATTCAAACAAATTATATGAAAAAAATTTAAAACTTTGAAATCTAAAAACTTAATTAATTTTAAAATGACAAAATTAAAGTATCATGGGTAGTAGATTTCTTTGAAAATGTAAACAAGTTATATAGACATAAAAAGTTTACTAAGTGTTGCAGGCATTTACATTATACTCACATTTATATGGATAACTTCAATTCTTTCAACTTTTTATAAGTTTAGATTTAATTATCTTGACAAATTAATTTCTTACATCAACAAAGTTGTTTTAAGCAATAACAAACTAAATTTACAGCAACAAAATGGTCTTGAAAATCGAGTTTTAACAATTATTTTGACTAAGCATTATTTACTTACCTTGATATTTCGCAGATTTAACACAGCACAAATAAATAACTTAGCACTTTTACACTAGCTCGCAGCACTTCACTGACACTTTCACAACACAACTCTGACAGCTCTAGCAGACGACGCGCTTTATATTGGTGTCTGGATCCATTCTAGATTGTTCTACAGTGAGTCAATCGAATTGAATAGAAACTCCCGCCTTCTGTTTGTTTCCATTCCACAGCGTTCTAGAACCAAACAGCTGATCGTTCTGCGGGTCACACGGGAGCCTTCTAGATCTTCTAGATCGACTCTTTTGTCATCACCTATCGTCATATATCTCAAATTAAGCTTGTATTGTTTGTTGAAGATTAAAATAATACGAATTTTGCTTATTAAATAAATAGGCTAACTGTGCATGGACTGGGTATATTTCTATGCTGAAATTACCTGTATTGAATCAGTGATGTATCTTTATTTTTCGTTATTTGGAATTTTCAATCAGCTTTGTCTTGGAAACGTCAATTTTATTTTATAGTGCTACAAAATATACAGAAACAGGCCTGAACAAATGCATGTGGAATTTAGTATTAAGTTACAGGATGATATTAGATTTTTATCCCCATAGAAAACTTCACAATTAATTGTGATATAAATCACAATTGTCTATGATATAAATTAAAATAATACGTGTTTTTTTTTAATTATTTAATATGAAATTTGATTTATATAAATAAAAGAAAAATAACGCAAAAATAAAGAGGTTTTAGGTCGTATCCAAATGCATAAACTTAATATTTCATATTTTTATTTTTGATCTTAGTTTTTCTATGCAGAGAAATTTTAAGTGAAGCTGTCAAGCTTGTTTGTTGTTGTTTTGGTAGCATGTGGTCATCAGCTGACTGCCTGGCCTGCTTGTCAAGGTTAAGCTCTGCAGACAACTCTGCTTGTTTACAATCAAAACTTGATTTGTACTTTATACTTTATACTTTGATTTAGTAAAGTAGATTTTCTTAACAATATTTAGCCTATACGTTGTAAAAATATTTAATAATTTGTCGTTGATGAGAAGTAAAAATAATTTATCACTTACCTAAAACCATACTGTAAATCAAAATGAGCTTTTGTCAAAAATCTCCAAAATTGAGGTAGGCCTAGATAATAACATTAGTTTTATGAATAACCAATAACTTAAATAAATAAATTATTAACTTATACATTTTATGAGGTAAATAGTTTTATCTCTTACTACTTTTCGTGGTGTTAATTTGCCACAAATTAAACCATAACTAATTCAAATTTAATGAAGGCTAACTTAAGTTACCTACCTTAATTGTGGATGAGCTTAAAAATTGTGTCTGTAAACTACAATGTGTTTAATAATAGCTGCCACTACTACTATACTCATCCCTCTGATACAGAGGAGTATGGTGTGACGGGACAGTTGGTAGAGTATGTGTTAATGAACAAACTATCCCTAGATAAAATAGTTGAAGTTAATGAAGATAAAAGATTCAGTGTAACCTAAGAAATACATGGTAAAAAAATTAAGTGCCAGAATTGTAACCTATTTAACTTAAATGTGATTAGTACCTATTTAAGACAATATTTTTAACTTTCTGAAAGAGAGGTAGGTAGCCTAAGTACTGGAACTCGTTCCGCCGCTTTACCCCACAAATTGAGCACTTCGGGTCCACTTTCGCCAGAGCATTTCGGGTATCACCTCTTTCGTCCAAAAGGCATAAACGTTGATCAAAATATAACAATAGGCCTATTAAGTAATTTCTTTTAAAAGCAAGGTGAAGACAACCATAGGTTCTGTGGTGATGTGCCGGTAACCTACATAAGTTAGTAAAAAAGATGTAGTAGGCTATATCGTATTGTTATCAAGTTCCCGAAAGAACCAGTAGAAAATGTATCTGGTTAGTTGCTAAATATCAGTTAAGAGGATTATTATCAAAAACATAAAGGTTCTTATTTAGGACCCCTACCAGAAACTAAAAAGCTAAAACACAAGTCATAAGCAGTTTTTGTGAAACTGTCTATCTGGACCAAGACAAAAAGGGGACTGTGGTACTTTGGTAAATAGGAAAAAAAGTTTTAGAGATAGAAGAGGTTTGTACACCATAAGCTCAAACCAAGTCTAAAATATTGAATCCATTTTATGACCTGTTAGCTCAATAAAAACTTAGATTTAGTCAAGCAAAGCTTAGAGCATAGAGGTTTAATAAAAGGATTTGATTAAAGAAATTGTTAGCTGTGTGAGAATTGTTGATTTAACTTAATTAAGTTAATCATCAATGTTTCAGGAAAGGAATGATTATTGGAATGGGCAATTCGATGTTGGATTTAATTGGATATGTTGATACTAGTATGCTAGAAAAATACGGATTGTTGGCTAATAATGGATATATGGCTGAAAAAGTACATATGGGACTTTTTCAAGAACTTATTGATGAAGGCAAAGCGGAACTTGTAGTTGGTGGTTCAGTTCAGAATACATTCCGAGTGGTTCAGGTATGATTGGATTGAATTTTTAATATAAATCCCATCATAATAAGCTTTAGTTAAGGATATTAACTTTAGCCCGGAACAGGTTTTATTTGATTAATAAATGCTGTTATAGGCCTACATGTAATGTAAAATTTTGAAGGTTTATTTTAGTCATTGTTCGATTGGTTCATGATAATTTTTGGCATCTTGTTCTAAATGTTAGGAACTGTTGTCTGTTCCCACCAGTTTAAAAGTGCCATTTCAAGCCTAAGTAATCTATGTATTAGCTTCAATTACTTACTGACTTTTCTCAAAATTGTTTCTAAAGAAGCATTTGGTTTAAATGTGCCCGATATTGATGAAATTTAGCATGAACATATGTAAAATCATGTAGAACTAAATGAACATGATAGAGGTTGCGAACCAGCAAGATCAGGTAATAGGGAAGAAGTGTTGTGTGGTTTTAATATTTTTCATAAATTGTTTTTTCACATTTTTACTCTTATAACAGGGAAATGCCCCATTTTCAATACAGCCATGATTTAGAGCTTATAAAAAACTATTTTGTTATGGAAATGTTGTTTTAAAATTAAATTTGTTGCAGTAAATAAAAAAAAAACTGCACGTTTAAAATTCCCATGCTATTCTTATATAGAAAGAGAAAACTGTTGTAGTTTGCTTCTATGGATATATTTTGTTTCAATTTGGCCAATTTCTTTCTTTCATCCTATAGTATAGCCCACTAACTTATTAACATTTGACAAAAAATACTTGTTTCCTTCCCGTAGCAGAAAACCGAAGGACTTCTTAAAATTAATGTTATTTAAATGAGGAATAAAAATTATTTGTTTGTGAAAATATTATTGTACGTAAAATTGATCAGCCCTTTTTAAATTTTGCTTAGTCTACAAGTTTTCTGCGGGGGGGGGTTGTGGTTCATACTATACATGAGTTTTGTACGAGTTCACAGTGGGTTCTAGGTGAGCCGGAAGTCTGCATCATCTTTGGTGGTATTGGTTGTGACAAAGAAGGGGAAGAGCTTGTTGGAAAAGCCAGAGCAGATGGAGTTGACACTCAGTACCAGTATATCGAGGGGGTTCCAACAGGTACAAATGTTTTTTTACACACTTACTTTACTACTTAAGAAGTCTTTTCCACAAAGGTTCTAGTTTGGGAAGTCGCCACTCATTAGTGAATCAAAATTAAAACTAATTCTAGCTAAACAGATTTTTAATTTTTGGGAGAAGTTTAGTGTAGGCTTACAGTACAGTACATACCGGTATATAGATCTAGAAGACAAAAACCAAGATTATTTTAAGTTTTGAGGTTGATGTAAAAATTTGGTTTGTAGGTATTTGCGCTGTTCTCTTAACAAAGAATGGAGCAGAACGGACGCTGGTTGCAAACCTTTCAGCAGCGAAATGTTTTACCGTGGACCACTTGATGAAAGAGGATAACCTGAGCAGGATGCTTAATGCTGACATCTTTTATATTTCTGTAAGTGAAACAATGCATAAATTAGAGTATTTTACATGGAAGACATGTACAAGATTTGTTACTCTTTTAAAATATGCCAAAACATTATTCATTTTCAGATTTTTAAGTTACGTTACGGTGAGAATTTCTAGAATGTTAATTGAAATGGATTTTTCTGTTTGTTCAAGCCATATCAAAAGATCGGGCATCAAGATTTTTTTACAAATAGGCTATTGAAAAAACATACTTGGCTATTTTTTATTTTATTGTTAACAAAAGTAGTAAGAGTAGATTGCACTGATGTTACTGAACTAGTACAAACTTTTTGACCTCAGGACCATATTTCAAATCTGCCCCAGGCAGCTCACTCCAAAAAGGCCCTTTTTTTGATTCTTCAGTGGCTGAAGCTTAAAGGGTTTAGAAATAATTATTGTATCATTTTAATTTGACATTTTGTTTTCTACGATCCCATAGCGTATAGTATGGAAAGTGTATGGTATATACTTCTATAGTGGAAAAACTTTTCACTTCTCAAATGGCATTCATCATGCAAATTTATGATGTTTCTTAAGGTTCAATTTTAAAAATCAACCACCTCCCATTGTAGTTTACGAATGATAGTGATAAATTAAACTGGAAACTTATTTATTTTAGGAACGGAAGAATTTTTTAATGCGGGGATGTATGTAAGTACAAGCTTTGGATGTGTGTTATGTGAACCTTATACCTGTAAACCAAGAATGAAGCCCCTAATACTCTATGTGCATATTTTCTTACTTTAAGAGAGGTTTTACTTTTATGTTGTCAATACATATAAGAATTGAGATTACTTGCAATTTCTTTGATTTTTATATGCCAAGGTAGTGTGCTTTTGTTGTTGCTACTCTATTTTTCCTTCTTGTTGACTTTGGTGTGTTGTAATTATTTAACAATTGCTAACTTATAGAACATTTCTTATTATGAGCTTTCATTGTATTAATGTATGTTTGTGGTTTCTAATATTTAATTTTGTCTCTTCCCTTTATTATTTATCAACTCCCTACCAACACAGATTTACAAGTCTATGCATTGTTCTAAAACATTGAATTACCGTACTGTAAAGTAACATAGACAAGGTCCTGGTAACTGCAATAAGAACGGCAGTAGAGATGAGCATCAATAGGTCAACCTTAGATGGTAACGTCGGTATCAACCACCGATGTACCGACAACATCGTCGCAAAAGCATCAATCGATGTTTTGCGTTTTGAGGTATTTGTCAAAACATCAGTTGAGCCACCTTTACACAGGATCAGTAGGCTAGGCAGGCAGGTTACTTGTCTCTAGTGTATGTATTTCAAGTTACCTGAGGCGGCTAACCTGCCTTCTGTCTTTGTATAACTATGAACACGGCTTTATCGATGCACATCCCTAATCGGCTGCAAGTGGCCAGTTTGAACCAGCAATATCTAGCTTGTCGGCCAAAGACTACCACACAGCTACCTTGTTCAGAACACAGTTCAATTCTTTACTTTCAATTTTATTTAAAAATAAATTGTGGTGTTTTAAAATGTTGGTTTCACCCGTGCCTTTTAAGTACTTTGTATTTCATTTCCAGGGGTTTTTCCTAGCTGTCAGCCAAGACGCTGTGGTGCACTCGGCAAAAATGGCAGCAAAGTACGGCAAATGGTTCATGATGAATTTGAGCGCTACCTACATAGCTGAGCAATACATGGACGGTTGGAATGAAGTTTTTCCTTACATCGATGTCTTGTTTGGCAACGAAACGGTTAGTTCTCTTCGCTCTTAACTCCGAGGACTCCAGGTGTGATTTAACTGTCCCGGTTACTTAATCGGTTTTCTTTTATCTTATGAACACAGATCCAAATATTTGTAAAACAAGATTTCGGTTCACACTATAGGATAAGCAAAAACTGCATTTTGTTTATATTTTATTTTACATGCTAGTTTCAAGAACATGAATTATATTAGATTAGATTACATTTGTTTTGTAGCTGTAGTTCTTGAGTCATAAAGACTTTTGTGTCACCCTAGGCCAATGCGTTTTACTAGGTTGTGTGGCATCTTCAGGAGTCTTCTTAATTCATCTTCTTATCACTAATACTGTAGTCTAACTGTATATACAAAAAAATTTACACACACATAGTCACTATTATGGCAATTGGGTCGATTGCCCGATCAGACAACGCAACAACAGACTTATGGCGGAGACCTATTTCCTTAAAAGCTATCTGAACACATTCCTCTTAATTTATTCATGTTGAAGCCTTCCGGAATTGGTAATTATTTTAACGTTCTGTTTTTGATAATGACTACGTAGTAGTCGAAACTATAGTCAACACACACCGACTAAGGAATTGTGGACGTCAAGGTACCTGCTATAATTCCTCTTAATTGTTCTCTTTTGTTCCTTATAAACTCATCTCAAGTCTTGTTTTCTATTTATATTTATACTTGTCAATGGGAAATACATTTTTCAAGACATCTGTTCATTGTAGTTGCTTATTTCAGGAAGCAAGATCGTTTGCAAAAGAATCACAATTTGAAGAGGTGAATGACGTGTCACAGATAGCCTTGAAACTGAGTTGTCTACCTAAAAACAATTTGTCTCGAACCAGGATTGTCGTGATAACCCAAGGGCCTGACCCAGTTGTCGTGGCTGAGGGTGAGCAAAACTACTGATAAGTTATATAATAGTGTTTAAATGATTGATGTGCATTAGGTAGCGAACTATTTTGACAAACATTACTCTCATAAAAATTTTTCCATTGGGTAAGAGTAAAAGATTGTTGATCTAAAAACTACCCTAACTATTTTAATACTCCATCTTTAGATACTTTGGTTGACCAATTAATTACCAGTTCGGGTTGAAAAAAGGGTGATGTTTTATGGTTTAAGATGGATTTGTTAGAGTAATATAAAAGTTTGTACATCAACAAGCTCTCAGCTTTTGGGAAATTGGTGTAAGACCGATGCTGTTCTAGATTATTTTCTCATCTAAACGGTCCTCAGTTCAGATTGTTAGTCTTGTTTTCCTGTTGCTGGTTTGATTATATTTTACAAACAAACTATTGTTAAAACCCTTTATGAAGACTTATTGCACAACTCAAGTTGTTTCAATCAAGAAAATCCATTCAATTAAAATAGTTATGAAATTTTCTTCAATTTGACCAATTGCCTTGCACAATTAATTGTTGGATTTGAATAATACTGTAAAAAATGTATAATTGGTAAAATAATAAAATTCTCTTCTCTAAGACTATAAACTTTTAAAAATATAACTTTAATTGCTCACTGAATTCCAATTAATTTGTACATTAGTATATGTTTTGCGTTTACAGCTCAATCTCTTAACCTCAAGGTATAAGAAGCACAGGTTACCAAAATTGTACTGTTCCCAGACGGATGTGTAAAGCAGTTTCCAACCATCCATCTACGGCCTGAACAAGTTGTCGACACCACTGGAGCAGGAGACGCTTTTGTTGGAGGTACTTACATTATAACACTTCTAAATACCCCCACCGCAGCAAACTTGCAGACTAAGCGAATTTCCATTTGCCTGATTGGTTTTAAACTAAAATATATCCTTTAAAATATTACATTAAATTTATTCCCTCACTCTACAAAATGGTTTGGAAAGAAATTGTAAACTTTGTTTTTAGGGTTAAAATTGGTAAAACTAAATTTTCACCCCATAAACATTCAAGTTCAAATAAATGTTGCTTGAGTTATCTCGTCTAACGGACACTTACGTGAATGAATTTGAAGGGTCTGTGTTTTTGGCTTCTAAAGACCTCAAAACAAAAAAGAAAATCGGTCCTGAGTCCAGGTCTTACCATGAATACTACGGTAATAGCTTACCACACTTGATCATTGAGTTTTTGTAAATGATCATAACAATAAAAATCAAGATAAAAAAGTTATCATCTAATTCATTCAACACCCATCACTTTCAGATACACACCATCGTAATGTGTAATGTAAATAACTATTAATATTATGTATCATAATGTTAAAATTACTTTAATGCAATCATAGAGAAAAGATTTTGGGTGATGTTATGATTATGGATATCATAAAAGTTCAACTTTGCACAGGTTTCCTGGCGCAGTTTATTCTAGGCTTGTCCCTGGAGGACTGTGTCCGATGCGGGGTCTGGTGTGCAACAGAGATGGTTCAGCAGCAGGGGTGTTCATTGGAGGGGATGAGGAAATACACCGAAGCGCAACAATCAAACGTTTAGCAACATATGTCCTCAAAACATTTAGATCCATCATATTGTTAAGCTTTTAACTGATAGTGCAATATATGAATGAATCTGTTAAATATAGTTTTTATAGAAATCATACACTTGATTTTTATTCAAATGTGTCCCTAGGTGGTTTTATGACTCTTGAGTTTTTCTCACATTTCACTGCCATGCGTAAAGATAACCAAAAAATTTTAAGTGTGTCTACCAGTTGATTAAACTAAATTTCAGTGTGTTCAGGGGACAAGGGGTACAACGTTCAAACGCAAGATCTTTTGGTACCAATCTTACTACTCAATACTAGGCTATACTTTTCAGTGACTTGAGCATGAGATGGTTGGGCAATACAATATTTTGTGCTGTAAAGATTTTGACCTTGCTGCCTGCTCCAAAAATATGTTCGCTCTCTGATTCTGAAATAAAAATGTAATCATTGCCTGCAAAGGGACGTGACAAAACAAAAGGCAGGTTTGAAAAATTCTATTTTAGTTAGGGGCAAATTTTGCCGTGACCTTTGGGATCTTAAAATGAAAATCCTCTAATATTCGGTAACTTCTGGGACCCCTATCTAAAATCAGTGAATTCCGTGACTGGTAGACTTGTTGTGTATTGGTGTTATTTCTCAAACCCTTCTTAAGCCTATTTTTTCTAGCCCTCGTTTTGAACCTTCCTTAGTTTAACCACAGAGTGGAATATTTCAATTTTTGGGTCAGCAAAAATTTAAGCTAAAAACTATAATATCCCTTTTGTCTGTTTTGGCAGCGTTTCAATAATTCAGCACATCCGAAGGAGGCCTACTCAATGTGCTAATTAATTTTAGCAACACAAATTGTTCTATAGAATACAAGAAATTAATAGCAATTTATAAAAAATAATCAGCCATAAGCAGACAGTGTTTTAATCAATCCACTTGCAAAATTACAAAACTAGTTTACAATGACACAACCATATTATAAAAATTAATTTATTACAGCGAATAAATTAGTCAACTCAACTGAGAAGTATGCAGTACAAATCCAATACAATAATACTATAGTGAACACGGAATGCTAAATTTATTCAGACTTGTCAATGGCCTCGAGTCTCTCGAGGAGTGGGGGGTGAGAATGATGCCACATGGAGTACAACCAATCGTAGACTGGGAATCCCAGGTTGTCCTGATTGATTTTAATCAGCGCCCGTCGCAAATAAACAGCTTTACCGAGAGATTTTGCAAAGGCATCGGCCTGGAATTCAAACTTGCGACTGAGGAAAGTCAAGGCGAAGCTGAGTACCTGAAAAAAAGAAATTTGTAAAAATAAACCAAGTTTTGTCTAAATCTGAGACTATAGCTGCAAAAAGTGATGTTATGTGTTTAATATGACATGGAATGGTCCAACACTGTGCTGTAATGTTTAGATCCCTTAAATATTAATAGAACAGTTGGTATGTTTTTTTTTTAATAAAAAAATTGCTCAGTTTAAGCACTTAAGCTTACCAATTCAGCACAATTGGCAGTGCAGGCTTACCAAAAATATCAAATAACTAGGCATAGTTTGAAAACAGCCATTATTGTGAGCATACCACAACCATCGCAAATATAGAGTCAAAACAACAATTAACATTAGTATCACTTGACATTTTTTTATGTTTAGTTGTGATTTTTCAGTACTCAAGCCTCTAGCTCATTGCCTGCAAACTGTACTAAAAATACCCAAACCTTACTGAACGAGAAAAACATGCACCCTCGTTTACCCCCTTAGATTGATGTGGGACGGGATTAGCAGGGTTTTACTGAATGACTAAAACGAAATTTGTTTCTGTCAAGGATCTGTCGGTTTTTAAATCTTTTCATTGTTTTTAACTCTAATTTTTTTTTCTTTAAAAAAGAACGTAGGTACAACACAATAATATATATGATGACTTAATCCCTGTAAAGCAATGTATAAATGGGAAAGAACTTAAATGGAGTACTGGGATATAATGTTCATATTCTAAAATTTTTTACAAAAGCAGTGAAATACTCGTAGTGTACAACTACAAATGTTACCGTATTTTTTGTTTTAACACTTTCAACTACATTACCCCGTGTAGTAGAATTTATCAGTTACAGATATAGAGTTTAATCTTAATGTGCATTCATTTTGTTTATCACGATTGAATGTTTTATCTTAGTCAAATGTAGTTGTTATGATAAAGACATAGCCTTACGTAAACAAACGTAATCCTACTGGAATAGTAGTAAACTAACTAAACTTTTCGTATTAACTTACAGCGTTATATGGCGAAAATATGTAAACCAGAACAACGAGCAGTCCGATGATTACAGGCTGTTCGTAGTGAAATCCAAACGCTCTGTAAAGCTCCTTGTACTTGAATAAGTAACTGAATGCGAGAAACAAAAGCAGCAAGTTCACCTAAAACATAAATAACACATTAACATTTTCTTTAAGGAAACAACGTGAAGCACATTACAGCGGATATAGACATTTATTTTTTGCATTAATTGTTTAAAAATTATGCAATCCTGTATGTAATTCAATATAATTTAAAATTGCTAGTTAGGTGTAGTACCACACTAAATGTTCTCTTTGAACGAAAAGAATTTTAATTGGGCAATCAATTAACCATCCAACAAAAAGTCGGTGTTAAATGGCAACCAGACTAGGGTTTGGACTGTTTCGCTAACAAAAAATGTAAAAATTGACCTAAGTTAAATAAAACCAAATAAATAAATTGAGAAAATATAGCTAAGTAGCACAAGTTATCAGCTAACAGTGAAAAACTAGCGAAATCTAGTCTAGATTGGATGTTTACTTTAATGTCCAAAGTCGTTAAATATCGATAGTCACCTGCATGATGACAATGTTTTTGAAGACATGGTTGAGTTTCCAGTGGCCGAGCTCATGTCCGAGGACAGCGAGGACCTCCTCATTGTCACAACCCTTCTTCTCGGAACCTTCAGCGTCAGGCTTCGAGTAGTCCTGCAGTAGAGTGTCGAACAACACAATCCTCTTGTTTTTGAAAAATCCAAAAAAGTAGGCATTGCTGTGCACCGATCGTTTAGAGCCTGAAACAGATTTTAGTTTCTCTGTTAGTAGTCACGCAATCGGAATACCGAGAGGTATTTTTCATGGAAACCTGAAAGCTAAAATATGGGAATCTGAGAGTACAATAGATTCAACAGGACAAAAAAAACATTTGAATAATTACCTTGAATCAAATTAATTTTGGACAAACTATATTTTAAATTTTGTTATGTAAATTTAGTGTCTCAGGTATAGTGAGAATTCAAAACAAAACAATTAATGTAGGCCTAAAAAAAAACAATTAAATTTATTGAACATCTGTTACAAAACTCATCAGGACTAAAAGAGAGAGTTACTTAATAATAAAGATAAGTTTTAATGTGAAAACAAGAGATCATATTAGAGTTAGGCCTACTTACAGTTTAATCACATGTTTTCCACTCGGCAAACTAACCTTCGACCACGTAGAGTTTATACAAGGGAAAGCCGATGCTGGCGGCCAGTTGTTCAATCCGGGTCTTGAGCTCACCGTCGGGCAGAGGTGTGTATTTGTCAAACAACGGAGCGATGTAGTCCGGGTAGATAGTGAGGAGGAAGAAAGTGATGAGCATCGCAAAGAGCCACAAGTAGACGAAGAAGTATTCACCTCCGGCCTTGACAATCCACACGATCGCAGCAATCAGAGGCATTGAGATCACTTGCGACACTACGTAACCCTTTATTTTGTCCTTGATGTAGAACCCTGCTGTCTGGAACAAAAATTATTGATGGAAGTTTGGAAAACTAATGTGTTATATTTATTTTCAGCTGTTTATCAGCTATGCTTAGGGCCTACAGTAAAACTGCTGTCTTTGGGATTTCTATTCTCTATTATGGTTATTTGCTCACATATCATATTTCACTCACATTGCTCACATATCATAGGCTAGTATATCATATTTATTTTAGGCTACTTATATAGCCTAAAGCATTTATAGGAACTGTAACTGTGATATTATAATGTGTACACATTGCCATTGGCAACACTGCCACAACTTCCTTATCACAATTAGGCCTGAAAAAAAACTACTCTTTGACTCATACCTCCCTTAGTTGAAAATGCATCAAGTGAGAGTGAAATATTCTAACTTAATGTTTTGTTGTAGCCTACAGTGTAAAGTTGTGTGTTTCTTGAAGCAGTTTTCGCATGACAAAAACCTGCTATCCTCAATTTAAAATCTTTCAAACCTAGGCCCTTGGGAGTACTGCTATGCACACACATAACAACCAATTGCATCCTTTCAATTAAGGTTAGTTCAAACATTCTGGAAATAAGTGTATTATGTTATTATTTAAGATAGCTACTTCTCCATAGGGAAATTCCCTAAAGATCAATTCAATGACTTACAAGCTTAGCTGTCCACATTAAAAGTAGGTAAATAATGAAATACAACTTAGTATTTAATTTGAATTTACTCTTACTTGCTTGTTGAATCCGTGTGTTTCTTCCAGTACGAAATGATGATAAATACTAATAGGCAGTGAAGATATTGTATTGAACGTGTTCATGATAAGCAGAAACGCAGCACTGCGCAGGATCTCATTCTGTGATAGTCCGCAGAGTTTCAGTAAGCCCCCGGCTTGAACCCAAAATAGGAACAATCCATCAAACAGGATCAAGATCTGGAATTAAATCAACTAGATAATAAAGTTTCTAGAGACTAATTAACTAATTTCACTTCATAAAAATATATTTTAATTTTTCATTTGCTCACAATGTTGAATTTAAATTTTGTAGGACTACAGTAAGCTACTCCCAAATTATTAAACTAATTAATTGGAACTCCAGTAAAATGATATTTAGAGCTCACTAAACACATTTAATTTAAATTAATTACTATGGAAAACATCATACATTAGTTTAACTATTATGTACTACTATACCTACTACATTAATTGAGTAAATGTTAAAGATTCGACTTTCAATATAAAATCATATTGTAGCCTTGATTGAAGTACAAAAATTACGTCAAGAGGAGAAATAGGCATCCATCTTAAGGACGGACCTTATGTTTGCTTTGAAGGATTGGATAAAAAGCCTTGCAATATTGACAGAGGACAAACCGACACGTAATGTATATGTGAAAGGAAGAGAAAAACAACAAGTAGTTGCTTAACTTTAACCAAGAAACTAGTAAGTATAACATGTAGAAAAAACTAGTACATGTGTAAGTACATGTGTTTTAGAAAAAAAAGGAAGCCTGAGTTTCAAATTAAAGCTACAATATACCTAACTAGTAGCCTTTCTTTTAAAAGAACTGAAGAGACACCCTGTTTATATAGACCAGCTGTCACCAATTTTTCATTTAAAAAGAACATAGTTCTGTGAGCCAGTCACAGATTGCGCTACCTTATTTTTATTCAATGAGATAGTTAACATGAAATTAAAAGGTGCGGATTAAAGAAGTCGTCGCATTAGTTCAGATTGGTTTAAAATTCTGCATATTGGACAGAAATCATTGATATCAGCGCAATCTGTCGGTGGCTCGCCAAGATAATTTAAAAACTAGCGACAACTCAAGCAAGGGGATGGAATGTCTAAGAAGGAGAAAAGGTTAACCCTAGCAGTGGCCAATGTTAGAAGTGGGGAATGGCCAACCCATTTTGGCGATTTTGCAGACCTTTTTTTGAAAATTCGTAAAAATTCAACCGTACAAGTAAACCTAGCCAACCTCATATTCATTTTGTTCGGAAAGAACAGGAGAATCTAGAAATAGTAATATCATAATGATTTAGACAGTGTATTTTATCGATAAAGTGAAAAAAATAAAAAAATTTGAATTTTTTTTTTGAAATTTCAAAAGCGGCCTTGGTATTTTTTTTCTACGGATTTCTTTATGGGAAATTCATTATATACATTTTGTAGAAAATCTAATTCCCTACATAGAAATATATAACATGTTAGGAAAATATTTTTTTTTTATAAGTTTTTGGGGCGAAATATAATGACAAACGGAGAACCGAAAAAATTGAGAACCGTACAGTGTTAGTTTATGTTGTAAAAAGTTCTATAATACATGTGTATACTAATAATGATATATACATGTTTGTAAAGCTAATGAAGTAAGGAATCAAAAAAAGTCATAAAGTTTATGGTAAAAATAATTTTTTACCTATAAACATACGTATATAAAATAATGTTTATATATTTTAGCGATTTCTCGAAAAACAAAATTCACAGTACTTAGTATACAACTTTTGTACCAAATTTTTTTACTTCAAACCAACATAATAATCTTGTAGTGTATTCAATTACCAACATAAAAATGTATAACATGTTAGAAATATTTTTTTTGTAGGTACGTAATAGGGACATAATAATACAATAACCGCAAAACCGCAAATAAGTGTAAACTATAGCCTACAGTGTTTGCTTGTGTTGTGAAACATTATGTAGGCTGATGATATGTAGCCTACATATTTGTAAAGCCAATGAAGTAAGGAATCCAAAAAAGTCATAAGTATGATGGTAAAAAGTTATTTTCACCTATGATTATGTAGGCCTATCAATTTGAGAACGTTTTGAATTTTTTGCGCATTTCGAGAAAATGGAGTGTACAGTATTTAGTAGCCTATATAATTTTTTACCAAATTTTTTACACCCAAACCAATATAAACATGTTGTAGTGTATTCATTTACCTTTATAAAAATGTATAACACCTTGGGTAAATCATTATAACCCCTCTGAATGTCAGAATCGTCATTTTTGGACATGATGCTAACAAAATAGCCAACAGTAGTAGGCCTATTTAGTATAGGCTATAACTTTTTTACAAAATTGTTTACCCCCGAACCATTATAAACATGTTGTAGTGTATTCATTTACCTTTATAAAAATGTATAACACCTTGGGTATATCATTATATAGGTACAACAATCTCTGAATGTCAGAATCGTCATTTTAGGACATGATGCTAACAAAATACAACCTTTTATGAACACTATTCCACACAATTCAGTAATATTTATGCATGAAGATAACTGTTATACACACACACAACACTTCACTTACACTAACACTACGAACTAATAACATATTTAGTAATAAATCGCGGATAAAACTATTATGGCAACAACACAAACAAACAATGGCAATACAAGACAGCTGACAGACTGTGGCAGTAATGACTCACTTCCGTCGTCTACATCACTGTCTACATGCGAGCATACAGAAATAACCCTGAGTGCAGGGCTGCCACTCTCTGAATCTAAATTTCTTCCTCTTCAAAATGATATACTATATGACTAGTAATAATAACTTTCACTGTATATAATTCGTATTTTCCATACTGTCACCAGACGACTGTTGGCCATTTGTTAGAAATTTCGAAAACAGCTGTTTTCATAAAATCGTACCGATTGTGCAATCAATATTTAGTTATAAATATCACTACCACAATGAAGATAAAATCAATGGCTATCCAGTGGTATCACCCGCAACATCCCAAGACGAAAATTACCCGAGCAGGGTAATGCCAAACAAGACGTGTTTTGCCAGTTCCCAAGTGTCGGCTGCAAAAGTCGTACCACGCCAAAATTTCATTTGATTTCTAATCGTCGTGACATTGTTATATACCTGCTACAGGGTTTGTTTATGTAAGTTAATCAAATGAAAGTTCAGAATGTGATCTTTCGAATGGTATATATATTATTCTAATCTGAGTTGATTGTAAGTGTTTTTTTTACCGTTAAAAAAATTTCGGCCCATACCGTAACCAGACGACTTTGGCCATTCTAAGCATCAACGTCATACCGTAACCAGACGACGGTTGGCCACTGCTAGGGTTAATGCTAAATGTTATGTTTTAGGTAAACCTGCTGCTTTTGTTTCTCGCATTCAGTTACTTATTTAAGTAAAAAGACATTATATCCATTAGTCCAAGCAAATAGTTAAAGTAATCCAAAGACGAAACAAGATAACTTAGGCTAAATGCATTTATTGCACTTAAGTTAACTTAAACTTAGTTAGTCCATACTTAATCTGAACGTTAGTGCAATCCAGAAAAAAGGTTTAGGCCTAATTAATTCTTGGCAAGAACTACTCTGTCCAAATGACAAAGGAAATTAACATAGCTTCCACTTACAGTTGTGATCGCAATGGCGTACAATTCTTTAATCATTGAGAACTTGTTTTTGTCCAAGCCGTACACTCTAGCCTTGGTATAAGTGGTCTGATCCATGATGTCTTTGAGCTTCCCAGGAACTGTCACTTCATTTTTGTAGATTTTTTGCTGAAACAAAAAGCAGAGTGTAACGTTGAGTGAACCTCAGGTAAGGATGGATGGAAACATTGTTTTAGGAAATTTGAGGAGTGTGGCGTAACAAGCCGAGAGCCGGACAAGACTGACGACATCAATTAAGTTAAATAGCTTATTTTGGACAAAAACTTAACATGTGTTGCTAAACTCAGCAAATGCCTACTGGAGATAAGGACGAGTTATTTTATAAAATGTTGGTATCTGTAGAACAAGACCTTAGGCTGATCGCCTATATTTCATGACTGCTTACCTGTCTATAAGATAGATTTTGCTCCCACAAGAACTCAAGCCAGGTAAATGCTAATATCCCATACTGAATGTACTCTTCAATAGACATTATTGAGGGTAAATTGTGTTTCTGTATATTGTAAACGATCGGTGGAAATCAACTAGACTAGGCCTAATCCTATCGTTCCAAGATCCGGCAACTGGAGCAGATCAAAATACCATGATAATAAGTTAATATAAATACCGTGGTTTAGATAATTGTTAACTTTAGGCAGGCCAAAAGACACTGCTTACGCGGATTGGTAAGTTTCTAGCTAGCCTAATATTCGTTGTTTCTAATGTTTCTATTGCATCCTCGTAAGCACACTAACATAACCTCTATAACCTCAGCCTCAGCCCCCTGAGTTCTGTTCTGTTAATCTGTTCTGTTCTCCTGTTCCTGTACCTGTACTGTAGTTGGTATAATAAACAAGTCAGAACAGATTGAGGTGAGATTGAGATTAAGATTGAACCAGGCCGCGGCCTGCTCAATTTTTATTTCAGCTTCAGTTTTTCGATACGGACGAAATGAGAGCATTCTATTGACTGTCAAGACATGACGTCACTCTCTTCTCTTGAGGGTTGAGTCAAGGCCCCACTAGAAAAAAACTTTTTTTTGTATAAACGTTTTTGTGACAGTAAAATGTTATTTGATTTGATATATTTACACTTACATTTTGAATGTCAACTAAAACTAAATAACAAAACTGGTAAAAGACTTAAATTTTTATGTGGAAATAATTAGGTCCGTCTTTTGAGATTAGGCAGCATAACCGTCAAAACCACACTAGTGATTAATCTGACAAAAAACTTTAAAATGCATTACATGGGTGTTTAAAAAATTCTTTAAATATTTTCCGAAAAACTTTATGCTGTCATTCACTTTATTACAACCCCTAGATGCTTTTTTATAGTGGGGCCTTGGTTTGATGACTGACGTTACTGTTTGTTGTTTTTGTTGACTCAGTTGGATTTAAATAATCGTTATTTTTAAATATCAATTATAAAATTAAACTGTCATTACCTAACCTAACAAACCAAACTTGCTGATAATGAAAAAAATTAATGAAAAAGTTCTGTTCATAAAACAAAATTTTAAATGTCTCAAATGTACAGTTAAGAAATAATCGAATTCTAAGCAAAATCTTTGACAATAAGTTAGGGTCACCGGTGGAATCGATCTGGTTACCTCTTACATCGGCCCAGTTAGAAGGAAAATACATTCCACCATGTGTGGACACACTGTAAACCACGAAAACCGATAGCTGCTCTTCGTACTGTCATAGATTTAACATACGTATGTTTAATCTATGGTACCTGCCGTTGCGGTAATGGTGTTACCTCAAGAGGAGAGAGTTTTTTTTTTTTTCAGAGAGTGTAGGGTATTATTGTAAGGCTCTAGTCTTTTAAAACATGCATGGTCATAAATCAAATCAATCTACAAGACGAAATATGTTGTAATTAATGGCATTTATTTATTCTGCTTGCATAAAAGGCAGCTTTTATATATTAGGCCCTAATCGTGCGAAGTTCCCAGATCCTCTAAGCTTTTCTATTCCGTTCTGCTTCTAATTTATTAGATCGCATCATTTTTGGTGAGTCATAAATGGACGGTATGAGTCATAATAAATGTTGTAATGCCGATTACCTACTAGTCCACACAAGCTGTTGACTTATGGAACAACATCCACTTGTATGCTATGTCCGTCCCTTCCTACGTGAGTGACAAAAGCGTTGCGACAAGAGTGACGCCAGTAGAATGCTTAAAACGCCAGAATCTTTCGTTCATCAAATTGTAATAATAACAACGTCATGATAATATGTACAAGCTTTAAAATCTGTCCACTCCTTCGCCCCGAAAAATCCCTAAATTATTTTAACTACTCCCGAGGAAACAAAACAATAATATTCCAAGAAAATCCCATTCTCAGGACTTGAACATTGTTTATAGATTGTATAATGTTTGCTGTGGTCCTCATTCCTAAGTCGATGGTAGCCTCATGGTTACGGCCACACGTCTATGGCCATGGCCAACCTCCAACCTGACTGAACCTACTACTACCATAGACTAACCAATACATAAAGTAGCCTTCTCATCCCGTTGTAAAGCTCGTTTTTCGTGCTTAGTTCATGTTGGTGACACTGATCACTCACGGCCACCTTTAACTACAGGCCACGGCCTGGTAGGATTGGCAACGTCGCAAGTGGTGTTGTTTAGAGACAGACGTCCCATAAGATAACATGGCAGACAGGTGACATCAGCTCATTAACCAAGGCCCCACTAGAAACGTGGGGCCTTGCATTCACTCGCACTTACTCATTAAACTCATTAAACAGCAGTTGCCAATTCTACCAGGCCGCGGCCTGTAGTTATAGGTGGCCGTGCCGCACAATTTTTATTTCAGCTGCAGTTTTTTAATACGGACAAAATGAGAGTTTAAAAATTAGAAATAAAAAAATTATAAAACTAAAAAAAAATTTAAATAGTTTTTTAATTATAAAATTAAAATGTTATAACCTAACTTAACTAACCAAACTTGCTGATAATAAAAAAATTGAATGAAGGTTTACTTATCAAAAAAATAGCCACAAATTCAATTTAAAATTTTTCTAATTATAAAATTAAACTGTCATAACCTAACCAAACTTGCTGATAATGCAAAAATCTTAGATAAAAAAGTTAGTGCCACCGACAGGTTTCGAACTTGGTACCTTTAGTTTCTCAGCCCAGCACTTTATCCATTAGACCACCGAAGCCGATGACTACAAGTCGTATCGTTGCGGTATGGTGTTCCCTCAGCCAATAGAATGCTCTCATTTTGACCGTATTAAAAATACTGCAGCTGAAATAAAAATGCAGGGCCGTGCCTGTAGTTAAAGGTGACCGTGTCACTAGTGTGATTAAAAACAAAGCTAGTCTCAAAAGAGGCGGCCGTGCTCTATGGCAAACTGAAAAAGTTTTTTTTTATGAAAAAAGCTTATGTTTTGGTTTTTTTCTTTGTTGCGTCGTCATACTCATATGTGAATGTGAATGTGATTGTATTTTGACTTTTGACATTGAAAACAAAAATCTTTAGTTTAAAGCAGTAAGTTGTTGTGTAAGAATTAATGACATATTGAAATCGTATTTGATATAATGTTGAGAAATATTACTAAACATGTTGGACAGGAATTACTACAAACTAAGCGTTCCGTCAGTGTCCCAACTGCATTATATCATGAAAACGTAAGTTGTGCTTGCTAGATGTCTTATCTTTTATTTAAAAATTTGTTTGTTGTCGGATGATTGATGCTTCTTAAAGATTATCAACTGTTTAGCAGATTAAGGTAGGCCTATATGGACTGTACTCCTAAAAGGTTCAAGAGGAATGGCCTCGCCAAGAATGTAGGTAAATAAAGTCTGCTTCCTTGGGTCTTGCAACATCATGAGACCAAAATAGAGATCAGTGGTCCCGAGCCCATGAATGATTGCCTTGGAACGCCATGAGACTAAATAGGTAGCCTAGATTAGATTTATATGGCACCAACACCATTGGGATGAGCATCGACGGAACATTGTTGTGAAAACATCAATATTTTTTCAGTTTTCCATCTGCTTTTTGTACTGCTTTTTTGTACTAGTAATGGAAAACATCGATACAGTATCTCAATACTTGGCCAAAAACATCGGTAACGTACCACCATCAATGTAAAAACATCGATGTTTTGAAAAAATCGACTGGGCCTATCGATGCTCATCCCTAAGCTACAACACACAGGGGTGCGGAACTTGGGCGAAGAAGAATGAAGGCTTAGTAGGCTGTGTAATGATTTTGCATCTCCTGGCATAAGTTAGGCCTGATGGAGGTAAAATAATCATCCAGTCACAAGTTTCTTGACTACAAATGGGAACTTGTTAAAGAACACAAACATTTGAGCTTCTCTCAATCTCAATCCTGTTATGTTATACAAACTATAAGTTAAGGTTCTTCCATCTTCAACAAAGTAACTAAGAATACCGGTACGGGGGTACACTTCCATATCTGTTGGCACAAACAACCGAGTGAGTAATATAGATTATTTGATTGTTTAATTCGATATATCGTTTGGTTAGTTAGGTTAGGTTAACCTTACCTAACTAACCAAACGATATATCGAATAATCGATATTTTCATTCGGTTGTTTGTGCCAACAAATATGGAAGTGTACCCCCGGTACGGCAATTAAGAGAGTAGGGTTCTTGCCTAGACTGCTTTATCAGTCTTCAACATAACTCTACTGTTAAGATGAGTTCATTCTCTTATTTTAGTTTTTATTTTAGACGTAAGTTAGTTGTACTGTCGTTTTCCAGTAATGTAACCCTACATTTTGTGGAAATAAAAATTCTTGATTCATATGAGTTGGGAAAACTGAGTGCATTGAGATCTGGCCTAGTACAGGTAGGCCTAAACTTAATTCTAAAAAAAAGGATTTTGGAAAATCCTAACTGATCTATTCACACCCACCTGGTCACATAAGTGTTGGAACATCTAAAGACTAAAGTTGTATTGGCGTATAAGCCTGAAACAATTAAATGACCTCATGTTTCACTGTTTTAGGTGATTGACCATTATGAAAATCCCAGAAACGTCGGTTCATTGGACAAGAATGACAAGAACGTTGGAACAGGACTGGTCGGAGCTCCAGCTTGTGGTGATGTCATGAAACTGCAGATCAGAGTCGATGATAATGGGAAAATAATCGACGCAAAGTTTAAAACATTCGGGTGCGGCTCTGCTATTGCATCTAGCTCACTTGCAACTGAGTGGGTTAAAGGGAAGAATGTAAGTAAATTTCTTACTTGAGTTTTGTTCTCACCTTTTAATAACCAGTAGGGGGTAGACTTCCGTATCGGTTGGCACAAACAACTGAATAAAAATATCGTTTCCTAACTACCTAGTTACCTAACCTACCTAACTAACCAAACGATAAATCAAATGAAACAATCGGATAATCAATATTTTCATTCGGTTGATTGTGCCAACAGATACGGAAGTCTACCCCCAGTAGACCCTTTTTCAGATATGATCTTGTTCCTTTCTCAAACGATTAAACTTTCAATGTCCATTTAAACAAATTTATGTAGGCTATTGTGAAGTAACAGTCTTCAAGGCAAGACGAATTTCTGCACTTTTTTGTTTTAGGCAAAGCCAAAAACTCTGTCTACAGCTCAATCTGTTGTAACTTGAGTTACGGCCGTTTCGACATTATAATGCCATCGTCAGACGTTGAACATTCAGCTGAAGTAGCGTCGTCATAGTTGAAACACAAAACACGAACACGAATAACATTTTACTTTTACAATTACTAACGAAAACACAACGAACAGGCCTGTCGCACACACGGTACCGGTTGACATTGCCACGATCTGAACTGGATGCCGACTGGAGGTTAATCCTGCATCGTTCTTTGCGTAGTGGTGTTATCAGCTGACCTTTGTACTCCTGCCTTTTGTCTCTTGTCCTGGTCTAAAATACTATTGAAAATTATGTGTGATTTATATTGTAGTTTGTCATTTAATATTGTGTCATCAAAATTATTTTCTGTATAGGCTCTGTAAATTTCGTATTCTTCTAATGTGTCCAATTTATTTCCTTTCTTGCTTGTGTGGAGTATATCGAGGCCAGTGTTCAGATCATACATGTCATGGTTTTTATCAACCAGGTGTTGCGCAAAGGATGATTTTTGTTTGTCGGCTCTTGGACATGGGTGATGTTCTTTGTACCTGGTTCCGAATGTCTGTCCAGTTTTTCCTATGTAAAAGCTCGGGCAACTAGCACATTTAATTTTGTATACACCTGACTTCTCACTTTTGTCGATTACACAATCAGAAACGTTTAATTTATTAATTGTCTTGTTGTTGGTCTTGAACGCCAATTCGATACCATGTTTTTTCAATTCTTTCGTGAGTACTGAATTGAATGTGAGTACTCTACACACACATATTTCTTCTTTTGTGGTTGGACGTCTCCAGACTTTTTGTTTTTCATCTTACTTAATAACCTGTCAATCATATTGCTGTTGTACCCATTAGATAGCGCTATGTGTTTGATCAAATTGAGTTCTTTATTAAAATTGTTGTCTGACATTGGAACATTTAACAATCGATATAACATACTATTATAAGCGGCATATTTCTGTGATGGTGGATGGTATGACGTGTTATGGATGGTTTGGTTTGATGTGGTTGGCTTACGATAAATGCTGAAATCCAATCTATTGTCAGGTCTAGAAAATTCAAGAATTGTAATGTCGAAACGGCCGTAACTCAAGTTACAACAGATTGAGCTGTAGACGAAGGTAAATACCTATTTTTAATTAATATCCCAGCTCAGGGGCTAAAAATGGATTTTAATTAACAAAAACTCTGTTCATTCGATTAGCTATGGTTGGATCTATACCAGTTTAAGCATAGGCTACAACGGTCTTTACTCTTTTATTGTAGCATAGGCATATTGGTTTTTTATATAGCCTACTGAAAGCTAAACAAATTCAGGACATATTCAATGGTACACATTTGGATGGTAAATTAATTGCTACAAGAAGCTTGTATGTGGATATATTTTTTTTTAATTTACAACTTCTGTCACAATTTTATTCAATTGCGTAAGATGTATATTGCACCATGTTTCACTCTTTATATTAGTTTTGGTACTAACTTATTAACATCGATTTTAAAGTGTAGTATTTATGGGTAGGTAACTTTTCTCTTTATGGTTGATGAAATAAAATTGTTAAACCCTCCCTGCCATTCAGCCAAGTAATGCACCACTGTAAACTACAAATTTTTGTTGCTCAGTTGCCATTGCTTTGGTAGTAGTTTTATACTTGTTAAATTCAGAATAATCTGTTTAAGCTTTGTAAACAGTGTTTTATTGTATATGGGTGCCCAAACGACCCTCAGAATAAATTACTCATCCCTTCTTCATAAACATTTTGTCCAGACTAAATTAGTGAGGGTTTGCACTAACCTTTTTTTAGAGGAAATTATAGGCTGACAAAGATTTGTTCTGTTGATGTTATTATAGACCTACATCAATTATGCATAAATTATATTTTAGCCAACTCATTTTTGTAATTTTCAGCTGGACGAAGCTGGAAAATTGAAGAACACCGACATTGCAAAGGAACTTTCACTTCCCCCAGTCAAGCTGCACTGTTCCAGTAAGTTTACAAAGCAATACAGATTTTTAAGAAAACGCTTTATACTTCTTTTCCTACCTAGGAGATCACAATTAAACCTCCGCTTAGAACTTATCTGTACGGTTATAACTCTACAAAAATGGCTAATTCTGACAAGTTCAGGAACATGGGAGTCACATTTATAACAACTACAATTGGGCTTTTGAATGATCAGTGTTGTTTGTGTGATGGATCAGTAGGGCTGATCAATAGAAAATAAGGTGAATCTGCTGAGTTGATTTAGTGTAAATTCTCTTTCAGTGTAATATATCCAATCTATCCAATCATTTTACTGTCAGGGTTTTCTTCAACTTGGCTTGTTCTTTCTTGAGTTTGTTTGGAAGGTCGTAGAACATTGCTTCCCTGTAGGACGGCTCCTCTTCCTACAGGCTTAGTCAAAGTATTGGAAGGGCAAAATTTAAGACACATGTTTTTTTGTGATGGAGGCGTGAATTAATTCTTTTGTTTCATGAGTGGAGATTGTATTAAGTATTGCCTCAAGTATGTAAAAACTTTGAACATTTTAGTGGTAAGGGGGATGTAAAGATGAGGAATATTTTTTGTTGTCAGTGTTGGCAGAAGATGCAATCAAGGCAGCGCTGGCAGACTACAAGGTGAAGCAGTCTGGAAATGTGGAGAAGAAGAAGTCCTCAGCCTAAATCATGCATACGTGACACTACTGGATGATGCAAGATAAAAGATTATAGTCGGCTTAGATATCCATGCCGGATTGTAAATTTTATGTTAAGGTTTCAATTATGAATAAGTAAAATTTTGTTACAGTTGTATGGAGTGTTTGTTTTATAGCTGTATTAAATATTGTAAATGTAAATTATTTGATTCTTTCCCTTTCGGTATTGATTTGTAGACAAAAATGAGGAATTCACTCTAACCACAGAGTAGTAAGTTACAGAGGAAACTTGAGAGACGATTGTCCACTTTCAGCTCTTGTATGTTGTGCTGGAAATATATTTGTGACGAGCAAGGAAGAGCCTGAGCAGCTAGCAGTGTGCAGAAATTCCTATCAAACAGGGGGTTTCTCCACTGTGAGCATTGTAATACATGAAGGCGAGGACGGTGTTGGACTTTGCCCTAGACTCAGTAATCTAATAGTGTCCAAGACTGGATTTAGTTAGGTCTATTTTCCTAGTAATCATTGACTTGTGAGATAGTTGCATTAGCGATATAGTAGTAAGTTAAGTAACACCTCCTTAAGATTGAACGCTAGACCAAAATAAATAGTCCTTGTAAGATAATATATAAAATATAGACTAGTTTCTATTGGTTGTACTGTCCAATTAGCTTTGAGTATGGTGTCTAATGTTAAAAATTCAACAATAATCTCTATTTCCACAAATTAAATTGTTAAAATTCACCATTGACTATTAAATCAATATTTTATTCTAATAGATCTTTGTGAAATCACAGAGACTAAATCGGAAAAAATATTTGTTTTGTTTTCTTACATTTTGATACTTTGTTTACTGTAAGATGACATTTTAGTTTGTTCAACAATGGTTGATTATAATAGAAATCTGTGATTGACAGCAGCTGCTGATAAATCAAGAACATTAATTTTCGTTTGAAAACAGACTACACCTTTCAACATGGAAATGGGATGTATACTCTTTGGTCAGAGATTTCACTAACCTAAATTTCAGAATAAATATTTTGTTTGAAAGAACAACTTCATTCTGGAAAAAACAAGCAAGAACACGTTTTGCAACAATATTGCTGTAGAAAAAGGTGAGAAATGAAATGTATTTAAAAAAAACTTTCTTATTTAATATGTACAATTCTACAACTTATTTCTAAAAGTATAAATATACAAACCTTAAACTATTGATCACACAGATTTACATATAAAAAATAGGAAGTAAAAATGTAGATGAATATTCAGGAGAAAAATAGATGCTACACTAGCCACTTCATTTCTTGAATTACACTGGAAAATGAAATTTAATTCAAAATGTTTGAGAATAACTTCTATAGCACAGGGCAAAAGTGATTTAAACACAAATTCAATATAATTAAGTCACTTAGCACAGCTCAAAATTATCACTAAATTCTGGAGCCAGTTAGGAACATAATAGAAGTAGTAAGTTCATTAACCCGAAGAGACTTTTTGACTCAGATCCTTCACCTTAATTACATAATATATTGCCTATCCTAGGGATTCTTCATTAGTGGAAAACAATTAGAAAGAAGAATCAGGCACCATTTTGAATTGCCTACCATGTTTCTAGACCATCCAGAATTAGAAGTTGCATAGAAAATTTTAGTGTCTATTATAACAAACATTGTTTCCTTCCTCTTCCAGAGAATGATCATTTAGGCAAAGTTGAGATCAGTAACGTAATTTACAGAGCAGCCATGACAGAGTCTTTGGTAAGCTGTTCGTAACCGACTTGTAGGAAATACTGGAACGTGGTGTCTTCTCGGAGATGACCAAGGTCTTCGCAGGACAATATACTCTCGATAGATGGAACCATGTCCTCGCAACCTACACAAAACACATCTTGATGTATCAACATAGTCATTCATTGTATTATTGTGAGGCTTAATTAAAATTACATTAATTGAACAACTTCTTTAATATGATTTTTTTGTCCTAAGAACAACCTTAAGTGGGTAACTCAAAAGATAAACGGTGCTAAAAACTGACAATGAAACATGTTGGGATTCGGTTTAACTGTGAACCTGATAACCTAGCCCTGCTCCTAGCCTTCGTCACCACCAAGTTTACAATAAGAGCAAGTTTCAGATAAGGCTGAAATTCCTAGAAAATGTGACTAAAAAGCCAAAGGAGACAACATAATGAATTTGGGGGATGTATTCCAAACTTTCTAATGAAGGAAAACTATATTTTACCAAAGAAAGCAAACGCACACTAGATTCGGTCAAACTTACCGAGCATGCAGAGGTCGAAGAGCCGGAAAAAGAACAATTCCCGCACCAGTGTCTGTGGAGAGTTAGGGTCCATGTCGGTCCAGTTGTCTCTCAATATCGCTCTGCACCACACCTCGTTTCTGCGGACAATTAAAATTAAAGGTTTTAACTGAATGGTTGTAGCATGGCATTATCAAACCTATATTTTTCCGCAGGAACTATAAACTGACAAGAGTTTACATTTGAGATATTGTAAATATTTTTTTATGATAGCAATAGCACAATTACCTTAATGATTAAGGATATAAAAAATTTAGGCAGTTTAAGGGAAAGGTTTCCTGGGTTCCCCCACCACTTTTTTAGTTTAATTTATTTATCTATTGGCTGTTTTTTCAAAGTTCGGATGAAGTGAAGGGAAAAGAAACGCAAACCGCCTAAATTTTGTCAACAGAGCATAACAGCATTTTAAACCAAAAGTTCGAGTTGGTAAGTTGAATTCTTCAGGCTCAATAGTACTACCTTACTCAAATATGTTGAAAAAATCCATCACCTTTTTAGTACAATGTAAAGGTTTAAGTGTTTCTTATTCAATAGTGGACTCCTTCCCATTAAGGTAAGCATTCTATTTGCTATTCTAGCGAAAATTCTTAAAACCTAAGCCCTTGGGATCTATGGTTATGGTACATCCCTGGCACTTAAGTATAATATAACTTTTATACTCAGTTAATCATTCATCTCAACTGAACTTAACATAGTAAAGGTTAATTACATTTTTCTTCGATACACTTGTTTTATTATAAATAATACTAGAATCCGTTATGAAAGTGAACCGACCTCAACTCCATCTGCTCCTGGTTGTCCTGTATGAATGGCAGAATGTCTAGAGCAGTCTTGTAGGAAAACTCTGAGTTTGACGGGTTCTCGTCACTTATGTACATCTGTAAAACACAGGAAACATTAGTAGCTAGAATAGAAACCTTTACCCGATGTCTGTGACACATCTTGAAAAGATTTACAAGAGCCTCATCCAATGTCTACAAACTCTGGCTAAATGTTCTTGAGTCTTAATCAGAAACGTACAAACCTTCACCAGTTCTGAAGGAGTGAGCAACTTCATGTTCTCAGGGTCGTAACCGTACATTCTCAGAAGAGCTTCAGGAAGATTCTCCTGGTACGATACAAGTGTCAAACCCGACGTCAACTCCTCCACCTCAGCCCCAGCTGCCAGAGCCGTCAACTTGGCCAGAGACAGCTGTGTCTTCTTACGTTGCAACAGCTGAACCTAGAACCAATGATGAATCAAAATACCTATGTTTCAAGGGACACCATTTTGATCCTAAGGGTTCCTGTATTCTGTTTCCATTTGTAACATTTCCCCCTTGGGTTAAAGACAAATTTGTCTGATCATCCTACATACATAACCTTCACCAGGAAATTAAAACCAATAAAAATATGCTAATTAAAGGAGTTGTTTGGTAATTTTCCATTAAGATTTTTTTTAAGTATTCACATTTCAGAACCGACCTGAGATTTGATCCCATCCTCAGGCGAGAAAGTACAACTTAAAAACCTGACAATATTTGTACAAAAACCCAGGTAGGTCTAAAAATCACAAAAATAAAAATCAGGATAGCAGCTAGCTTACCTTGAAAGTGTAGGTAGGCCATAGAACAAGTAGAAAAACACTGTGCACACAATATTTCGTCCCCTGAGGGACTTTTTCAAGTGTAGAGAAAGAATGGTAATTCAGTAAAAAGAAAAAACTAAAAATCTAACGCCTTTGTCTTACCTCTTGTTTGGCCAGTGTAGTGAGAGTGTCACTTGCTTGCTGGTAGTTGTGACGTTCCAGGTCGTACAACCACGACAGAGACGGCTGATCCTTCAGCAGTGTAGCCAACTGTTCTCCACCCTTCTCACTACAATGCTGCACCAGAGTGCTCTGCTTCTGTTCCCGGATGTACCAAGAGAACAGGAACTTGGAGAAAGCCTGCAAAAAATTCACAAATAAAATAAAACTACCAATAAGTAACAATTCGTCACATTAAATAACTCGGCATAATTTAAAGGAAAATTTGTTTAGTGAATAACAAAAAGTCTGCCTTTCAGATGTGTACAGTCATAGACTTTGATTAACTCTTTTTTGCTTCTCAACTTTAGTGGTACTTCTATCTACTAACCCTTATAGTAAAAATTTTTCAGATAGTTCACTGGTAACCTAGTTTAGTAGTCCAAACCGCTGGATCAGCAAAAATATAGGTTATGCTATAATTAAATGAAAAATCTGAAGTTTTATATTGTTGTTACACAGAAAAAAGATAGGTTCAATGAGGACAACACATAACTTTGCATATCAAGAAGAATTTTTGGAGCGTGTTGTTAGTTTTATTTTATGAAAAAAAAAATCCTTTTATAGTATATTGCTTACAGCAGCACCCCTAGTGTCCAAAATATACCACTCTTAGCTTTTTAGTAAAAAATCTGTCGTATAGCGAACAAACACACTCTCCTCATACTAAATCTATATAAATAAAATTAGAGTTTTGTCTGTACATTGCTTAGAATAATGAACTTTTTGGTTATTTTTACATTTCATAGGTCAGAGAAACCGAATCAAACCTTATCTCAATTTCTGTCTGTCTGTCTGTCTGTCTGTCTGTCTGTCTATCTGTCATTCTCTTGGTAACGCTAAAATACGCACTTTATTACAACTACTCCTCAATAACTATAGCACTGTCCCGCCTGAAACTTATTTTCCAAATACTATACATATATGAGATGGTTTTAGACGTATTTCATCGAATATGAGACAGTTAGATATTTAACAGTAAACCCTTGAAAATCAAGTTTTTGTCGATTTTTGACGTGGAATTTCTGGAAGCCCATGTTAACCTTATGAGAAATGAAATTATTGAATCTTAACAGCTGTTTCAATTAAACAAGTTGGTTCTGTTCTGTGATGTTCAATAGCATTAAAGTTACAAGGATTACCAACAGGGTGCAGCACTAGCACTATTATTTCTTTTACATTTATGACAACAGCTAATTTGCAACCTGGAGGCGAGTGAGCGTAGCGAACGAGCTAACCTGAAGGCAAGTGAGCGTAGCGAACGAGCTAACCTGAAGGAAAGTGAGCGCAGCGAACGAGCTCCAACATACAGGTGAGTGAGCGTAGCGAACGAACTTCAACCAGGACGTGATTGAGCCATGCAAACGAGATCAGATAGTAAAAATAAAAGTAAGCCTACCGTTATAGGATCGACCGGCAGACACAGAGGTAATTTAACCTTTTATTGATTGTCATACCGATCCGGAACAACAAAAAACAACATAAAATGAAGCTATGTATAATAGTTTGGCCAGCATATCTTAAAATATGCAAACCAACTGCTGTTCGTTATATAAGAAGGTTTCAACTGAATATTATAAGATCCCCGTGCGTAGAACGGGTACACAGCTAGTTAAATATAAACTTGTTTGCATACCAAAGTATATTTCATACCATTCATTGTGTACGGTACCTGGTTTGAGAATTTTTCAATGTAGTGGTTTAATTTCTCTTTGTTTCTAGTTCGGTCACAAATATCAACCAATATCTGAAAGTCAAGGTATTTCTCCCCCAACATTGCTGCTCGTTCATATTCTTCTTCAGACACTGAAAAGAAAAGAAGAAAATAATAAACAAGGCTATATATCCTAACATTTCTAAAACAAAAAAATAACACTTCAAACCAAATTAATGCAGAATACTAAGAAAACATACAGATTAATCACTATCATTTATACAAATTCTGGAGCTAGTGTAAAGTGTAAGGGCTTTGAGCTCCAATAGCCGATATATCCGCAATTTTTCTCCCTATTTTATTATTACGCGATAAATTATTTGATAAAGCTTCGCTCCTTTCCCACACTAGAAGAGATACAGTGTGAACTAACCGTTATACAACTTACTGATAATAATAATAAAAACTAATAAATAAAAAAATTCAGTTTTGCCAATAAACAAAACAGAATTTAAAACTCACTGAACAGCTGTAGGTATGCCAGCCTGTCAGCCTCGTACTGATGTAGAGCGGCCGAATACATCGGCGAGTCCCGCAGACTCTGGACGTGAGACTTGCGTCCGTCCAACACAAAGTCTACCAGAGACATCAGCTGATCCAACAACTCTGCCTTCAGCTGCGGCTCTCCAGCTGTTTTCACACCGTGGGCGACTGTCAGCTGAATCTGTCACATAAAAAGAGTTGGATATAATTGGATGGTTGATGATCACACGTCTACTCAATTCAAACATCTTTTAGCATACTTGCACTCAACATAGTACAACAATAATTAGCATCAACATTCTAACAACCATTGACTTATATTTCAAACATCTCACAAGCTACCAAACAATTATACATTTAAAGTTTAGTTTAGTGGAACGGTTCTAGGCTAGGATTGTGATTTTTAGGATAAAGGGATTGCAGCTATAACCCCTTAGAAAAAGTCTAGGTAGGCTGTACTGTAGTACATAGGTCTTCACCGTTAGCCACAATTGCAAAAATCTTGGACATATCCGTTGATCGCAGCAATATCGTAAATATTTCCGAAGGTAACAAAAACATCGTTAACATGTCTTTCGTCTGCGGTATCTTCACGAACATGTCCCGCCATCATTGCACATTCGTCGTGCCGTCCTGAACGTCGCCGAAGATCATGCCGCCACTGTTAACATATCTCGATCACGGCATTGTTTTTAACATCTCCTGCAATGAAAATAAAACTGTAAAAATCTCCCGAGTTTAATACACCATAGTGAACCTGTCCATTCATGGAGCGATTATTAACCTGATCCTTCCACGGCAAAACCTTGAAAAATTCCCACGAATGCGGATATATCATCATCGTCACCAACCATACAGTAACATCTCCTGCGATCACGGAATTGTCATCATTGTCACTCTCGACATAGCAAAATCACTGACGGTTGGAGCAAATCCCACCGCGAAAATCCCGAATTAAAATAATCTCATCTTAATGATCGGAAGACTCTTTATCTGAACATTTCACGGAGTTTCGGCAACTGTTCATCCCTTTTTCAACTGTTAAAGTGGCTAAAGCCAACCTATCTCTAGTTTCAAACCTTATTACATATCGTACCTGCAGAGACAGCGAGTCACTGATGGTGTCCGAGCCACTAACAGTCGTCCACAGCTTCATCTCCCATTGGCCGACCCCCGGGTGGTACATGCTGCCGACCCTCTCTCTCAGCTCACTGACAGCTCGTAGCATCTCCTAGCACACAATACATCTGCGTTACATGACTTGTTGCTTCATCTATCTAGATTTTAGGCTAGGCTCAACTCTGCTCAAAAATCGAGTCTCAACCACCTTCTGCAAAATTCCAAATCCATTCTCCTTATGAACGACCAACTACTCTACATATCGCAACTCACCGCAACAATGAAACTCACCAGTAATGCAGTGTTGGCTGCAACCAGCTGATTGGCCACCAGCTGAGAATTGTGCTCCCGGAACACGACGTCTTCACTCCACCGCACAAGTTGCTGAATCCCCTCGTGGATCTGGCTAACCTGTACAACAACCACACAACAGCTGTTACAGTTTAATAACATTCAACGTCACCATTGGACAGCTGATACAATAATTTGCTGGGATCCCTTTTCTAATTTTTATTTTACATATTTTCAGACAATTCAATTGTTTACGTGTTTTGTAAGGGAATTTAGTTTTATAAGAAATTCTTTCTTTCCACTCCTCGATGATCAATCATAGAAGAGAAGTTTTTATTTTGTTCAGAAGTCAACACAGTACATATTCAATAAGTGGGAAGCTGAGTGGTTATAGTGGTCTAGTAATTGGAAGATTGCCAGTTCAATCCCGATAAAAGTCAAGAAACATCTGTGTGTTTGTAAGAAAATAAAAATTTACCTAAGGTTAAGTGAGTAATACGTACCTGGCGGTAAAACAAATCCTGGTTGGTCAGGTTGCCAAACGGAGTCTTGCTGCGTTTCAAAAGTACATCCTCAATGATTTTGTCTATGAGTTCAACATTGCTGAAAATCATAAAACAATTTGAGTTTGAAGTTAATAAAAATAAAACATATTAATTTGGATGGACAATATGTGAAGAGGCCTTGAAAGAAACACTATCAAACGATGTGCAAATGACTTTTACTCATATGTGCATAGTTCTTGTATTTTGTAACCATACTTATATTACATTAACTGCTTGCATCAACATAAAATAAACATTCTTACTCACTTGGGATGGTATTTTTTCAGCGCAAGAGTAGCGGCAACTTTTTCAGCGTGTTCTTGGAGCACAAATGATGTAGCCATCACTCTATCACGGACCGTTACGGTTCCCAGCTACAACAAAATCCAATGATCAAAATTAAAAAAAAAACTTTTGCTGCACACAGTAGGTTTTAATTTCAGAAAAGTCTTAAGTGTCCATAGTTTACACAACTATTGTGTTGTGTAAAGTTGAGATTAAAAGTTCAGTGAAAAGTATGGTACAGAATAAGAAAATACTGAGCTGGCAAGACAACATACCTTGTCCCACAATTGGAGGTCTTTGAGGAACGTGACATATCGCTCTAGAACCTTCTGCTTCTCCTCCAACTGATGAACAATCTGCAGAGAGTGAGTGCTGCTGATACTGAATTCTACAAAAAAATATCACAACATGAATTCTACACACAATATCACAACATGAATTCTACAAAAAAATATCACAACATGAATTCTACACACAATATCAAAACATGAATTCTACAACAAAATATCACAACATGAATTCTGCGACACAATATCACAACAAATTCTACAACACTCAGCATCAATAAATGCTGATCAGGATGGTGTTTTACCCAATTGACTATATCTGCCTACTGTTTGGCAGTAAACAATAATTTTTGAATAAACAATTTTGTTTGTGCAAACAGTTAAACACTGATAATTCTGCATCTATCTAGGGATAATTCTATATTTATTAATTTTGATTTAGGCCTACACCAAGTATTCTGATGAGTAATAGTAAGGTTGGTAGTTTTTTGGAATTTGGCTCAGGTAGAGCTGACTCTTAAAAATGGCCCGCTAGCCTTCTTAACTTTAATTTGGCATCCTTCTGTTATTTCAGATTGCTTAAGATAAGTTTCAGCATTGCAGTAAGTCGCATTGAATGATATGACACTTAAAAATAATCAATTGTTTTACAGTCGCATAACTGGATTGTAACTACAACCTTATTTTCAAGAGGAATTCAGGTAGAAACAACTTACTATTGGACTTTTGGTCTGCCCAACGAGGATCCTTTGAAGGAACATCGTCTATAAGTTCTAGGCTGGTTTTAACAACAGCTGTTGAGTCGAGGCTACCTGCATCACCACAGAACAGGTTGGCCACTACAGCTTTGCTCTGGTCCTAAAAATTAAATTAGTTACGGATGAAATTGACACACCTCAGCATGTATACCAGATTAAAATAATTTATTTGATTTAAGATGTTTCTTAGTACATTTTGGCAAACTTGCGATCTAAATAACATTTTTTCAACAATTCTATTTCTGTGGCCTTGATAAAAATCTGTGACCTTCAAATGATTTCTGTAACTTCAGTGACTGGTGGACGTGATGGAAGAGTAAAAATTTAGCAAATAGATTATTTCAATCCTATATTTTATAATTTATGAAGAAATCTACTCATAATCTCTAAAAGAAGTTCTAAACATTATAACCAATCTTGAGTTGACATTTACCAACTGTTTCTTGATATACATCAGAAAAGCAGCCTTCATCAATCCAACGTTGTCTTTCTGCTGTGTCAACTCTTCAATGTTGGTTTCAGTCACACTTTGTTCAGGAACCATTCCACCAATTGACCTGAAATCAGGGACAAATTTAAATATGATTATTTTGTAGGGAGGGAGAAATAAAAAAAATAACAAAACATGAAACATGTAATAGAACATGAACAGTCTTTTTGTCTATGGGATTATGTCTATCCTGTTTTATTGTTTTTTATAAATCATCACTTCCAAGAGTAAAGGGGGAGGGGAATAAGGGGGGGAGTGGGGGGAAGGGATGTATTTGCACCCTTTTCTCTTGCAAGCGTCATAATGTGGACCAACAGCTTAAGATGAATTCCTAACCTCTACGTCAACATTCAATAATCGCTATGGGTGATTGAGAAAATGTTCAACCCTTGGGCTAGTAGGCTTGTTGAGGTTAAATGAGTTGGTTTTTTTTTTAATTTTTCCATGTTTGTATTGTTTAAAAGTTACTTCAAAGGACTAACTTTGCTAACTGTGGTCATCCTGTTTCAAAGTACGATTAAAGCTAGCAATTAACTAAAATAATCAACACATACCTTATCATTCTTAACCTAGTTTTATGAAGAAACTGAAAAAACCAGATAAAACAGAACATCAGAAAATACCTTAGAAAATAAATCCTCAATCACAAACACATGGGATTCTACAACAAAATATCACAACATGAATTCTACGACAAATTATCACAACATGAATTCTACGACAAATTATCACAACATGAATTCTACGACAAATTATCACAACATGAATGCTCTATGCAACTCACATGCTTAAATCGTCCTGCGCTGAGTCACCGGAAGACACAGATATGAATCCATTGACAGTTGTGAAAAACACGGGGGATTTGCCGTAGAGCGCTCCGTCAATGATGTGACCCGGACCAAAGTCTAGGAGTTCTACTTCCCCTTTCTTGGTCAGAACTGGATATAATAAACAGTGTAAGTTAAAGGTGTATAAGAGAGTAACCTTAGTATAAGATTTGTTATTAACAGGTAAACAATCTTAAGGCTTTTATCATCTCCTGATGCAAATGCCTGCCAAGCAAAGACAATTAATATGTAAAATATTCTATCTGAAAATATCTTACTAGGATGTTGTGTTATAACAATTTTTTTGTATTTACAAGTTCCTGAAATATATTTTCTCTTATATGATAGCTAAGGTTTGTTCCTGTATAAAATAAAAAATGTTTATTACATATTTATTTATGATGAAAAAACTTAGAAAACAGTTTTTTGTAATGCAACTTAAATTTCAGAAAAATAATTTTTTTTATGAAATTAACTCTTTTTCTTTTGGGGTTCTTTATCATTGGATCTTTGCTCTCTATTAAAATTATCTATCCTCCAGAAAATCCTATTGGTTTTTCAAATGTACAACACTCAGAAGATAAACATAGCTTTATAAAAAAAGAAAGGCATTAACTTATTTGAATTTCAAACACATAAGTTATGTTTTAATACTAGACAATTGTACTGGTCAGGTTTTGTCTCTTGTTTGATTGGTCAGGTCAAAAATTTGAGTTCTGACTCTTGGGCTGAATTCAGGTTGCTTTGGAAAGTATGTTTTTAATATTAATTTTTCTAACAACAATCAGTATGTAAAATATTGTAAAGCATCTCCAACTAAACTGTAACCTCCGACTTGCGATTGCTCTGAAATCGTAAACATATTCCAGAGTTGCTGAAAAATCATGAGCTCCAGCAGTTATGGAAATATCATTAATATGATGTGGTTGTGACTAAATAGTGGATTTTCAACAGTACAACTCTTTAAAAAGATACTTCGTAATCATGTGATTGTGATAAAGTCGCAGAAAAAAAATCAAGCCAATCACACACCTCTAGTAATAAAACCTGACCCGAGCTTGTCGCAGAATATTTTTGGCGCAAACTGATCTTTTGTTTTGGGACAACTGATGGCCGATCCAAATATTTTGGCGATCTTCAGACCCACAGTTTCGAACTGCTCATAAATCTTTCTTCTACAAAAACTGCATTTACTTACTAGGTATGGCAACAATGTGGTTGTTGTTGTATACCAGCGCAATGTGTCCCATCAGCAGTAGTTGTGGTGTAGAGTCGTGCTGTGTGTGTGACAGAGGTCCCAACTCATCAGCTGTCAACTCCCTGAACCAGCTGACAGTCAGTGGCACGACCTGTGTCTTCACCAGCACTGTCAAACAGAAACACCAACATACACAACATGACTACAGTGCAATGTGTCCCATCAGCAGTAGTTGTGGTGTAGAGTCGTGCTGTGTGTGTGACAGAGGTCCCAACTCATCAGCTGTTAACTCTCTGAACCAGCTGACAGTCAGTGGCACAACCTGTGTCTTCACCAGCACTGTCAAACAGAAACCATTTAATATTTAAGAGTCCCTTAAGAGTCCTTAGAGGCTAGCGACCATCTTGGATATTTACAAACAGCTGCTAAAGATAGCATCCAAAAATATACAGGGTGCCCCGGAACTCTCTACCAATATTTTAGGGCATTGCTCCTGGGTAAGAAACATAACTAAATAAATATCATATTTAAACTGTCCGGAAGTCCTTAGTTACTCACACAGCCGCCATTTTGTTTTCTTCAGTTATTAATTTTTTTTCTAAAGAATGGTTAAACATACGAAATGGAAACTTTGCACAAACATTTATGACAACTAGACAAAGCTACCAAAAAATTGTCACGGTTTTTCAAATTCATAAAACAAAATGGCGACCATTTACAATTTTTGTAAAATCAATGGCTTTTGAGTTATTTAAGAAAGAAAATTTTAAATGGCCGCCATTTTGTTTTATGAATTTGAAAAATCTTCATAATTTTTTGTAGCTTTGTCTAGTTGGCATAAATGTTTGTGCAAAGTTTCCATTTCGTATGTTTAACCATTCTTTATACAAAAATTAATAACTGAAAAAAAAATGGCACCTGTGTGAGTAACTAAGGACTTCCGTACTATTTAAATATGATATTTAGGTACGTTTCTTACCCAGGATCAATGCCCTAAAATATTGGTAGAGAGTTCCGGGACACCCTGTATATTCAAACATCAAAGTATATAATTTAAATATCTAGGACAGTGTGGGATTAGAAATTGTCTTTGTAGTTTTGATTTGGTTTTCCATATTTTTTTCAAATACCAAAGTGATTGTAATTTAAATATCTAGTGCCACTGTGGGGTTAGAAATTGTATATACAGTTTTTTCATTGTTTTATGAGTTAGATCATCTAGGCTTCAAGGACTCTTAAGGGTTATTATTCGGACATTTTCCATCAAGATAAGTAAAAAGCAAGTTTTTACTGCGTTTCGAGATCTGGAATCTAAACCTGTTCTCAGGTGAGGAATAACCTTAAAACGTAACAAGATTAGTAAACAAACCCAGCTAAAGCTGTAAAATCACATGGAATAACCCCAGTAAACTGTATAGTCAGAACAAAGAAACTTGAAACAATCGTTTAGAACTAAACTGGGAATGAAAAAAATCGGCACATCACAAGATGGCGGCTCAAGGGAAACTGAGCTCACCTTTTTATTTGAAATAGTTGTAGAGAAAAGATTTATATTACCCCACAATGTTATACTGAGCAAGGTAATTAGAATGATCATATTACGATTTAATAAAATAACTAATTACTGGAGACTAGTATAATTAAAGTGCTCCTCTTCACCAGAAGTTTGTTGGTTTGATTCTGAGAGGCTTTCTTTTGCTTGTCACAGTTAATCAGCCAGTAAACATGGTTAATTATTTAGCAGTTGGGTCATTGGTTGACAATTCATAGTACTAAGACATTATGATCATCTCCCACAATCACAACAAGACTGTTGGTTATCATCCACAATCACAAAATATTGTGATCACCTCCCACGATTACACGAGTTTAAACCATTCCCTAACCAAACGTCTCTTGCCGTGAACATGCACATTGGAAAGGATGTAAGACTGGTTGGCTAGTTACCTAGAGCGAAGGTGAGCTGGGAGGAGTCATGAGCTCCGGCCACCAGCAACATTACTCCTTCAGGCGACTCCACAGCCTGCATGTCCAGCAGAAGCAGCTCTTGTATATCCTGCGTGTAAGTACAACAGTGAATGATGCGGTAGTGATAGCATGATAATTAGGCTTATAGTCGTCCTAGCTATAGAAAATGCTGATCATAGTAAGGAAAAAACAATACATGGCATCTATCTCCATTCTACAATCATTCTTCATCTTTTTTTTGTTTAAAATACTCCTAGTTGCATCCTCTTCTTGATTATAGTGATAATTATAGTGGTATTGAGTTTTACCATTGAATTTGCCAACCACTGAATGCTTAACTAGGTACTTCTATAATTACAATGTTATACAAATAATGATAAACTTATCTACCTTGTTAGCGTCAAGGAACGCCTGACGCAGAGGCCTCGAGAGGTCTCCCTCCAACAGTAAATTCTCCGAGTCTCCGCCCCTTAACTGCCATTTCTGAAGCGAGTGTCCAGCCAACACAGTGACCGTCCACTCTCCACCCATGCCGGACGTCGTCACCCTCACCAGTTTCTGTCAAAATTTTGAAATTAGACCAACATTTTTTTAAATAAGGATATATCATTGAGCACAAGGGTATAGGTTATTAGGGGTTTTAGTGAGGATAGTAGGCTTACCTGAATGGGAAAGAGTCCAAACTGGCACAAGAGACATGGAACTTTACATTATATTACACACAACACTGTCACTAACAGCATTTCCAGCTAAGGAAGCTGTCAAACTTCCTTTCCATGGTTCCTTAGTTGAAAATGCTGTCAGTGACAGTAAAGTACTCTAACATAAAGTAAGGTTTCGTGTTTTTTGTGAATTTTTAGAGTGAACCTGTTTGTTCATTTGGGTTTGGACGCTTTCACATTCAGATAAGCCTGCAATCCTTAATAAAGTTCAAAATAAGATGCTAGGAGCGTATTCAAAAAATTAACTTTTCTTCTGCTATTGCATTAAGTTTAATTAAACTTTGTGACATCGGATGAATTTTAAGAAAAAATTAAAGGATAGTTTTGGTAATCGTTTAGTTTTGTCGGCTGCACTCACATTTGTTATTTGTTTACCCAGGATGTATATTGCTCGTAGTAGAATGAGAGAGAAACATCTCACTCACAAGTAGGAATTGTTTTACGATTAAATTGTGGTCCTAACATTGAAAACCCCAAAACATTAGGCCTACCTTAAATATTACAATAGAACATACCGTTTCCATAATCTGAGTGGCCGGCAGTGATCCGAAGATGAAAGAGCTCATTTTCCGACTGATCCCGCCGAGCCAGCCGTGCGGCATCTTTACTGGGCGACACACCAGCGAGTGCCTGGCTGCGGCGAAGGTTGGAGTGACCAGTACCAGCGTAGCCGTGGTGGTGACTAGTAGCGCTCCTAGCGGCAACAGCGGATGAAGTGAGTCGCATTCTTGTCCCTGTAGCTCTGCGTTGGTCTCGGTCCAGCTGCTCTCATGAGCTACGCTCGACCAGTAGCGGACGATGCCTTCTGGTGACACGGCCAGACAGCAAGGCATCTGTCAAAGTAAGTGTGATGTCTTGTATGGAACCATACATAAGGTAATTAATCTTATAAAGCACAAAATAATAAAAACTAATAGTTGAATTTCATAAAATTTTGGAGGAAAAAGCAACAAGTAGGAATATACTTAAGAAAAAGGCACAACTAAGAAAAATTTCAAGTAGTTAATAGCATTTAAAGCACAAACAGTTCACAACATTATTAGATTTATATTTTGCCACTGCACTGGATTTCTTTAGAATCAAGAAAGGGGAATTTTAGTCATGATCATATTCTTGTGAGCTAAAATCGGCCTGGAACTCTTTTTTAGGTAACGTACACCACTAACAAGTGGTGTACGTTTTCTGGTTCTCTTAATTAGAAAAAAATTACTATTTTCTTTATTTATTTTGTCTCTTTCTTCGCCAATGACATTTTTTAAATTTTTAAAGGGACCAGTCCAAACCCTAGTCATGTTACTACCTATCGTCGACCTTTTTGTTAGATAGCATTGTAAGTTCGTAGCTCGATGACAAATGGCATCTGGATCTAGAAACAACCTTGATTGAAATCAAACCCGGAAGTTCTTAGATTTTTAAGGGAAGCACTATAACCACTCAACTACCAACACAATTAAGTTATAGAGAAAATTTTATTGGTCTTAATAAGACCTTATAGCATTACATTGCTCACCCAATAATCAAAAGATCACGGTTTCATCCTGAGAAAGGTTAGCTATTTTATGGTTAAAAACCAAACCCAGTTGTCCCAAAATATTATCAATAATCTATTACCAAGCATTATTTATCATGTTACGTTGAATGACCCCCACCATGACTTTACCTGGGATGGCTGTTGAGTGTAAACAGTGATGAGATGCGCTCGATGTGCGAGGTCGCTGTGTGGCAGAGATAGTTCTCTGCACTGAGCGCCATGTACCTGCCACACGAGCAGACGCCGGCCACACACGAACCACGCCCAGCCGTCACTGGACACGTTTACACTGGCTGCGCTGTTGCCTAAAACAAGCAATACAAGGTAGTACTAGTTCTATGTGTTCTATGATGACGAGCAAAACAGAAAAAACCCAAAACAAACTGTATGACTATTAAATTGTATATTTTACAGTTTTAAATAGGGATGGACAAGATTAGATTTTTAGTTCGACACGAGACGAGACGAGATTTTTTATTTCTCATAAAATTTCGAGACGAAATCGAGACGGGATTTCCCTTCTCATACACAACGGGAAATGCACGTTCAAAATTTTTACCTGATTTTGTAACATTCATAGATGACTGTTTAAATACAAAAATAATGATAATAGGCAAGAATATTTACAATCTTTTATTAAAAAACATCAGCATAACATTTTTTTATTAATCACGCCTAACTTATTAAAAATGCCTACGATTAGGAAACATGTGTTCAGTTAGGATAGAGTTCAACTTATCCTAAAATAAAATAAATCATAAAATAAAAGCAATATTAATTTTTATAAAATAGTTACTTGTTTTGACTTTTTATAGTAATAAAACATTCCTCACACTGCTTACACTTAACAAAACTTCTCAAATGTTATTAAAGTAATATTATTAAAATAATTAAAGTAATATTTACATTTAAAGAATTAATTAAATAAGAACGCCTTCGCAAAGGAAACGCAACTACAACACGCTCCTGTATTGCGGGTATTGCATTGACTTTCTGCAGGCGTTTTTAATATTTTTTTTTTTTATTCTTGTCTCGATAAAAATCTCGGCCAAAAAGAAATCTTGTCTCGTGTAATGAGATTTAAAATTTCCCGAAATTTCGAGACTTGACCATCCCTAGTTTTAAATCCAACTTACAGACTCACATTTCTTTCTGGAAATATCATTTAAGATGAAAAACAAACTAAAACTTTTACCTGTCAGGATTTTCTATTCCATGTGTATCACATTTATCTATGTTAAACAGAAACATTGAAAAATATAAAGTTACCAAAGAGTTTATAAATTAAGAGATAGGCCTACCTAGTTGAGAAAGATACTGACCATCTGAGAATTTTAAAGCTTCTGCCACAAGAACCGGAAGCTGGGTGCCAAAATGGTCAACACTGTAGGAAGATGTCGTCGACTGGTTAAAGCGGCTGGATAAATTAAGTCTCCTGCGAAAAATACCTTTGGGTCAAATACTTTTTTTGAACCAGCTGACAGATTACCGTACTGTAAAACAATATTATCATAGAGTAAGAAAATTGCTTCTGACCTCAATAAGTTATTGATCTTGATAACATTCATGCATTCATGTACTGTACATGATTGTAAGTAGGGTAGGCTACATATTAGATCCAATACAAAAGCTTTTTTAGCCTGATCTTTGGGGACCACAAATATTTTTGTCAGAGATATAAATTAGACCAAACAGTTATTTGGGCCAAAAAAGACAAGATTAGACGAAAAAGAATATAAATCAAATTTGAATAGGCCTATTCAACCAACTTAATGTAGGTTTAAAGAATACACCGAATATTTGATTAAACTAGTGCACCTGTTGCTCGAAAGTGCTGCAAAGTATTACAGTCGTCATTTAAAAACCTTCAAAACCAAAAACCCTAGTCATAATTTACGATGTAAAAGAGTCAACTCCAAGATAATGTAATCAATCACTCCACTCCAGTGAAGCTGAAAACTAACTCACTCTGAAAATGAACGCTCTTGCGTGTGTCATGTGTTTACTATGAACACTAAACAGCTGTAATTAATACAAATTATTCGCCTGTTTAAGTAAACAAAATCCTTTCTTCATATGAAATACATTGGGATTTTGATGGCCTGTGGGGCAAAGTCCAAGTTAACCTTTATTACTGGAATTGGAGAAAGGGGGCGTCTACACAAAAAATACTTCATTTCGACACACCGTTTGTAAAAATCTGTTCATTAATAACGGATGAGTAGTGTTTCGTAGAAATCGCCTTCACGTAGGCCTATTATATATAAGGATTGTTCTGAGACAAACTTACGAGGGTGTTTTCATGGATAGCACACTTTGTCTCCGTGAGTTCACTGTTTTTGGTGAGAGAATTCCTCTTGGAGACAGGATACTTTTGAAACTTGAATTCATCTTGGCTCCTTTTTTCTGAAACAAAAAACCTCTTTAAATAAAAACCTATAGAATAAGTTTGTTCCTTTCCTATGAGGAAGTTTACTAGCCCTCGTGACAGACAATCACCAGATCTACATAACTTATTGAAAAAAGAAGCTCCTGGTCTCTTATGGATGTGCATGAGTGGGTTTTAAAATTTGTGTTCAATATTCTGCAAAGACGAGTTGTGGGTCTTAAGTGTAACTCTTTCTCTCTCTACAACTAAAATGATCAGCTGTAGTCGAAGAATATTTTCTCAAGTTATAACTTTAATTTTGTAATTTAGTTATCATCCATGGTGGAAGAAAAATACATGTGCTATTCCTGTCATATGCTGACGTCACTCAGATTGTAAACATCATTTTACCGTTTAGAAAAATTATAAAAACAATAGCAATCAAATCAACAAACAATATTGTTGCTGCCTAGAATGGAAAAAACTTACTGTTTCTGTTAGCTTAGATCTTGTTAGTGTTTCTATTTATCATATATTGTAAATTCATTTATGTAATTCATTGCTCTGATTTTGTTCTTGTATCAATTTTTTGCATTGTTAGGTAGGCCTACTGTATGTATTGATATTTCTCATTGACTAATCTGTTAGCCAATTTTTCTATTTGTTATATTGTTAAGCATATTGTTCTTTGCTTTGCTTGTGAAATTTGTTGCACAGTTATCATAAGACATGAGACATTTATTGATCTTCAAAATCATGTCAATTTTGAATTCTTCATGCATAAATTGGCAATTTGCCGTTGTATAAATGAAATCAAATAAAAACAAATAGATACTTATATGGCAATACGATCAACTGCTTTGTGTTTGCAATCTGGGTGACATCACCATATAACGGGAATAGCACACCTATGTATTTTTTTTCCACCATGGTTATCATCAGGAATCGAATCAATAGCTTAACACTAATACCGAAACCCTACCCAGGCTGACGCTAACGGAAACCCTCGGTCTGTGAGACCCCATTTAAAAATAATGGACCCCGCTTAGAAACACACAAACCAAAACACTGGCCCTGTGAGACCCTGCCTTAAAATACACTAACGCTGGGCTTCTGAGACGGGCATGTTATGAACAGACAACCTGTCAAGGTCAAAGCAACCACACAAAATAAACAAACAGTATATCAAAAGGTAGGGGAGGAAAAGGGGGTATTGGAGGAATGGAACCCCCAAGTAAACAGTGTTGCCAACATACGTTTGTGAAAATTCCCGTGGGCCTGTCAGACCGGGATTTAGTTTAAAGTGTTAACAAACACTTGCTCTCAAAAACATTGGCCTAATTTGATTTGAATTAAGTTCTTAATTATAGAAGAATCCATATCCACAAAGCTTAAATGGGTTAGTGCCGCTTTCCCTTGATAAAAAGGGTTTTAAATTTACTTCACAAGTTAAGGCCTAGGCATATAAAATACCGCTAGCATAGGCTTGATTCTTATAAATGTACACAACTCACTGTCAGAATGTCTCCTAGGTTAAGTTACCGGTACACATTAGGTAGGTTAGGATAGGCCTATGCCTTGTCATAATAACGATCAAATCCTATTTAAATAACTTCTATTTACTTACCAAGTGGATGGATTATGGATTTTTTGTAATAAAATGAATAACTTAACTAGAATAATTATTTTATAAAGAACTTTGTAGGTTAGGAACGTCTTTAGCTAACAGTCCAAGTGTCCGTTCCAGATCAACATCAAAATCAAAATCCAAATTCAGTAATTCAGTCCGGTTTCCGGTTCCCGTCCGAGTCTAGTCCAGATCGGTTGGGGTATTTACTCAGGGGAGGTATAGAAGAGGCTACGATGACAGCTGTGGGCTTCTCATTACCGTAACAATACGATCTACTATGTCTACTATCGCCATCGGCCTCGGTGGTCTAGTGGTTAGCGTGCCGGGTTGATATGCTGAAGGTTCCGGATTCGAATCCCGCTGGAAGCATTAATTTTTGTCCAAGATTTTTTCATTATCAGCAAGTTTGGTTGGTTTGGTTCAGTTATGACGGTTTAATTTTATTATTATTAAGTCATTATAAAATTTTAATTGAGCAATTTCTATTTTTATTTATATTAAACAGAATTATTTTTTCTATTACTAAACTTTTGTTATATTATTTCATTATCAGCAAGTTTGGTTAGTTCGGTTAGGTTATGATAGTTTTTATAATTAAAAAATAATAAAATTGAATTTGAGGCATTTAAAATTGTATTTTATGAACAGAACTATTTTTGCGAATAGTAAACCTTCATTGCCAAAGTGCTCTCTACTACAGCGCTGTTTACGGAGGAATTTTGAACTAATGCCTCTATCGTACCTCCCCTAAGTCAGACCCATCGGTTGGTTTGCCGCTTTGCCTGACAGTTTTCCGATTGGCCGTCTTTACCTTTTTTCCACTAGGTAAACGGCAAAATAGTTTTAGTCTATGATGCTGTGTCGTTTCCTTATATCATAGATCAAACCATATGATTGTAATCTTTAATCAAACATCAAACTTATCCACCATCATTATGGATCGGCAGAAGAAAATTAATCCGAACTTTAGTTGAGATCGGTAAATGCAATAGGTGTTTTATTGTTAACCATCGGTTCCTTGTTATTCTACATGCCACTATTAGACATGTTATACATAAAAGAGATGGTGGGTATTCCAAGTCGAATGGAATCCCCCAAGTAAACAGTGTTGCCAACGTACGTTTGTGAAAATTCCCTTGGGCCTGTCAGACTGGGGTTTCGGAGTGCTAACAAACACTAGCTCTCAAAAACATTGGCCTAATTTGATTTGAAAAGTCCTTTATTATAGAAGAATCCATATCCACAAAGCTTAAATAGGTTTGGGCCGCTTTCCCTTGATAAAAAGGGTTTTAAATTTACTTCACAATTTAAGGGGTTTAGTGCCAACAAAACAACCACACACCTCAACTTATTTTTTCTGGAGTGGTGGCTGGTTGTCACAGGGTCTTTCCTTGACGGTGTTGCTCCTCAACAAACTCCTTTTCAAATGCTTAAACGAAAGTGATTGTGATACCATTGACTTTATATCTACTGTATCCATATTAAATTTGGATTCTGAAAGAGGAAGAGGGATCTTTTACCATGCTTTTACATATCATGCTTTTACAATGTACTAACTTAAATATTTGGAGTGTGTTATTGTTCATGCAGTTTTGATTATTTTAATTCGAATTATATTTGTTTTTTAAAAGTAATTTCTGTATTTTTTTTACTTTGAAGGCTTTTAATTAATACATTCTGCGTTACCAAATTGTGCTTTCTAACAAAACCAAAAGCTGACCCAAATTGTAATAAAAATATTAAACATGAAAAATGACATATTAACTCAATCGATATCCAGGAAACAACCACATTTAAGTGTACCTTGGGACTGCATGGATACTTAAAAAGCTACAGCCTTGGCTAAGAAAAAGAAAAAAACAGAAGAGACCCACGACAACGACGACGACGACACTTGCTTAAGGTTTTACGACCTTCTAGTCGAAGGGGGAGGTGCAGATGTCGCGCATGCGCACAAGCTGTCACTGTTGTTATTTTCAAAGTAGCAGTAGCAGTTTTGAGAACCTATTGCGTTACTTCCCGTTCCCGGTCACTACACCTTGTAACGTTGTAACCGTTAACGGAATTGCCACGCATACTCACTCAGTTTGACAGATATTATTTTGGTTTGTTTGTTTTGTTTCCTTTCACAACCTCGAACTTCGAGTTAAGTTTAAAGGTACTAACTTAGACCATGGATGTGGATGAGTTATGTTAACTTCGATTAATTTTTAATATTGAATGTAAAACTTGTAATTAATGTAACTACTTTCTTCGGCGTAATTTTAGATTATATTTACTAAAAGCCATTTAGAAATAGAGAGATTTGAATGATGACAAAGCTGTCCGTAATACTAAAGGGCTATAACAGTGTGTAGGAGAGTGGCTGGGTATAACAGCTAGTGTGGTACGGTTACGGTAATACACATCTATAAAGCACAAAAACTTTTAAATAGGCTAAGTTAAATGCTGCCTTTTTGCCAACGATAATCGAGCCTAGTATTTTAGTTTGTATTTTAAATCTTATTTGTGTAGGTAGGCCTATGTACCTACTCTTACTTTACTTTAGATGAGAATGCGGATCTCATAGCCATAATTTCTAGCCTAGTTTTTGGCTAGGCCTCTATTTGACCTAGGCCTACATTTTAACATTCTCACAGATTAGCGGATAGCTTTGAGGATTTAAGCTATAAAGGGTGTAAAAATAATGTAAACCAACACATCCTAATTACTATTAGCAAGTAATATCATAGACAAAAATAATTCTTTTTGTCTATGGTAATATAGGCCTAAACGAAAATAATAATAAAATCCACCACTAAATGGTTAGCAATATAATTCTAGCCTAGCCCTAGCTAGAAAGAGACCTAATGCTTCACGGCTTTAGTGCCAGCCTCAGCCTGTGGTTTGGAGAACTTTACAAACCTGCAAACAGCTATAACGGTTACAAAACGGTTTACTAACGGAACCAAAAGTTTACTATTGCTAACAATGCTAACTGTGCAAATAACAGTGACACTGACAGCATAGCAGTGCTTGTGCGCATGCGCGACAGCTGCACCTCCCCCTTCGACTAGAAGGTCGTAAGGTTTTCGTTTTAGGTTATGTCAGTGTTTGCATGGTTTGTTGAATTGACAAAGTTTCCTAAACTAAAAGTTACCTTTGCATGATTTGTTCCAAAAAATTTGTTTAAAATTTAAAACATGGCTATTGATACTACTCAAGAAACCCATAGACCCGGGGCCTTAAAACAACAGAATAAGACTCACAAGCATGGAAGACACAAAAGCAAAGGAGCCCTGGAATCATTGAAAAAAGGTATGCTTGCAACAAAAATAACATTAATTAAGCCTCAAAGTTAATAATATGTTACAATAATATTCAACACTATTCCTAAAACACAACTCTTTTTATTAGGTTGAGTTAATAATTTTAGTAAGTTGAAAAACCAATATGATAGGCTTAATTTTCATGAAAACATAGTTCATGTAAAAATACAATTTATTTTTTAAATAATGATGTATTATCAATGATTTCCAGGGCGAACCATGGCCAAGGCTGTCAGTCAGAAAGCTAAGCGTGAACTCAACAGAAAGGAAAGACGTAACATGGCTGTTCAGATGCGACACAAGAAGCGCCAGGAGTCCATGATGAGAGTGAGGGATGTCAATGAGCCTCCGTTTCTTATTGCCTTAGTACCTCTCAATATCAACTTGAAGACAGCTCCCATTTTGGAACTCTTTAAAAATGTTGACAGTCAGGCGGTTGTCTCTTATACCGCTGAAACACATCTCCATGTTGGGTAATTTTTTTCTTATAATATTAAAACAAGGTATAAATTCATTACAATTTGTTATCACATGTAAACAAACGTATGTCCAATTTAAGAAGTAACAACTGTACAAATTGAATAAGAACACTAATTAACAAGGAAATGATCATAAACTGTATCCCTCCAGGATGCCCAGGTTCGGGAAGAGATTTACACTTGCGGAATGCAACAGTGGGAACGTCTTAGACGTGCTTGACTACCTCAAGGTGGCAGACTCGGTGCTGTTTCTTGTGTCTACCGAGGGCATCGATGCTACGGGAGAGTTGCTGTTGACAGCTGCGCTAGCTCAAGGTCTCCCCTCCACTAACACTGCAGCAGTCAACTTATCCAGCTTGCCCGTCAAGGTACTGATCACATCTGGTGAGAATGTTAATCTAGATGTTTCTTAAGGATTTTGGGTAACTTAATGGTTCTAAGTGAAAAGTAAACTTACCTAGTTTCTTTTTTAAGAGGTTGCTGTCTCTTTTAACCTTGAATTTGTCTGCCAACATCAGTCTCAGACCTTTGCGTGGAACGTAAAGCATTGGATGAGCCATACTTACAAGAATGACCAAGGTGTTGATAAATTTCAAGTGGAAAACCTGTGACAACTAATTAAGTCTGAACTAGAAGGTTTTAAAGATTCAAGTTTTGTGATAAAAACTACGTTTATGAGATCTGCCACAGCTAGATCATTGATTGTTCAGTACAAGGGAAAAATATAAACCTCATAAAAGGTATTTTGGACATGACAAAGGTCTATATAAGATGAGTAGGCTACTAGAGTGAGATAGGTTTGATATCATGTACAGTAACTTTTTATTAAAGATGACGGTTTTATTTCTCCTGTAAATAAAATTTGAATTAGTCATAGCCATTTCCCCAACCGTCGACTGGAAATTATAGTATCAAACCAGCTATACAGGTAGTTTTTAGTCATACTCATAACTTCAACTAGCAATTTTCCAAAGACCACTAATCTATTTAGATTATCAACTAGGTAGGCCTACTGCTAAAAACCAAGATTCAAACTTCAGTCTTGAATTGAAGAATGTGATATTAAACAAACATATACAGTGTCTACACACTATCTTTTGAAAATATTTTTCTGTAGACACGTTTCATTTGCAGAAACACCAAGCTGCAAAGATGCAATTGCAGAAGTCGATCAACCGATGGCTGCCGGACGAGAAGGTGATGATGTTGGAGAAGGAGAGTGACTCGCTGTTGGTACTGAGGAAGGTGTGCAGTCAGAAACTGAGACGAGTGATCCAGCGTGACAATCGCCCTCACTTGCTGGCGGAGAAAGTGGAATACGTGCCTAATGAACAGGTGAGCCTTTAATGCAAGTGGTGGAAATTTCGGAAAGGTTAAAAGTTGATAAAATATCAGGTTTCCGTTATCTAGAAGTACCTATATTGACGATCTTTTCCATCATAACAAGTAGCAAAAAAAGTTTACACAATGTTTTGGAATCTGTAATTTGATCCTGTTCTCAGGCGACAAACAATAAATCTGATTTAATAATGATTCCGTGACTGAAATCTAAGAGCAACCAGAAAGGAGTTAAGTATAAATGAGGAATAGACAGTAGTTTGCTGCGCTCTCTAAATTTTATTTTTAGTTTCACTCAAACTGAGCTCCAGCTTCTAGCTTCAATCCAATGACAAGCCTTGTATTGAGAACTTTAAAACTCGTAGGATACCTTTAAGAGTATGATCAGACTTTTTGCTTCCTATGAAAGTAGGGCAATTGGATTGTTTATATATATATTTAAAGAGCATGTCTTTTTTTATATAAAAAGCAGGCTTACCTGTGCAGTGGGTGATTATTCACAATAGGAAATACTTAACAGAATTGTGTTTATTTTGTTTAGAAACACATTTATTATATGAATATAAATGTGTTTCCTATACAGAAGACACACTGACAGGTGTGTCTATTCTTGCTATCAGAAACACAATCAATCCTATTCTGCCCCAGAGTCCTTTACAAAAACACATAAAGACTGATTGGTAATATTGAATAGGTCTAATGCTGTATTACTTTAAGTTGTGGTTTTGAGTTTGAGCGTTTGCTTCTTATTTTTATCTTTCTACATTATCAACTGTACCTGCAACTTTGTGACAACAAATATAACCGACAGACAGAGCTAAAATTAGACTTGAAGACTTATACCAGTTTACTGTTGGCTAACCCAGGTGCATCTCTCGAAATTAGTTGCATTGTGATTCTCCAGCAATAACTGATGTAACTATTGAGGAGCAACTGTTCCAATTATTTTCACTTTTCTGTTTGTCAATTTTCTGTACAATTTGAAATATATTATCCTGATGAATACTTTTATGTCAAATGTATGTAGACGCTTGCATATCAATTTAACATTGCTGGCTTTTAACTTTAAATTTGTTCTTTAGTCTGGTGGTTTGCTACGGTGGGTATATTGATGTACCGGTAATAACTTTTGCAGGGGTCAGCAGGTACTGTGAAGCTGACTGGGTATCTTAGAGGGCAGAATCTGTCCGTGAATTCTCTGGTCCACGTAGCGGGCTGGGGCGATTTCCAGATGAGCCGAATAGACTCCCATGAAGATCCTCACATCATTAAAGGCTGCATGGTGGGATCAGCTCCATCGGTGTATGCTGATCCTAAGAAACAGGTAGAAAGTTCTAGCGTTTAATTTTAGTTTTGGAGGAAAAGTCATTTGGCTTAGGAATAAATTAGGAAAGTAAGAATGGATACACAAATAACTTGCTTAAGAATTGTTTCAGTTAGTTGAAAACCCACTAAAAAACGTCCACAACACAATAAACTAGACAGTTCTGCAATTCAGTTTGTTTCCAATGAAGAAACCCCGTGTAGGGACAAAATATCAAGTTTATTGGTACCCATTCCTCCTTTCTTAATGTATTCCTAAGCATTTAATTTCTCATATTTGGACAGGATGGCAGGCCCTTTTTTACCACAGGAAAATGCAGTAAGGTCATTTTACCTTAGAGAGTGGACCTCCACCCTCTAGAAACCTGTTGGCCAGGCAATGATTGGAAGCCCATTGGATGCTTGGTCACACCACAGTTTGCATCTACATGATATTTGTTTCATAAACATGTTTTCTCTTGGTTCCACTATTGTTTCTGTGACCTACTGAACTTATATTAGTACTTTTAATGATTACTTGTTTTAGACTCTTTAGTTCAACCCATCAAATCCTTCTAAATTGAAATTCATGTAATAATTCATAATTTTTATGACATCTACATTAACTATATGGTTTGCACAGGAATCTCTTGACAGAGAGAATATTCCAGACCCGATGGACGCTGAGCAGACTTGGCCTACGGAGGAGGAAATGGCGGAAGCGGAAGAGAGAATCAAACTGGTGAAGCGGGTGCCGGCCGGCATGTCTGACTATCAAGCGGCTTGGATTCCCGAGTGTGACGCGGGTAAGACTTTAGTTAAACTAGAGTAGAATATTTGAAATATCCGGAGCTAGTTGACCAGTGTCCAAAACTGGCCTGTTAATAAAAATATCTTAAATGTTTTTCTTTTGCAATTTTTTGTGAAAACTCATATTTTTCTGTTGGGTATTGAAGTGTAGGCCTAATTAAAAATGTACCGGTACGGTATAGAGTTAACTTTGTCAAACAGTACAACAACATAATATTTTGTCCTATTTTGGACCAGAGATATCTCTCTTCACTATATTCTCTAAAGAAACATTGCAGGATAAAATACAAGCTTTGTTTTTTCTTCTTTTATTTTTGTCTCAATGAAAGAATTTCATACTTTGTATTCTGAATTTGTATGGCCAAAAACTTGAGTTCTTGTTTTCTTTCTTTTGGAGACTGAAATTACATCAATCAAAGGTTGGCAAAATGTAACCTGACAAACTATCTGTTTTTTTTTGTTTTTCCTTCTATTTACATTTGATGCACTTTTGTAGTAAAGGAAAAACTGGAAAATCATAGTGAGAAAGAAAGGAAAATCATGTTTTATTTTTGGCCTATCTTCAAATATTGTAGAAAAATAACTAGGGTATAATAAACTTTAAACTGTTACAGAGGAGATGGAGAGTGATGACGATGAGGAGGAGTCAGAAGAAGAAGTGGAGGGGATGGAATGTGTGTCCGAGGAGGAGTCTGAGGAGGGAGAAGAGGCGGAGACGATGACAGTCACTTCCGAGGCTCCTGTAGCAACAGACAAGTACGACCAGGAACACGACGAGACGGAGGAACAAGAAGCGCTGCGCAAGATAAAAGGTTGGGCTACACATTATAGACTATGAATACTGCAAGTTGACATCTTATTGTAAATTTTAAGACATTTTATTCTGTGTTTGATAACTGGTGATAAGTTATGTTAAAAAAAATATTTCAGACAAAAAAATTCATGTTTTAGGATCAGTTTCTCTTCATATAACTTTTGCTCACTCTTTGCTGTGTTACTATCCTCATTGAAATACGTTGCCACCAAATTATCAAAATCACATCATCACCATGTAGAGACCAAAGCTATCGGACATCCTAACGTATAAATTCCATACATCCACGTATTGTTGACGTTTGCCTATTAAACATTTTATTAACAGTTCCAAAAATCGTGCAATGATTTTTTCAGAGTCCAAAATGGATCAGATGTTTCCGGATGAGGTAGACACTCCTATGGATACTCCGGCAAGAGTGAGATTCCAGAAATATAGAGGACTCAAATCCTTCAGAACTTCTCCTTGGGACACTAAGGAGAACTTACCCAGTGACTACGCTCGGATATTCCAGTTCCAGAACTTCGACAAGACCAAGAAAAGGGTTTTGAAGGAAAGAGAAGAAGCAGATTATGATGCCTGGGTGAGTTTTATGCTACAAAAGTATATTTTTCAAACTAACAAAAATGTCTTAGATGGATTTATTGTGTTAGTTGTATTTGATCTTACTGTTTGGTTCCAAAATACATACTCATCAAATGAGTTTAAAGAATATATTAATGTGATTTTTTAAATTGTAATGTTAAATTATTTTACTGTGACTGAGATTGTGAAGATTGTTATCCAAACTTATTTGCACTCAATTTTTGTCAACCAAAAACCAAAAATCCCCTAGAAGCTAAAAATTGCAAGGAAGTAACTTGCTCCCATCTATGCAATCCTATAAAAATCTTATGTAACCATATATCCCTGAACTTCCCTCTCTATTGCAGGCGGGATGGTACATCACGGTGTATATCAAATCCGTCCCAGAAGAGTTGTTCGCCTCTCGTCTCGGAAATCAACCGCTAGTGATGTACGGGCAGTTGCCTCACGAACAGAAGATGTCTGTCGTCAATGTCGCGCTGAGGCGGCCGGCAGTGCTGCGGTATGACGAGCCAATACAATCTAAAGAGTCACTTGTCTTCCAGTGTGGCTATCGCAGATTCCGAGCAGCGCCGATTTTCAGCCAACACACCAACGGTGCTAAGCACAAGGTATGTGAAGCTGGATTAGATTTACTCGACAACAAAAATATCTCAATACATTCCACACTCCATCGTTGGGTTAAAATACGCCCAGTTGTTTCCTTAGCCTACTATACAATACAGCTGAATGTGTGATGATAAATATCTATATATAATTCGTAAGTCTGTAAATACTTTATTAACCAAGTTAAATTTTCCGCAGTACGAGAGGTTCTTCCAACCCGAAGCCACAGTGGTAGCCACCATGTACGCTCCAATTATCTTCCCTCCGGCTTCCGTCCTGGCTTTCAAAGAGAAGAAAGATGGTTCACAGGTAAGTTAAAAATCATTAAATCAATGTCCTGGTATAAATTATATGAATTTATATTTTAATAGTGCTATGATAGGCCTACTCCTGGAATACATAATAGTTTTTACTAGTTAACCAAAATAAAATTGTCTTCCATAGGGATGTGTTTGCTTCTTTAGGGATGTATTTTGATAAGATTTGTTTATTTCATACTTAGCTATAACCATTTTTTAATAAAAATCACTTTATCACCTACCCTGTAGCAGCAAACCGAAGTACTCATCCTACATCATACAAATCCTACACTCATCTCCATTCATACTTGGCTTAAAATACCTACTTTGTATGGTCGCCATTTAATAAGAAAGTATTAAAGTATACTCATTTAAAATTATGTAAAATAGGAAATAAATCTGACAATTTTAATGGCATATTTTGGTGGAAATCCAATCAGATACATGAAAAACACTTAGTCAGCAGGTTTTCTGAGTCAAGGGTATGTTTCTTAATGCTATGGAAAATGGTAACAAAAGGAATTCTACAGGTCAATAAATTGTGGATTGTTCAAAGGAAATTTGACAAGCTAATAAGCAACAGGAAAGGTTATACCATTAACTTACAAACTGTTAAATATTTTAATGGGCGTGGTGAATGATAAATTGTTCAACCTTATAATTCAACGACTTTTCGATAGCCATGATATATTGTATTTCAGGTGCTGGTTGCAACGGGAAATGTTCTATCCGTCAACCCAGATCGTATTGTAATCAAGAGAGCTGTGCTAAGCGGACATCCCTTCAAGATCCACAAACGCTCGGCCGTCGTTCGCTTCATGTTCTTCAACCGTGAAGATATCAACTGGTTTAAGCCTGTTGAGCTGAGGACCAAATTCGGTCGTCGAGGACACATAAAGGAACCCCTAGGTGTGTATTATAAATTTGTTTGAAATAGATTTAATTTTGACGGATGTAGTGAACTAAGCTATTGCTTGGTTCTCTTCTAAACGGATGCCATGAATCCATGCCATGAATGTCTTGTTTGTTGATGAATTTATCAGACATGCGTTTCTGCTTCAAAGTAGCTCTTTTCACCCTAGGGAGTCATCTGTTTTACTCCATAGGGAATGAACTTTTATTGTAATTAATGGGTTGTACCGATTTGTTTTCAATCTAAGAACAGAATTGAATTAGTTCATTGTCGACTGAATTGTTTGAATTTGTTGTGTGTTGTTTTCTTTTTTAAATTTGTTTACATTGAATCTAAGATGAATGATGTGGGAAAACAGTTTATTGCACTGTAAGCCTAAGGAATTTAAGTAAGGTACTAAGGCGCTAGGCACAAGTCTGGGATTGTTTTTCACACTACTTCAGGCTAGACCTAGGTTGTGGCATTATCACTTAGATAAAATTCCATTGGCGATTTGGAGTTTGACATATTGATAACCATAGATAGTATAATGGACACAATTATCGTAATAGATTAAATTTAATGATTCAATACCTTTTGAAACAGCTGTTTTTTCACAATAGCAGAATTGAAAAACAGATGGAAGTCATTTTGAGAGCATATCTTTAGATAAAAGGTATTTTTTGTCTAAACTTGGTTTGCTTGAATAAAAGTGTAATATGACAAAAAATATAGTTAATCACACGGGTAATAGAAGTCTTTTCAACGTTCATTCCTTTTCCGACCTTGGCTTCGCCTCGGTCTGAGTTTGTATGGAAAAGAGTCACATTACGCTCTAGTGGTGAAATCTGCAATTTTAAGTTAAAAATGAATTTCAGGTACGCACGGTCACATGAAGTGTGTTTTTGACGGACAGCTCAAGTCTATGGACACAGTTCTTTTGAATCTCTACAAGCGAGTCTTTCCCAAGTGGACTTTCGACCCAGACGTCCAGTTTAAAACTGACACTGCTTCAACATCGATGGAAACAAGCTAATCATTTTGTGGACTATGTATAGTTTGTTAAGCTAATCAAACTGTTGATTTTGTTAAAATTACCAGTAATTGAAGCCTGGTATCACATCATTTGGGCCAATTACTCTTTTTTCTTTATATTCTGAGATTATACGCTTGAATTTATTGGAGGCTTTTTCCAGTCCAAGACCAAAACGGAAGTTAAGTTTTTTTAACTGAAGATTATTTTTTAATAATTTTTACACAAGTTGAGGATGTTTTATTCATGCATCAATATTTAGAATTTATGAAAGTAAATTTTAAAAAATCTCATCCAATATTTGCATAATCAGGAATTGCCATATTTAAGTCATAATTTTTTTATTTTTGTCCAGAAACAATATATTTTATTTGTATGTTATGCTGATATGTGTACATAGCCTATTGTTTTAAAATAAAAGTTAAAAAACTACTTTTATTAAAATTTCATATCCACATTCCTTTACTATGATAACAAAGAAAAATATCTGCGCCTAGATGAAAGCTCTCCATCCATAGACAAAAAATCTCATGAACACTATGAGGCAAAGGTATAAACTACAGTTTGTTCTCCAGTTATTCTAGTTTATTTCAATAGTAGATATTGTGGTAACAATTTTCATGACAATCTAACCTTAATATTGTATAAACAACATGTAACAAAGCATTTTATCTTTATCCATATGATTTTTTATGACTCTCTTTTTCCGTGGTTTTAAATTTACAATATAATCTTAAAATAGACATTTATGATGTTTGACATCCATTCTTGTAAACTATAAAAAACCACAGCAATTTTTAAGCGGTATTATGTATAGTATTTGTTTCGTTCCAGTGGAATCCTCCTTGCTTTTCCAAAATCAAGCATGAAGTTTCCTTTTCATATGTTCAATGGTCATTTTTGTGGACATAAATGGTAGTAACATCTGGCCTTCCGGTAAACTGTATATCCAGCACAACAAAATGAAACCACTCCATGAAAACAACTCTTTGTCATCGAGTTAAAGGATTTTTATCACAAAAGCATTACTTTTTGTTTTTGATAAATTGTACTTAATCATGAGCAAGGCAGATGTATTGGGTTCATACAATTTAGAATGTAGAAAATCACTAGTAGAGCATCCACAATTAATTATGAACTATACAGGTAACAAACAAATAAAATTATAGAAAATATTTAGTATGAATTGTAAACTCATATAAATTAACTATGTAAGTTCATAAACTGGAAAAACCCATTGTTCCCCCTGTATAGTTCCTTGAAAAGAACCCACATGAAAAAAAAAAAAATAAAATAAGGCCCCTAGATACCCAAAATTGCATCAATATGGCCCCTAGAGACCCCCTTACTTTGCCTTCTCTTGCCCAAGGTTCCTGGGTCAGGGCAAAGTTCAAGGCCCCACCCCCAATGCAGTGTACAGGTTAAAATATTCTATTAAAAATGCTCACAATCCAGCAACAAGTTTCAAAATGACAATTTGATTTACTAACAAGTTGAAAAAATGCAACGTGCAAATTTATAAAGCGTAACACTATAAATTTACATATATTTACAAATAAAATTAACAATACTATTTTGTCATTTAAATTCAATGTCTTTGTAGCTATACAATTTCCATTTTATAAATTATTTCTAATTAAATTCAAATAACCCTCTAGTCTATTTAGGACTATGATGAGTTCTGTTTAGACTTTTTCGCAGATTTGATAGACTTTGGTTTCTGTTTGTCCGATCCTCCGAAGAACGAAGTGATGACTTCGGACATCTCGGGCATGTCGTATTTGGCCAAGTTGTTCAACTGCTCCATTTCCTGAAACAGGACCAAAGTTCTTAGGCTAGGAACAAATACCTCTTAAATGTGATGCCCCTAGTGACCGTCTCCGACTTTGTTGGGGGAGGGACGGGACCAATTCCCAGCGCACAACATTAGTTTGTACCACTTTCCCTAAAAGCGTTTAAGTATTTCCTCCTTTAATTCCTCCTGTAAAAATGCAACCAGCGTGGACAGAAAAAAAAGACTACGTTAAGTTTTATCCTAACAAGATTCATAATAAAAGAACGTATATACTCAGATGTGTTACCAACAATATAAGCGCAAAGCAGTACTGTGCAATTGAGATTTGCCTTTATAACCAATAATAGGTAACTGTTTTTACAGTAGATTTAAAGAACTACATTATTATCCGTATTCTCATCCCGTTTCAAAGCACGGGCAGAGAGACTTGTAATGGTAAACATAAAAAAAATTTAACAGATATTGGAAAATCAAATAGGTACAACCATAAAACAATCTTTAATTGATCCATAAGGATGTCAAATCTATAAGGTACCTATGGTAATAGGTAACACCTACCTTCCTAGTTTCAGGATCGTTCATCATTCTCGGAAGAACCATGATAAGCAGCAAAGGCAACACCATCATCAGGACCTGTAAAGGGAATATTAAAATCCATTAGATAATTTGTTTATTGAGCGGAGCGAGCGAAGCTCTTATACGTCGACTTTTATGCATTTCGTAATACGCAAACTCCTCCTAGACGGCTGAATCAATCGTTTTCAAATGTTGGATGGTGATAAAGATCATATCGGTGAGTGCCAACATCTATATGGCGTTAAAAATAACTCTCAGGAATCCGCCCCACTGGGTCTCAAAGTTTCAATGTAATCCTTATGGAAGCGGTATTTGACACATAAACAAAGACATATGATCAGCTGTTGACTTTTGAATACAGTAGATAAATAAATAGCTGATAGCATTATTCCACAGATATTAGAACATAAACGGTGGTATGGATCATAAAATAATCAAATGACGACACTAGCTTAAAGGTCCGCGACGTAGGAAGTGTTAAAGGAAGTACTAAAGATGAACAGTCTGGAGTGTGGAAACTGTTTATGACGACTAGATTTAGGTATCTGCATTCCAAAAATTATAAGGGAAGGGAGGAAAACGGGTCCGCGACTTAGGAAGTGATGGAGGAAGTAGTCAAGGCAAGCTGTCCGGAGTGTGGGAACTGTTTATGACAATTAGATTAAGGTATCTGCAATCATAAAATTCTATGGAAAGGGAGGGAAACAGTTCCGTGGCGTAGGAAGTGGCGAAGGAAGTAGTAAAGGCGAGCAGTCCGGAGTGTTGGAACTGTTTATGACGATTAGATTGAGGTATCTGCAATCATAAAATGCTATGGGAAGGGAGGAAAACGGGTCCGCGACGTAGGAAGTGATGAAGGAAGTAGTCAAGGCAAGCTGTCCGGAGTGTGGGAACTGCTTATGACCATTATATAAAGGTATTTGCAATCCTATGATGCTATGGGAAGGGAGGGAAACATGTCCGTCACGTAGGAAGTGGTGAAGGAAGTAGTCAAGGCGAGCTGTCCGGAGTGTGGGAACTGTTTATGACGATTAGATTAAGGTATCTGCAATCATAAAATGCTATGGAAAGGGTGGGAAAAAGGTCCGTGGCGAAGGAAGTAGTCAAGGCGAGCAGTCCGGAGTGTGGGAACTGTTTATGACAATTAGATTAAGGTATCTGCAATCATAAAATGCTGTGGGAAGGGAGGAAAACAGGTCCACGATGTAGAAAGTGGTGAAGGAGGTAGTCAAGGCAAGCTGTCCGGAGTGTGGGAACTGTTTATGACGATTAGATTAAGGTATCTGAAATCCTATGATGCTATGGGAAGGGAGGGAAACGGGTCCGCGACGTAGGAAGTAATGAAGGAAGTAGTCAAGGCAAGCTGTCCGGAGTGTGGGAACTGTTTATGACAATTAGATTAAGGTATCTGCAATCATAAAATGCTATGGAAAGGGAGAGAAACAGGTCCGTGGCGTAGGAAGTGGCGAAGGAAGTAGTAAAGGCGAGCAGTCCAGAGTGTTGGAACTGTTTATGACGATAAGATTAAGGTATTTGCAATCATAAAATGCTATGGGAAGGGAGGAAAACGGGTCCGCGATGTAGGAAGTGATGAAGGAAGTAGTCTAGGCAAGCTGTCCGGAGTGTGGGAACTGCTTATGACCATTATATTAAGGTATTTGCAATCCTATGATGCTATGGGAAGGGAGGGAAACATGTCCGTCACGTAGGAAGTGGTGAAGGAAGTAGTAAAGGCGAGGAGTCCGGAGTATGGGAACTGTTTATTACGATTAGATGAAGATATCTGCAATCATAAAATGCTATGGGAAGGGAGGATAGCGGGTCCGCGACGTAGGAAGTGATGAAGGAAGTAGTCAAGGCAAGCTGTCCGGAGTGTGGGAACTGTTTATGACGATAAGATTAAGGTATCTGCAATCATAAAATGCTACGGAAAGGGAGGTAAACAGGTCCGTGGCGTAGGAAGTGGCGAAGGAAGTAGTAAAGGCGAGCAGTCCAGAGTGTTGGAACTGTTTATGACGATTAGATTAAGGTATCTGCAATCATAAAATGCTGTGGGAAGGGAGGAAAACTGGTCCGTGGCGTATGAAGTGGTGAAGGAAATAGTAAAGGCGACCAGTCCGGAGTGTGGGAACTGTTTATGACGATTAGATTAAGGTATCTGCAATCATAAAATGCTGTGGGAAGGGAGGAAAACTGGTCCACGATGTAGGAAGTGGTGAAGGAGGTAGTCAAGGCAAGCTGTCCGGATTGTGGGAACTGTTTATGACGATTAGATTAAGGCATTTGCAATCCTATGATGCTATGGGAAGGGAGGGAAACAGGTCCGTCACGTAGGAAGTGGTGAAGGAAGTAGTAAAGGCGAGCAGTCCGGAGTGTGGGAACTGTTTATGACGATTAGATGAAGATATCTGTAATCGTAAAATGCTATGGAAAGGGAGGATAACGGGTCCGCGACGTAGGAAGTGATGAAGGAAGTAGTCAAGGCTTGCTGTCCGGAGTATAGGAACTGTTTATGACAATTAGATTAAGGTATCTGCAATCATAAAATGCTATGGGAAGGGAGAGAAAAGGTCAGAGACGTATGAAGTGGTGAAGGAATTAGTAAGGTGAGCAGTGTGGACTGTGGAGTGTGGGAACTGGAAACTGTTTTTGTAGTTAAATTAATGTATCTGCAATGCTGAAATGCTATGAGAAGGGATGGGAGCATCCCCACGACATAGAAAATGGTGGAAGAAGTAGTAAAGTATGAGCATAGTGTGAAAACCGTCTGTGGCAGTTAGATTTTGATGTATCTTTAATCCAAAAAGGCTATGAGAAGGGAAGGAAACAAGTCTATGACGTAGGAAATGGTGAAGGAAGTGGTAAGGCTTGCAGTGCAGAGTGTGAGAACTGTCTTTGGCAATTACATATAATATATCTGCAATCCTAAAATGTTATGGGAAGAGAGGGAAATAGGTCCACGACGTAGGGGGTGGTGAAGGAAGTAGTAAAGGTGAGCATGTTGAGTGTGGGAATGGTGTATCTGCAAAGCTAAAACGCTTTGGGAAGAGACTGTAGACTGTAGGTTAAAATAATTTCGAAGCACGAATCGATACATATTTCGATACATGCAATCGTTTAAAATAGAAATTTACAACTGAGTTGACAACAGCTGATTTTTACTCCATAGAGGATAAAAACTATTTTTACTCCATAGAGGATAAAAACTTTTTTTACTTCCTAAAGAGTAAAATTGCTACTTTAGACCCGCAACGCATGCATTAAAAACGACTGGTATTACTGCAGTATGACCAAAACAATATAATATAAAACCTTGATGACTCCGCTCAATTTTGTGGATGCCTCTGCGAACGCCACCTAGTAATTTATTTTGTCCTACATCTTGCCATATGTATAGAATTAAGTTATAATTACATAAGCTCATGAACTTAGACTTAGAATATTAAATTTAAGTGGTAAATATGGGTCATGAAATGAAATGGGAAGGTAATGTAAAAAATAACAAAATCTAAACCACAAAAAATGCTATTTGCCTATTTTATTTTATTTATTACTACCTAATAATTGCCTTGGTTTTGCAAAAGTGTAGTGTGTAGACTAACACAGGTAGGTCCATAAAATAAATCTTTTCATATTCTCAGCGCGACTCCAAATAAAAAAAAAAAATCTTTCAATTAGTTACCCTAAGAAATAAAAACTTAGATCCTAACAATGATTTTTTTTTTTGAATCAAGGAGTTTTTTTGCATTAAGTTAGGATTTTTAATGTTAGCAAAGGAAGTTATGGATTAAAAATATCATCAATTCTTTGACACAATTGGGTTCCTATTTTAAGCAGAATACGTATATGCAAGGCGAGTCAGAGTGTAGAACGGAGTAAGCTGATCTGTATAGCTTTTGTTACTGACTAAGATCAGCTGTTTCATCAGTCAAGATCATTTACTAAAAGCCCAATGATCAAGGACAGCAAGGCCCAGTTTCAAGCCATCAAAAAAGGTACTGACTTTTCTCAGGTGATCGAACCGGCAACCTTTTGATTACAAGGCAAGCACAATAAAAACTCAGCTACCCAGCTTCACAAAGTTAAATGTGAAAATATGTGCGGAAATGTCATTAAAATTGACTACCACAAAAATTACCAAATAATGGTTTAGGTTGTGGCTTATGTTCTCAATGGATCAATCTGACAGTAAACCTTGTTTATTATTTAACACTTAAGAGGTCGATCCAACATACAATGAAATTTTAGTTGAATAGGCTAGAAATGATTAAGGTAATTCTAACAGTTTGTGGAGTGAAACAATATTTTGTTGTTGTAAGTTAGGCCTAATCCATGACTGTTTAACTTAGTACAAGTTGGTATTTCGGCTGCACTTTAGTTTACGTCCTACATTCATTCTAAAGTAAATATCGATCAATATATTGATTATTTCAATCGATATTATTTAAGTTTGTTAAGTTATTGTTGTTTGTTGTTGTTAACCTAACCTAACTGACCAAGTGAAATAATCGAATAATCTATATATCGATATTTTTAATTTGAATGAGTGTAGGACGTTAACTTAAGTGCAGCCGGTATTTCCAATTTATGATATACATTTCTGAGTAATACTAATAGAAAAAAACTTAGGCACATATCCATACCATTGGGTTAAACAGGAAGTCAGTGGCCCTCCATTGCTCCCTGACGTAGAAGTATCGTGTGACCCCAAGGGGCTTTAACTTCAGAGGATAAGGCACCGGCACTACTTGTGACGTCTGAATGTAGTTCACCTTTCTAGCACGCAACTTCCCTTTAGAGTTAATTTCAACCCTGACAGGCTCATACGTGTAATTTGGGCTTATCACTTCCAGCACATAAGATCCAGATGGCACATTGTGAATGACAAAGCTTCCATCATCCCTGAAAAATTGCCACAATGGTAAAATCGAAACAATCCAGCTGTAGCCTACTTTACATGTGATGAATGTGTTGGAAGTCAGAAGCTAGTTACTTAAAAGTGCAAGTATAATTTTGGGTTATTTTAATCATTTTCTTTGTCAGAGTAAGATTAAGAAGACTAAAAAATAGTGTCTCTGCGTTCATATAGGTAGTATTTAACTTACCCTACCTACAATGTTCCAGGAGGGCTTGTAGTAACATTGTAGGTAGGGTAAGTTAAATACTACCTATATGAACGCAGAGACATTATTTTTTAGTCTTCTTAATCTTACTCTGACAAATAAAATGATTAAAATAACCCAAAATTATACTTTTGGGCAGATAAACAGAAATAAAACTGATCCAGGTAAGGAAATCACTAATGGGCATAGGCCTAACTTAAGCCTAGGTAAATGTTCAACTAGGAACATTGAACTGTCTAATGGTTTTGCAATTTTGCATTAGGCCTAGTTAGAAAGATAGCATGATAACTTACTAATAACTTAAATAAGGCACCAACGATAGTCTAGATATTTTTTAACAGCTTTACTAAATGTTATCCTTTTCAACACATCAGTTACGTATTGTTCTGACATGAATGGATTTTATCTGGAAATCCCTGAGAAGATTGCTACAAAAATTTTGGGTAGGCTAGACTTCCGTAACTTATCTGTTGTCAAAAACAACCGAATGAAAATATCGATTATTTGATTGTTTCATTCGATATATCAATCGATATCTTCATTCGGTTGTTTTTGACAACAGATACGGAAGTCTACCCAAAATGTTAACATTAAGTTTAATTCCCTGAGTAAGATGCACATATAGGCTAACTGTGGATAACTAGCCGTGGCTAGCTCCAATTGCGGACTAGACATTGGCAATCACCCCTTAGCTGACCAAAGCCTAGAGGCCTAGTCAGATGATCTAGGCTAGCCTACCTAAGTAAAGGCGGCTGGGGTTCAGGACAAGGACTTTGGACTAAAATATTTATCATACCCTTACCTCAAAAACCCCATGTGTTGCCCTCCTTTGGTAATAACTCGTGTCTCTGCAATCCAATTAGGGTTGGGATTTAAGCTCTCCAGTGGAAACAATTTGCCTTCAATTTCGTAGAGATCATTGCTGTTTGCTTCTGAGACTTCGTATCCATTAATTGAAATAAGTCCTGATAGTAATAGAGTGCACAGCAATGTAAAATACATATCGTCTATAAATTTAACACAAACTAGACCTAGAGCAACGATAAAGATTCAATAAACAATATCAGATCAGATCATCCCTCTGTATTCGTAATCTAGCAAGCAGTCGAACAGCGAGTGACAGAACAGAAACAGAAAGCAGAAACAGTGAAACAGAAGACGACATTTAGACGTTAGAGACATAGAGTAATATCATTAAACAGCTAAATTTTCGTTGACCAACGGTGGAAAGAAAAAACATAGGTATGCTTTTCCCGTCATATTGTGACGTCACCCAGATTGAAAACACCATTCACCATTTTTTAGTAAATATATAAAAACAATCACAATCCAATCAAAACAAATGTATCCGTATATGACAATACAATCAGGTGCTTTTTTTGTTTGCGAACTGGGTGACGTCAGCAAATGACGGCAATGAATGGCACACCTATGTTTTTTCCTTCCATCATGTCGTTGACCAGTATGATGACCACCTTCTATGTAGACTAATCAACAAGTTTACTCATTATAAACTGTATTATTTTTCCAGTTGGTTTAAAACATACATAATTAGTTCATTTTAAAGATTGTGATTAATATTTGAAGCTTGGTTGCATAATGAAACCAGCTGATTCTCAATCAGGTGCTCAATGTAAGGGCCCAACGGGAACGGGGCCCAATGAATGATAATTGGTGGCTGGTTTGGTTCGCCCGCCATTCCATTGATTGTAGCCACGAATACTAGAAACATATTTCTTTTATTTTTTTATATTTTTAGAAGAAAAGGTCTCTTCTAGTATTCGTGATTGTAGCGCGAGGCTTCAGTTCCTGAAATCCAGGGTTCAAATCCAACAAATCACCAATGGCATTAAGCTATGCGATTATACCGCAATTATAGCCTAAAGTATGTGTAAAACGGTCTCCGACTAGAGCCAATGCCAGTGTACATGTATTTAAATTTTAAAGTCCAATTATTAAAGACAACTTACTGGGTTAGTTTTGAACCATCAATGTACCTGTAGCTTGTTTACAGACTGAGATCAGCTGTTTCTTATCCAGGCAACAGCCAATATTCAATTTATTTCAAAAGCAAAAGCCCAATATTTTCAAGGAAGGACTGTTGGGTCCAGTTTCACACCACTAAAATACTAGTCACTTTTCTTAAACTGGGTTTTCCTAGGCGCGGGGAGTGGACTCCTCTTGTCTTAAGGTAATTTAATGTTACTGTTTTCCTAGAAGCGGGGCGGAACACCATGTTAATCTCTTCTCTGCTCTCCGCTTCTGCGTCTAGGAAAACCCGGCCAGCAACCACAACCCGGCTTTAGGATCAAGCCATCATTTTTTATCATCTTTTTGTCCACCATGTGAACACTAGCATTCCTGTATGGACCTTGCCTTTCTAATGATGTGCATTTGATCTTGCTATGAAATCTAGAATCTTGTTTAATTTCTTATAAATTTATTAAATCACATAAATCCTGTCAAAGTAGCCACAACTTTTCAAGCAAATTTGTCAGATATTATTTTTAATTATAAAAAAAAAATAGGAGTGCTATCAGTTTTCAAAACACTCAAATGAGGAACATTATTAATGGATAAGACTACAGTTAATTTCTGTAGCTCAAGGTATAGACTAGAGTCTTAAGTCACACTTTACCTAAAAATTAATATGGTTTTTTTTTTTAAATATAACTGCAAGATTTTAATATGTTAAAAGACTTTGACTACAAATCTTCTCAAGTTAGAAACATTTTAAATCTGTTTGAATAACAAATTAATTCACAGATAGATTTGCTGGTAAACTAGGTAGAGAAAAACACAATTTTATTCATAATATACATTTACTAATCAACTTAAAACGTATAGATGGCTTTAACCAACTTTTCTCGGTTTGATAAATTCCCTCTTTTTCTTCATCTTCTTTTTGGTCAGCTCCTGTTTGTGAAGTTCGGAAGAAACCTCTGCGTATATCTCATTCTGTTCTTCCTCAGGAATAGTTTTCCTACACAGAGTATAAAGAGTAATTAATACACAAAATAGTCTGTTTCAACAACTTCATTTTTGACATTACGGTTTCTCATATGAATAATAGCGGTTGCAGTGAATAGAGTAAATCGGTCTCAATCAACAAATCTGCGACTTCCAGTGACCTTTTGGTATAAAATAAAACCTTTCTGTAATATAGCATGGTAGCTAAGCGGTGCACAGTAAAATTAATTTTTGTCATACTGCAGCAAAAACATTAGTTTTTAATACATGCGTTGCAGGTCTAAAATAGTATACTAAAATAGTCTTTTACTCTTTTTTTAGTCCCTAGGGAGTAAAAAGTCTATAATAGAATCACTTACTAAACAGCGACTTGTTGGCATTAGCAATGTTGAAAACAATTTGGAAGTTGTTTTGAGAGATTATCTTTAAATTAAAGCTATAATCGTTTTGTAACTTAGTTTGCTGAAATATTGGTGCAATATGACAAAAATATAGTTCATCACTTGGGCATAAAGTGTCTTTTCAACCCTCACTCATTTTCCGAGCTTGGGTCGAAAAGAGTCACTTTATGCCCTCCCTAGTGATGAAAGATACTATTTTGTTTCCTAAATATGAAATGAAATGAAAAATGTCTTTATTTAAGAGGCGAAGTTAGGACTTGCAAGTCCTCTCTACCACTTAACCTCTAAACATAAATAAATAAAAACTTATTCACTTATATAAGTAAATTTAAATAATCTAAAGTAGCCTAATCATTAAATTAGTAAACATGAAAAAATAAGTTAAGTACCTAATCCTACAAAAATACCATTCACACAAGCCGCCAACAACCCCTCACACCAGCGCCAAAGACTCACTCAAGCCTGCTGCTCAATATAATAGATTTAATCTCTGCCCCAAACCTCGCACGGTTACCTATAGATTTGATATGGTCAGGAAGAGAATTCTACAATCGAATTGCAGATACCAAGAAGGATTTGTTAAAAACTGTTGACCGGTGAATTGGTGTAGATAAAAGGTGAGAGCCTCTACGAGTGGCACGGGTGCTGATGTCAGAAAAAAAATGGAAGTTGTCTGATAAATAATTGGGAATTTTAATTATGGGAAATACATAATTTACAAAATAAACTATATCACAATCCCATTTTTTTCAAACCTAAATATAATTAAATATTTTATTTTCATTTTTTGTTAAATAATAAAAAGTTATTGAAAGTCTGTGACTTAAAACTTTTAAAAATTAAATACTTGTCAGGAGATTTTGTAATTTAATTGTTTAAATGATATCCAAGACTCCTAAATGACCAGTCCCCCTGATCAGTACCTACCAGCTAAAATATAAAGATATTGGCTCAATGACTTAGGTTTGGTGCTGGGATGAACCAAGGCCCTACTAAAAAAACAGGCCATGCTGCAGCGTGGGCAGTGCAACACTACGTCACAGTGGTGGATAGTTGTACTAAAATCTTACCGTAAAAATCTGACAAACAGCTAGGTTATTTACCTAAAACATATGGGATATGGCAGTGAATCTATCCACAAGTGTAGATTTCCTGCAAGCAATAGATCCTGCAGCATGGCCTGTTTTTCTAGAGGGGTCTCTTGGATCAGCAAAATTAATGTATGTTTGGTAAAATTCGAAAAGTGTAGGTTTCAAAATTAAATTTGATTTTAGTTAATAAGTAAGCAAATGATTAATTGCCTGCTCACCTATATTGTTTCATCAGGTCATACTTCTCCCATGGAGTAACAAGCTTAGCTCTCTGGGCTTTCATCTTTTCCGTGATATACGAGTCCACGACCTCCATGTCCAGGCCCTTGCACTCGGACCTCTCCCAGCGGGCACACCACGGCCTCGGCTTCAACTTCACCTGAATAAACATAAACCAAAAACTAGAGAAGAAAATCCGCTAATCCGCCCCGGCTAGTCCAACTCCTCGCTTAATCTGACCGTGTCATTGCCTATCTGTTACAATGTTTTTGCGGTAATTTTGAGACAATTTCCCATGGTAGTATACACATCATCGTGTCCCGCAATCGTGGCTAAAATCTTGTAAAACACTTGTTAAAAATCAGTTCATATTAACAAGTTTTGAAGTTGTGGGCACGTAATGGATTTTGACCATGATTATAATAGCAAAAACTAAGAGAGAATGGATTTTTGACTGTAGGATAGGTGGCTGGTCTAACATTGACGAAGTAGACACTGAAAAGTGCAAACATTTGAGGGATTGAACATAACATTTTTACAACTCACCTTCACCGGATTCACAGGTACTTCCGCCCCATCAGGTAGGAACTCTGGCTCCATGTCCAGAGGGAAGGTGCAATACTCAGGTAGAGCATCGCGCAGGTACAACAAGTGATCGTCGAGCCGTTTCTCCAAACGCAGCACTTCATATTTCACTATGGTTGGATCATACAGGAAAAACTTCATTTCGTAACCTAAAACAAAAGTTAATATTTATAAAATGCAATAGCTTTTAATTAACATACGCAAACTATTAACAATTTGTTTTTGGAGAAGTCTACCTGCCGAATTCGAGATGAAGGGCCAGTTGGAAAAAGAACTAAGTAGGCTGGAAAGTGCACGTATAAGCAAAATGCCTAGAGGCAGAGTATTATAAGCTATTAAAAATTGTAAGCAATGGCAGTAAGTAAGCAAGCCATAATATTATAACATCAAAATCTTATGTTGAACTACATAAAACTACTGAAAAGTTTGGAACTACACACATATTTAAATGTTCAGGCACTTACTAAACCTATCTCGAAACAGAAAAAAAGCATATATTATATTACGTAGGTTACAGTTGTGAGCATAAAGAATAAAATTCTTAATTGTCTGCCAACATTTTGAATAAATTATTTGGAAAATAGCCTAGGCCTACACCTAATTTTTAGAGTTATTTCTTAGAGAAACAGATGAATACCTACCTAAGCCTTCTATGACATTTCTCAAAGTGAATTCAGCCTGCAAGCCGCTATTAGCTCTCTCAATGCAGATTCCGAGAAATCTTGAGAACTTGTCTGGAGCATGCTCATTAGATCTGGTCACAGCAACGATAGAACCTGTAAGTTAAAAAGTCCCTATTATTGAATTTCATTAAAATTATCTTTAAAATTGCAAAAAATATGAGACCTGGTTAAGATGCAATCAGGTGAGTTTAGTCATAGCCACATGAAGAGAGTTTTTGTGAACACATTTCAGAAATCATTGAGAGGGTCTTGATTATTATTTAGATCACTCATATTTGGGATAAAATACACATCTTGGTAGCGTTCCCACCTCAATTGATAATAATAATAATTAATTATGTATTAAGAACTTAAAACTATGCTTACCAACATAAAAAACAGGAATATCAATTTGTGCTCTTCTTCTCAACATGTCCATCCTTTCCAACTTTTCCTTGATTGGATTCCTTCTCTCCATTGTTGGATCTGGTAGAAATTCTGGATACATGAACCTCATATTTGGATTAAGTGTACTTCTTTGTTTTTCAACTGCATTTTCGCCTTCTTGAACTTTTTCTTGGTGGGATGGATCAGCTTGTGTAGAGTTTAGGACTGTAGTTTGCTTGCAAAGTCCTAAAAAAAAACTCCTATTAGGCCTAGTTGATAACAGTATTTATAGTAATGAATATTTTGTTTGGAAGTTGTTAAGACTCAAAACAGATACGGTAGTGTAAATCCTATATATTAATAGACAATCAAGTTTCTTGAAAACCTCTCTTCTCAGATCATGTGCATCGCACGAAAATCTATGCATACATACTGTTCATGGGCCTTATGGGTTGCCATGCTGGTAACAAAAATATAACAATATAAAATAGAAATTAAAACAAATGGAAGAAATTCCAATCACTTATTCTATTTACAGCCTGGGGTTAAAACAAAGAAGTCTGCACATTACATATTTTTGGTCAAGTTTTCGACCACTGTACTACCTATAGTTTTTATAGGCCTAATCATTTCGTCTATTGGGTCTGATGATGATTGGAGTGACCAATCAAAATCGATCACCACTTACCACCTTTCGTGTATTTATCGTCTTGTGAGTAATCAGTAGGCTATTATAAGTGTTAAATATATTATTACAAGTGTTATTTGATGTATTTTTGTACTTTCAGGTAATTTAATGACACGTACGATACTGATCAAGAAGTTTTTATTATTATTATTATTGCTGTTAGTAATTTTGTTTGGATCAGGTTAGTTTATTTTACTTTTGGTTTGCATAAAATACCTTATACCTTATTATACCATACATCCATCGCTGACCAGTAATGACTGGATGGATTTTGTCAAAAAGTTTAAGTTTTAATACTTTAGAATTGGTTAACATGGCAGTAGGTCATGAGATCCACTGATCACTTTCTTCTACAAAATATTCTTTAATACTTACAATTTATAGGTACTTTTCTTTGAAATGGTGACCGTACAAAGTAGGTATTTTAAGCCAAATATGAATGGAGATGAGTGTATGATGAGTGGCGCGATGTTGTAGTCTTGTTAGTGACTAAGGTCGACATATTCCTTAGACACAGCTGTTAATTAATAGCCCATACAGCTAATGGCGAGAGAAATAGAATAGAGAGGCCATGCCTTTAGTAGTTCCTCGACTTTCTTTTAAAAATTCATGGGATGGAGTGACTGTGTGTTCTTGTCCATATGGTTACGGCCTAATGCCAAGGACAGGATAGCAGTATTTTGCTTGCTCAGCCTGCAGAAAGGAATGTTTAAAATTTCTCCTCTTCTAGTGTTGTAATTATGAAGTTGGTGTCTGCAGCTGAGGTTCTTATGTTTTCCTTAACATGTACCAGACAGTTGTAACTGTAATCAGTCATCACTCCTAAGTCGCAGAACAGTAGTCTACAATGTGCCATGCCTTGCGCTGGACTGCAGCCTTTTGAGTTTTTAGAATGCTCCTGGGTATTTTAATTCAAATACTAACTTATATGAATGAAAAAATTCTAACTTAGGCTATGACATGATACCAACAGTAGATTAGTTATAGGTTTTAAGATTGATGCAATTGAAGATACCAAAAGTTTTGGTTTCATAACTTAAGTTAGGCTATTACAATAGAGTCGGATATAAAATAAATCACCCATAATTGTCTGGATAGCCGTAGATAGTGTAGCCTTTAAATCTGAAGATCACTGGTTTGATTTCAAGCAAGATAGGTAGTTTCCGGACCCAGCTGCCATTAATGACTAGGCAATTAATTGATTGAAATATTATTAACGTAGTTTTGGTTACCATACAATGAAGAATACAATATACAGAAGTTACCTTGATATATAAGTTAATTGTCTGGATAGCTGAGTGGTTAGTGATGGCCTTTAATCCTGAAAATCAAATCTTTCAGAAAATCCTGAAAGGTTAGTAGGCTATCAATTAAGATGCTATCAGGTGCACTTGCGTAGGCCTATCTGTTGTCAAAAACAACCGAAAGAAAAATGATTTAATATATCGAATGAAGTAATCGATATTTTTATTCGGTTGTTTTTGACAACAAATACGGAAGTCTACCCATGCTATCTAATAGGTTAAAAGGTTAACGTTAGAAAGTAATAAGACCACTTCACTAAGACCTGGATTAGACTAGGCTACTCCCTTACAACAAACTTCTCTTAGTTGCCAACAGCGTAGAAACACAAAAATAAAAATTTCAGTGAATATAGGCCTACAGGCTGTTGTTGTACCCTATTTTAGATCAGCGGATCTAGGGCTTAATAAGTTAGTTACGAGTTGTGTATGGGCTAGGCCTATCTTAGAGGTTGATTCTAGCACTAACTTAATTATAAACTGAATAATGTGCAACAGTTTTCAACTAAAAATAAGTAGACGATACATACTTAAAATTTTGAAATTATGAAGCCCAAATAAGTCGTTTTCATACTTTCCAAGTCTAAGTATTGAGCTTAGGCGAGACATGATTGAGCCAGTAAAGGGTTGATCTGATGTTCAATTAGGTTGTCTATGAGCGAGCGAGCGAGCACAGAGCTGGAATCACATCACTTTCTCAAAAACGCTTACAGTATTGTATAAAACCCCTCGAAAATATTATTCCTGGTTCTGGATGTGTCAAATGAGTATGATGATGTACAAAGAATTAGGTTAATTTTTATTTATAATAACAATTAAGTGAAAGTGCTCTGGGCTGGCTGGGGGTACGCACTGCGCAGTGCGCAGACGCCAACATTCATTTTTTACTTTCTTTGTCTATTTATAATTTTATTGTGAAGGCTCGTCAACAAGTCATGCAGCTTATCTTTCACTCGTAATGTTTGCATTGATTTTTCATAGTTTTATAACTGACTTTGGAGTTTTGGATGCTGTTAGGAGAGGATACTTAAATAATAACAAGTTAATCTATATGAATTAATTGCATAAAAATATGTTTATTCCAAATTAAGAGATAAGATCAATTTATTTCCCTTATAACTTACAATACACAGGCCATTGGAAAACGTCAATTTCTAGTACATTATAAAATATACATTAAGATTTATGAATAAAACAATTCCTTCAACATCATATAATAGAAAAGGAAATACATACATAATGTGACCTGAAACTCACCATGCAAAGAATGAATAAAATAAAACAGCACACTCGGCAAGCCATCGGTAAAAAAAAGTTCTTACAAACTGTATTCTTTTTTTAGTTTATAGAACTCATCAATACTATCAAGTGGGCTGGCCAGGAGGAGACATTCCACGCCCCTTTTGAACTGTTTACTTGGAAGTTTCCGGGCTGTACAAGATAACACATATTGAATATTTTAAGGCTTACAATGTCATAGATTCTTTGTAATTTCTTAAGCATATAACAAAGGGTACATTTACATCCTCTTTACTTCTCGTATTGTACGAGTGGATGTTGCTCCTGAGCTCGAGAGCGCCCACCTCCTCCTTGGTTTTGATGAGGGTCTGGAAGATAAAAAGGTGGTTTGAATCAGTGGCGGATTACCCATTAGGCACGATAGGCGACTGCCTAGGGGCCGCAGATAGAAGAATAAAAAATGAAATTAATTTGAAAAAGCTTTAAAAACTAACAAATTTAAAGCCAATTTCTTAAAATTGCCCGGGGGAGGACCCCCGGAGCCCGGCCCACCCGGTTGTTCAAGCCACCCCTCATAAAGCCCCTGTTTGAAGTCTGAAATGACGCCCATGGGGGGTCCAAGTTTACATGAGCCTAGGGGCCTTCTTACTCCTCTTATGTAAAAATAGAAAATTAATTTTATTATTCCATAGTTACGGCCAAATGAGCTACCGGTGCTAATGGTGGTTCTTCGGTAAAATGGGGCCCACCCCAATTGAAAAACGCTTTAAACGCTGTGTCTTCATGGAGTAGCTTTCTGACTATCCTAACATGTACAACCAAAGAAAAAAGCCTGCCAAAATACAGATCAGAAGAAAAACAATTCCTTTTTGTTTTGAAAGTTATTGTCGTCTTGTCTTTTCCATGAATTTGTTTACTGTTTTTATCTTTGTTTAATGTTTTGAGTTAATATCTTATAGGCCTATTTAACTTCATTTGACAAGTTTTCAACATGGATGGCTTCATCAAGCGCAATGTTTTGATAAGGCATAGTGATATTATTATTAAGGATTTGCATGGTGATGTCATAGAAACTCTAAAAGACCAAGGTGTAATATCTCCTGAAGAGTTTGAGCAAATAAATTCCCTGGTAAGATAGTGTAGATAAGGCTAATAAAAACTAGGCCTAGTCTAAGTTTGAATTAGCCACCTTTACTGAGCTTGTATCTCAGATTCTATAGGCTATTCCATTCAAACCCTCATTGATGACCATACTACAGGGTTTAGGCCTAGGAGGCTGTTTTGTAAACTTGTTCTTTGATCAGTCGATTGTTGGAATTTAAAATTATTAATTTATGACTTGAAAAGATGAAGGCTATAACCAGAATAGGCTACCGTACAATATATAATCGGATGAAATAATAATTTCGATTCAAGATAGGCCTAGTATTGGATTTAGACCTAATTTTTTTCTTCTTTTTACGTTACTTTGCCCAACTTGGAGAGCGCTAGTTCACCACTCGCAAAGCTTCGCAGTGACGTCATGACTTCTACTTATTGGTCGCTTTATCGATAGCGCGTTTGTTCTTCGAGACAACTTACTAATCGATAGTCGACTAATTTACTAATCGATAATATAAGAGGGTTTCAACTGATGACTACAAAGATCCCCGTCCGTAGAACAGGCGCACAGCTAGTTATGAATAATAATGGTACTCGAACACTCCCGTCTAAAATCTCAATGTAATTATCCATATTATCAATTTCCAGCAGCTGACACGGACAGTGTGGTGGATTTCCATTCTAACTCTAATAATCTGAAATGGCGACGGTGGTAGGTGGTGGCAGTTTGATCTTTCGATTCCGATCCGACTCCAAGTGAATTCATATGTAGGCTAACCATTATCGATATAAAGCGATATGATAGTAGGTATGATGTAGCTAGTAAGCTTTGCGAGTGGTGAACTAGTGCTCTCCGCCCAACTTCTTCTTTGCTTGCTATCATGCCATACTTAGTGCAGTTATCAGACCTCTCCCTAGCAGGCAGCTGTCGTGATACAGAAAATATCGGCTGTATGTGGAAACGAATGTTTAAACCGAAAGTCAAGAATCAGTATATTGTGTATTTGGAATTTATTGCGATAGGGTGACCAAGAGTAGACCTACTATAGTTATATCATTATAAACTATATTTTTACCTGAAAATAATGGTGCAAAAAGTTTTCTGCTGTCACAAAAACTGAATTTACTAAGATTTTTTTAAAATTTTATTACTTCAGTTCTTATTTAGACATGTGAGGTTAGTAGGTTGGGTGTTATGCGGATTCGTGACTGTATTAAGTTAGGTTAGATTAGGAAGGTAAAATTTAGGTTATTATGAATCGAGTTGTTGATTTATATTATCTCCAGACTATTTTTGCACTTTGTAAAAAGTACTACAAACACGATAAATAATAATTTCAAAAATGCGCAGCACGCCACACCTAAAGGTGTTTATTAATGTTAATTAATTTTAATCAAATATTACATATAGCCAACTTAAATCAATGTATTTACCTTTCTAAGTGTGGGTTGTGAGGGTAATATTTACTTTAAAATGTCATATAATCAATCAATAATTAAATTTTAGCATGAAATTTGATTAGTGTAAACATTGAAGAGCAGATTCAACATACAACATTAAAATAAAATTCAAAAAATCGTAGTTAACTCAGTTATGTATTGTGACAGCAGAAAAATTTTTGCACCATTGTTTTCAGGTAAAAATCTTGTTGCTAATGATATATAAATTACTATAGTACCGGTACTTTGTACTCTTGGTGAGTGGTCACCCTCATCGCAATAATTACCGTGTATTTTGCTAAACACCTTGGCGGCAATTATATTGACCTCCGGACCTCCCCCGAAATTCAAAAATATTTTTTTTTCAAAATGTCAGAAATTTCACGCTGATTCCAAAAATGGTTGTCGTTTTTCTCGGAAACAAAAGTGCAAGAGTTTTAAGTACCGGTAGGCCTACACAGTAAGTTACTTTTTTATTAGGTACCCATACAAATTTTTGTCTGTCTTTAGTCAGATGGGCCTGTCTGGGAAGCATTTTGGTAAATGTATTCATGTAGTTAAGATCTTTTGCTATGTATTTAAACTATAAAATCACAGCCTACAGTAACTTAAGTCTCATAGGCCCTAGAGACAAAACTACTTACTTTTCCACTTGTAGGCCTATTTCATCTCTTTAATTGTGCGTAAAGTGAATAATACCACATGTTTGTCCTGCAGAGAAAACAGGAAGAAAGAAATAAGAAATTTCTAAATATTTTATGCACTAAACCAGAAGGGTTTAATCCATTTTTGGATTCTTTGAAAGACTGGTATTCGTGGATTGAAGAGAGGTTGAGAAATACATTGACAGCAAGACCTGCAAATTTGAATGAAGCCTTAGCTTTCGGCAAAGTTCCAGCCAAACCTCTCATCAATGTGTCCAGAGTTGATCTGGTAAGTTGAAAAATTTCAGCAAATCCTAAAAATAAGTCACAGGGTATCTGCACTCTCACAAAAGTTTTAAAACAGGAAAGTATTTTTTTAATCTTATTACATAAGTAGTTGGTACTAAAAAACACAATCTTATCAGTCAACATTTTTTTGTCCTAGGACTCGAGGCCTTAGCCTGGGGTGGTTTTTCATATTACTTCAGGTTAGACCTAGGGTTTACAGCAATATAACTTCTAAGATAAAATCCATCGGAGATTTGGGGGGATGATTTTGAAATATTTGAACCCGGGACCTCAGGAACTAAAGTCTTGCACTCTATAAACACTAGACTAGCTCAACATTAATAGTTTCTGTAGCGATAACTGAACTTAAATTTGTCTTGGTAGGTAGTTGATAAAGGCAAAAACACACCGGTCGGCTGTCTGTCGACAGATTAACGTCTGCGTGCGCAGATGTCCAGAGGCTGTCCACAGACACTGATTCTCGAACAGTACCCCTTGTGACGAGCTACTAAGTACCGTAGTTGTGACCGGTGCCTTGCAGCCCATTTACTTTATAAAATACAACAAAGATTTGGGGGAGCGAGCTGGACTAGTGGTAGATCCTGAGACCGGTCCCTAAGATACCAAGTTCAAATCCCACAAAATTTCCAATGGCTTTCGTCTATAAGTGATAATGCCATCCTAGATCTAGCCTAAAGTAATGTGAAAACAATCTCGGGCTCATGCCTAGCATCCCATTAAACAAAAAACAAAACAAAACATTAATCATAAGATTAGGTATATTTGTGCAAAAACATTTAAACAAATTTTAATATAATGTTGAGATAAAAGTTATTAAAAAATGAAAAAATAGAATGAAATGGAATAATATTTTATTTCCAATACCGTAACATTTTATGTACACATTATATTTTTTTACTTATAAATATTACTGCTTATAATATTTTACTTACATGTAATAATACATGAATAGGTAACTGTTGAAATAGAGTGCACAAAAATGTAAAAAACCTTCTATAAACAAGGAAAGGTCTACATAGGCAGGGTCTGTGTGTAGACTCGAGTTGCAATAAGTATTTACTTAAATAGAAAGTTGAAAATAAGTTTAGGAAAATAAATAATTTAATTAGTAACTAACTGTCATATTTTCTGATTTCAGCTTCGTGATGTGAGAAATGCTTTGACAAACCTCAACAAAGGCGACTACGTAGTGTTACATGGAATGAGCGGCTGTGGAAAGTCTTCTTTGGCTGCAGAGGCGCTACATGATGAAATACTTCTTAAACATTTTCAGGTTAGTTTTACTACAAACACAATTCTAATTTTCCAAATGTACCTTCTTTTTTGCTATTAACAATAGAGTCGAATTTTAACCCAAACGCTGGATTTATATATGATTTCTTGTCTATATCCAAATAAAATAAAACCCAAAAAGCAAAATGCAACACATCAATTAGCTCGTCCACCATGTCACAGTCAGATACTGAATGCAACACTAATGCTAGCAGTTGAGATTCAACAGACTACCGTACTTAAGCGCCAGAGGGTTAGGAGTAAGGCTACCAAATTGCCAACTTCCGTCACAAGCTAGACTTGTAACACACACTGAAAGGGCTGAGGAAAACGTACATTATACGCTTTATTAATTTAGTAGAATTGAATATAGAATATTGAATATGGTATGACTCTTCATTTTGTTAAAAACTACACGGTTACGTTAACAATCAGGGCTACACGGACCGAGACCGGGAAGTGAGGCGGTCAATGGAGTAGGACAGACTAGAGTGGTGGTATGAATGTACACACTGAATCAGAATACACGCAATCGCGGCAGCTAATGTATTAAAACATTAAAACATTGCCTAACATGACGTTACATACATGGTGTGATCATGTGGTCTACTGTACTACTCACATACCTATACAAATAAATTTCACACATACATGTCATAGAAAAATGCTTTTTTACAAAAGATATTGATTCATACTAAATACATTTGAAATCATCAAGTATCTTTCAGCTTTATTGGAAACCCAATAATCAAAAATAGTTAGGTACAGTTTTGAACCTTCAAAAATCTACGATTTTTCTCAGGAATTTCAGGTGAGCGCTTGAACCACTTAGCTAACCCAGTCGTTGATCTAATGAGCTACCAAATGTCATTAGGTTTAGGTGTTAAATAAAACCGATATATGAACTTTCACGTCTAATTTAACATTGCTCCACAGGGTAGAGTAGTATGGCTGAGTTGCGGACACGACGTAAAAGACGACGAAAATGAAGTTCTAGCGCTTCAAATTGAGCTGAATGCAGCCATATGTGACGAAGAGCTTGTAAATGACGTAAAGACAGCTACAATCAAATCTCTCCGGATGAATTTGCAGAGGAGGTAAGCAAACTGATTTTATTGTACCCTGGATATCAAATGTTATTTTTTTAAAGAGGTTGGTGGCCTCTTTTAACCTTGCATTTGCCCGTCCACATAGACTACAGATCTGTGCGTGGAACGTATCCAGCAAAGCAAGGGGTGAGCCGGTACAGTACAAAGGTGAACTGTACTGATAAAAGTTAGTGGCAGTGACCAGGATCCGAACCCACGACACCACTGCCTTGGGCCCGAAGTCCGCGACGCTACCAACTGAGCCACCGACTCACCAATGCAGTCTGTTCAATGCAGTTTGTTCGGAATTTTGTCATGATATAAACAGTACTGGTCCTTATTTACGCCTGGTTCTTTTCCTTGGCTAGCAGTATTACGTCATCTCATTCCAATGACATTTGTTGTATAGAGGCTCTTTCAAACGAATTCAGGCGAACATTTTCCCCCCTAACCTCCTTATCTTGGAGATTTCCTGCTTGGAATGTAAGTCTTGGCATCTACGCTTTCAATCTGCCTGCTAGTTAAGTTGATAAAGCATCAATTCTCACTCAATATGAGATGGGATAAGTTCTTTGGCAAAAATAAGACTGTAATCATAGATCCGAAGACAATAGCTTATTAACTAGGAGAATATTTTGCACCAAAATATTAAATATAGACAGGCCAATATGATGATAATATTTTTTACCACATTTGGTTGACAGACCAATTATTTTACTTGCCAACAAAATAATATTTTGAAGGAGAAAACATTTGTTTGAAGGTTTCTACGATCTGACTTCATCGATGGGCTTGTGGTACTGGACGACGTTAACTCGTACCATGTGATCGAAGCATTGCACATCGGCTGTAAAACCCTGGTGACATCCATTGACAAGGATGTTATGAAGTCTTATTTCAGCCGCTGCAAATTCATACACGTGAGTAATAACTGTGTTTTTTTAATTTTTACTTTCTCCCCCTAGCCTATACAGGGAAAGTATTGTGTTCTTCAAAATTGTTGAGTTTGAGTGGAAATTGGAAATATTTGTTATGGGTCCCCTTGTACCCAAAAAAGTGGTTTTCAAAGTTGTGTCTGTTTGGATGTGTACAGAGCTACAGCTGACCTGAGGTTCAGTTTTGATGAAATTTTGTATGCCGGTACTAATCTATAGTATTGCTGATGGTAGGTGAGCGAGAGTTTCAAAGAGGAAGAGACGATGGAGTACTTGGCCAAGTGTGTGAATGTGCCTGTGAAGCAGCTGCCTGCTCAAGCATCGAAGATCCATAGATATGGCAAAGGTGAGGATGACAGGCTTCTGCTTATTGTAATACCATAGCTAAATTTTTTTTTGGGTGGCTTTGAATTTTTCAATTTTGGTGACTTTCTATGCACAAACTAGCTATTACCATAATCCTGAAAACCTAACCAATTTAATGTAATATTTATCGAAATTATGATTCTTTTGAACATTAACCAAGATAAACAAATTTTTAATAGTCTGCTACTCTTAACCCTTTGCGGTCGAATTGCGAGTATAGGTCCGCCACCTGCCATTTTCCCGACTGCTAAACAATGACGACCTATACTCACAAAAAAAAAAAACAAATAAAAAATCAAGAAAGTCTATCATTGCGGTCGAATGGCAACCTATACTCGCCGAAAAATTAAAATAGAATTCAACCCAAAGTGTTAACAGCTTTAAAATTAAGTTAAAACCAAGAAACACAAAGAAGACATGAAATTTAGTATTTTGCATTCCTTAATGAAATTACAATATCCTTAGGTCATCCGTTGATCATGTCCCTGATCGGTGCTCATCTAAAAGATCACTGTGACGAATCCCAAAGTCAAGAACGCAATTGGCAAGACTGGCTCGATGTTCTACGCAAGAAGGAGTTTGAGTAAGTACAAGTCTTTCAAAATCTTTAACCGCATTAAACCCTATTAGATTGTTTGTTGGTTTGCCTGTTGTATTATGTTTTTTCCCAACTTCAAACACAAATTAAGCATTTTTTGTAAAACATGTTTTGTATGGGCCCACAGTAAGGATAAGTATTGAAAAATTAAACATAGACAGTTAATTACAGTTAGTTACAGGTACTAATCCATAGTATTTTATTTTTAGTCAGGTGTTTTTTTTTAAGTTTAGTTTTTATGGTGAAAAAGCCATAAAATAACAGAATAATCTGAATTTCAGTAAACCGGCTTGAACTATTTACATTAAAATTTAGTATGTTATGGTCCTTTTCTCCAATGCCGTAAAAATGTATACTGTAGTTTGATTAATTATATTCAAAGTCACTTTACAATTACATTTATACTTGAAATGCCTTAGTGTAAATAATTAGGTAGTTAAGGGTGTACACAAAGGTGTATAAAAAATTTAGGTTACACCATAGACAAATAGAATAAATAGAGACTGTCAAAGGAAGGTTCCGGCGCCCACCGCTAGGTTTGCCGTGTAGTTACGGCGCACACTGCTGCAGGCGAGTCTATATTTATTCTATTTGTCTATGGTTACACATGTGGTAATTTTTCTGATGATTTTTAACTAAATTGCTTAATCAATGTTTATCACACATTATCTGTTTGCTTAGAGAGTTGAAACGGCGAAGTTTTAACAGCGAACCACTTCTACCGCAAACAATTGAAATTTGCATCGAGAATCTGGTGCCACAGTTGAGAGATTTGTATCAAGACTTTGCTCTGTTTGTGGAAGATGTCAACATTAAAATAGAGGTAAGTTTTTATACATTTTCTAGAACTTGCTGAACTTGTATGCCTTGTAAAGCATTATTTTTTTTGGATATGGTTCTCTTATCTATCTATTTCTTATATTTTAGCTCATACCGTTGTATTTACATTTTTTTACTGATTTCCAGGTACTGGAAACTCTATGGAATTTGCCTAAGAAAGAAGTAAGAAAGATCATGAATGAGTTTTATACAAAATCACTGGTGGTTAGGAAATACAACGAGGCACAGGGCTCTTACGTTTACGGGATTCACGACCTCTTGCGCTTCTTCCTCAGACGACGGTTGGACGAAGATTCTCTTAAGGTAAATAAATCTTTAAATTCTTTATCATAGGGAAGGATATGCTAATTGATCAATATTTTAAGGATTTTTGCTAGACTTGCAGGCTAAATTTAATTGGAAAGAGTTTATATGGGTATAAACTCAAAAACAAGGGAAAGTCTTGAAAATTCTGTCAGTGACAGTAAAGTTTTTTTTTTTTTATTTTGTACATAGCCTTCTGTATTGTGTAGTTTCTTCTCTTTAATTAAGCTAGGGTATATACTTAATCAGGTAACCCAATATTCTAACAATTCCTAAAACCTAGACTCCTGTGAACTATGTTACAAATGCAATTTTAGTTACAATTTACAATCTTTAAAAGTATGGGGAGCCTTGAAAAGGTTATAAGGGCTGGGGCAACCCCCCTCCAAACCCAAAACCTTCATTTTGGTTGCCTTTTAGCAAAATTAGCACTTTATAACTTCTTAGCAATTCAAAATTACAAAATCCAGCGCTAAGGGAGAATCTTCCTGATTTTAAATGCAACAAATATTTATGTTTTTAAATAACTTTCTTACTCAAATTGAAAATCAATTTTTCAAAGCTTTGATTCTCTGATTGCGACACATAGTGGTTTTCTGAGAGTAAATTTTCTTAAATACACTGTTTAACTAGTATATTCCATTTCCCTTCAATTGCTTCTTTTTTCATCAATAACACAAAAAATACATACAATTGGTATTACAGATAAACCTTAAACCTGGTTAGGTGTTTAGTTCATCGCTTCCCATTTGCAGACGATAACCTAACTTAATTTTTTACAGAATCTACACGTCAAGCTAATTGACAGATACAAAGAAGTTTGTAAAGGCGATTTGTCCAAACTGCCTTTGAACGACAACTACATCTACTTCTACATCGGCTACCATATTGCCAATTCTAAACAATACACCATGTTCCAAGATTTGTACTTCAATTTGGACTTCATCGAAGCCAAGTTGAAAGTAGCAGGGCCTGGGGATTTACTTTTGGACTACAAACGTTACAATTGTCATTTTGTCGATGGCCTCGTAAGTATAGTTTTTTAATGATGTGTATCCTTTATTTTTTACCATTGGTTCGAGAGATAAAGCTGTGTGTTCAGTGCGAAAACGGAGTTTGGTACGTACAGAGCGGAGTGTGGAGCGATTTTCCCCTTATCCAGTCGCTCCACTTCTAGAAAAACAGTACCATTAAATTACCTTAGACCAGAGGAGAGCAGATTCCGTACTTCACTCTCGCTTTCCGCGCCTAGGAAGACTCAGCTTATCTCTGGTTAATAGGACGTGAAATCTGCTTAGGAGCCAGCCACATATCTTTTCACCAAATTACATTTTTAACTTGGTGTCCCCCCTTAAACCTTAAGTTTTATACGGAAACCTTTTTTATAAAAAAACTATATTCTTTAGTAAGGTTGTGTTTCCCACAGTCAAATAAATAGTTTAGTTGTTGGTAACGTTAAAATGTCACACTGTTGCCATCAGTTCATTATTTTATTAGCTGTTTGTTATTATCATACTTAATACTTCCTAGCTGTATCAGCTAATATACTTGAAACACCCACAGTGTGAAAGGAAAATGATAATTGAAGAGTATTTTGTTACATCTTACTATTGTTAGTGTTTAAGCCATTCAAATTTTGTACAACAGAACCGCAAACCCTTTTAAAGTAATATTTCAGAAAAAAATATTTGGGAACAGTTTAGAATCGTTGGGAAAACAGTGTCGATGAGCTAACATACACAAAAAACATTTTATAACACAGATATTTCGTCATACAGTAGACCCCACTTGACCGACCTTGTATGATTCGATAATCGGATTATCCGCCTCGCTCACGAAATATTACAGTTTGTTTCAACCGACTTTGTTTTGAGAGTAGTTCGGTTTAACCACCGCTTTCTAGGAATCTTGGCATTTCCGCTCCACGCTCGGCGATGGGGACAATACGCTAAACTCTACAGGATGTTACAGGCTAAATAAACATTCTGTTTCGTAACGAAATGGTTGCTTGTATCTTTAATTTTGACAAAAAGCTCTTTACTGTATTACGATGGTTTTGGACAGCATCAATTAAATTAAAGATATTGAAATAAGACTTTTTATTGACTCTTGCCTGCGACTATAATTTATTCCACTGAAAGTATTTGACTTGACCGTGTTTTGGGTTTATTTGTGACTTTTCTATCGTCAATACTTAAGGTAAAAGGAGATTAAAGTGTATCCTGTTTTGTAAATTATGCACACACGACTTAAGAATAATGATTACATAATTCAAATGAATAGCACCTAATATTTTTAAGTGTTTAGGGATTGCCCGTTTTAACCGAACTTTGAGTCATCCAACTTAGCTCTGTTCCCATTAGGGTCCGATAAGAGAGGGTCTACTGTAATTTGAGACCTCTTAAAAGTGTAGATTGAAGAGAAATTTCTTATATTTGTACAAAATACCAGTGCTAAGTTTAGTGATTATTAAGTCTGGACTCAAGACAAGTTAGCTGAATTCTATTGCTAATGAAAACTCTTCAAAATGCTTTTAGAGAAATCAGTCTAAACTCTAAACTTTTTGTTCCAGCCCGAATCGTCTGCGTCACTCGTCTCTAAAAGATTGTCGGACTTTGTGAGATTTGTAGAGACCGCGGGACTGGACGTCAAACGTAACAACAAGGGCCCGGACATTGTACAACTAGGACTGCAAGAACCTCATGAAAGCGATGTTTACAAAGCTGCTCTTCGATTGGTCCAGTCACGACCGAACAAAACTTATCTGCGTTTCCAGTATGTAGCTTTTGCCTGATTGTTTTTATCACTGAACCACTGGTGATAGATGCCTAAAAATTAGTTTTGACGTATTATTGTTAAGAGTTATACACATGTGAGACTTATTTCAAGTTATTGAAGTATTTATTGGACTTGAGTTAATTTATTTACTTTACTAACAGGTTGGGTCCGTCTAAGAGCAAGGCAGCGCCTCACACAATACAAACTAAAGACCGAGTCTCATCAGCTTGTTTCTCTCTCAACAAGAATCTCATCGTGGCCTTTGAGTCGGGAACAATTCAGGTATGATAAAGTAAAAACATTTTATTAGCTTCAGGAAATAAAGTGGCCCAGGACAATAAGTGAATACAGTATGACACTTGATAATTCGACGCTTGATACCTTGGTAAAACTTCTTTAACTGACACTGCACCGAATAAATCACTAGTCATTGTACAGGTTTTTTACAGTGTAGAAGTATGCAATAATTTTACACAAAAACTTACTTTGTTCCAAAGTATATCGAATAAGTAGGCTTTCCTAGATTAGTTTAGCTAGTTTTTATACACTTTTTTATAAACAATATTTTTTCAAATATTTTTGGTCATTTGAAGTGTTGTATTATCCGGGTAAAATGATTTACTGTTCATTCCACTGATCCTCAGCCTGAGCCAGTTCTGCAGCGATCCACTCAGGTATGGGTCCCATGGTGTCGTAGTCCCCTGGGTCGCTGGGTTGTTGCAACTGTGGTGGAGAGAGAGGCACCGGGACCGAGGTATCCACGAGGACCAAGATTGTGTCCCAGAGAGCGCTTATGGTATTAAGAACAATGATTTCCCCTTTTGAAACTTGCCCTGGTGAAGCGTAAAGCGCCAACATTTCTTCTGGTGTTTCTACAATTTCAGTGTGAAGAAGTGTTAACGAGTCGTTGCTTCCTCTACCAGAACTGTTTGGGTTTTGGTATCTCGTACCCCAGAAGTACAATACATGGTCAACAGTGGAGACGACTGTGTAGGTTGGCCCGCAGACCACTCTCGTTGCAATTTTGTCCTCAATTGCTGTCACGACGCTTGGCACCAACGAGTTGTGTCCTTTCTGAGCCTCCGCGTTACTTCCCATCGTGATTATTCTCCCACAGTCAGTCAGTACTGCAGTATGATCTGTTGTCATCGATATGTCTACAACAGGCCAAGAGCCTAAAGATTTAATTTCTTGAAGCCTCGTCGTTTTCTCCACTGTACTTCCTTTCAGACCGAATATTTGCAGGAACGAGTAGGACAGTCCTAGTTTGTTATTTGTGTTTCGGCCGCAAGCGTAGACTGTACCAGATTGTGTGATGACGGCTGTAGAGTCTGACCCGCAATGGATGCTTTTTATTGGGTTCTTCAACTTGATTGTCAGTTTCACTGGTGTGCAACAGTCTTGTTCGTCTCCGGTGCCCAGCCTGCCAGCTTCTCCTCGGCCCCAAGTGTACAACTCTCCGGTGACTGTCAGAGCAGCACAGTGATGCATGCCGCACGCTACTTGAGTTATCTCTTGGTCTAGGAGTTTCTCCACCAGTTGAGGTCTCGATATGCCCGTCCAATCGCCACGGCCCAAACACCCGAACGTTCCGTCCCCACAGGTCATCAGCACTCCCGATTCGCTGAGGAACACGCTGAAGCCGTCGCCAGCTCTGATTACGTGGATGTTTCTATCAGACAGAGCTCTGACTGGGGTTGGGTGGGGGAGCCAGAGGGGGCAGTCCGGGTGACCTAGCTGACCTCGCTTGCCTTCTCCCCACGTGAAGACCATCATGTCCGTCGACACAGCAATGTAATGAGTGTTACTGACCGATATTTGACTTATCTTGGCCGAACAAGGGAGCATTACTGGCACACAAGAGAAAGTCGGTCCACTTCCAGATATCTGATACAGAACGGATCTCATCCCTTTTTGTAGCGTCAGTGAGGCTTTGCTTCGCTCTTGCTGCTCCAAGATGGCTGCCACTCTGTTGTAGGTCTCAACAGCTGTGGGTCACAATGTAGGGTCCTTCTGTAGAAGATCGGTAACGAGATTCCTCAATCCTTGTGAATAAACGTCAGGCACAGGGTCAAACGTTCCTTTCATAATCTTGTTCACCAGGGCTGGCAAATTACTCCCTTGGAAAGTCTTGTGGAGGCAGGCCATCTCATAGAGTATGCAACCGAGCGCCCACATGTCTGACTTGTGATCGTATTGTTTACCCTCGCACATTTCCGGACTGATGTAATAAGGCGTGCCGAGAACAGTGTGCGCTTGGCTTTTGGTGGTCATAATTTTAGAAATACCGAAATCACCCACTTTTATCGCTTTTTCTTTAGTCAGAAATACATTGGCGGTTTTTAAATCTCGGTGGAGAATGTTGTTTTGATGCATGTACTTAATGGCTGCCACGCATTGTAGGAACATTGCCAGCAATTCTAGTTCTCCGAGACGTGTGGTTTTGCTGATGAGTTGTGCCAAAGTTCCTCCGTCTGCGTATTCCATCTCTATCATGAGCATCCCCTCCACTTCGAAGCTGCCGAGGTATCGTATGATGTTTGGATGGTACAGAGAGGACAGAACTTGTACTTCGTTCAGTGCCATTTGTCGCTCGGTCCCTGAAAGCTCCATCATGTTTATTTCTTTAATTACCACCAGAAGTTGGGTATCCAGTTTTCGGTAGAGTACAGCTGTGCCGAATGCTCCTTTTCCAACTGTTCTGATCTTCTCGTACCCATCAAGTGACTTCACTTTGGAATCTAAAATAAAAAAAGAGTTTAAATCGGTAACTTGACCACTTATTTATTTCTCTAGTCTTGTTTGGGACTATTACACAAAACAAGTATAAGAATACATTCAGTATTCACCTTAGAGTTGTCCCTCAGTAGGGGATTATCCATTGACAATTTTTTTTAATTTTTTGTAGGGATGGTCAAGTCTCGAAATTTCGGGAAATTTTCAATCTCGTTACACGAGACGAGATTACTTTTTGGCCGAGATTTTTATCGAGACGAGAATAAAAAAAAAAAAAATTAAAAACGCCTGCAGAAAGTCAATGCAATACCCGCAATACAGGAGCGTGTTGTAGTTGCGTTTCCTTTGCCAAGGCGTTCTTATTTAATTAATTCTTTTAATGTAAATATTACTTTCATTATTTTAATAGTATTACTTTAATAACATTTGAGAAGTTTTGTTAAGTGTAAGCAGTGTGAGGAATGTTTTATTACTATAAAAAAAGTCAAAACAAGTAACTATTTTATAAAAATTAATATTGCTTTTATTTTATGATTTATTTTATTTTAGGATAAGTTGAACTCTATCCTAACTGATATCACCATGTTTCCTAATTGTAGGCATTTTTAATAAGTTAGGCGTGATTAATAAAAAAATGTTATGCTGATGTTATTTAATGAAAGATTGTAAATATTCTTGCCTATTATCATTATTTTAGTATTTAAACAGTCATCTAACAATGTTACAAAATCAGGTGTTACAAAATTTCGAACGTGCATTTCCCGTTGTGTATGAGAAGAGAAATCTCGCTCGAAATTTTATGAGAAATAAAAAATCTCGTCTCGTCTCGTCTCGAACTAAAAATCCAATCTCGTCCATCCCTAATTTTTTGGCAAGATGCCATTGTCAAATACTTCAGTCCACATGAAATACATTTGATTAACTCTGATGTGGGTTTAGATAGTGCTGATTTGAACCCTTTGACCCCTTCCTGCTCTTGTACCGGTAATGTTGTATTTCTATGATAGGCCTATATGAAAATAACAAATGTTGTGACTCTCCTCGTATAACCTAAAAATCAGTGATCGACAAGGATACAACTCAACTCTTTTAAAACCCAACCTGTTGGTTTGAGAAGCATATTGAGCTGGGATATGTCAAAGTACAAAGCCGCAATGTCTCTGTGTTCTTGAACGTCAACTGTGATGACCTCGCAGCCCATGACTCTAGCAATGGCGGGGCCCAGTCCTCCCTCCGTTGTCCCCGCTATGGACGTGTTGAACAGGTGGACTACTCCGTCGTCTGCTAGGGTGCTGGTCAGCTGTCTCAGAAACTGCTGCACCGACGGGCTCAGAGCCTAGAAATAAACACTTAAAATTTGAAAATGTTATAAATACCTTCTTATGGTTGTATTTAGATTAAGCTAACCTAGATTCAGCAAACGATTGGTGGGATTCCTTCTACCTAGGGACTGGCCAATGGCTTAAGGCCAGTTTCAGGTAGACCAAGGGTCAGGAAACATGTTCTATCATCTTATAGACTATAGTTAAGATGACTTATGGACTAAATTTCTCCAATTTTATTAATTTAACAGGTAAATGTACTGTTATTATAAATTTATTACTCTATATTTATGCAGTCCAAACAAAATAATGTCTGACCTGACCGATGACGTGTCCGACGCAAAGAAAGACTTTTACATCGTCAGAATGCATGAGGAGACCGAGACTGGATACTCGAGATTGTCCCACGCTCTGACGAACCAGCGAGACTATCTCGGACAACGAGGTGTTCTCATACTCGTAAGCAACTACGAGAATGTTGTCTTTGACCACTTGTTTGACGAGTGCACTGTAAATAGCTCTGCTGGACACAAGTAGCAGTCGGGTCGTCATGGTGTCACTGCTTCCTAGCATAACAGCTTTTTGTTAGCTTAGCCATACCAGCACTTGACAATTAAAATGGATTAAACATACTCCCTACTTACATGGCTTCAACAGTAGAACAGTATTGATAGAAAAAACCAGAAATTTTGAATCTCAAAATTCAAAGCGAAACTATAAAAATCAAAACCTGAACTCACAAACCTGAAATCAAAACCCTTTTAGTGCCTGGTCAAGGGTACAAGAAAATATCAAATGTTTATTATGCTAACAAAATATCAAAGCTGAATGAAATTGACTCCTGGCCCTGACATAGTAACATGTGACTAATACACTTTAACCTAAAAAACCATAATTTTTCATAAACAACAAACGCTAAAATAAATTAAACTCCTAACACTAACATAAACATAAATATTAGATCAACTACCTCACAGACTTTTCACTTTCTGAAAAAAAGTTATATACAAAATATCACTGTTATATTTTGTGGTAGCCTAGTTTATTTTCTACCTTTTAGTCAATGAACATCAATTTTGTCAGGTAAGCTAACTGAAATCTTTCGCTATCAAAGAAAATTCCTACTCAGTATCCTGATTTTCTCCAAAATAAAATCCATAGAGTATGTTTAATCTAGGGTATTACAAAAGATTTCTGCACAATCTATAAGGGGTGAGATTTCAATGTGGGTGTCCTGAGTCACTTGTATATAACCCCTTACACTAATGTATCCCCCCAAATTTTCTATCACCTAATAAGCATGTCCACCGTGCATCTTGAAAGTTACTCACCATATGTTCCAAGTAGCAGAAATCATCTGCACAATCATTGTTTGGTTTCCATGTGTTGTCAATCAATGGCAGTGTTGTGGCCTGTGTTGCTATGTTGCCATGTTGTCATGTTGCCAACCCCCCACTCACCCCCACCTACCACTTGCATCTACCCCTACAGCCACCTGTTCATTGCTGACACCTGAACTGTTTGCACAAATTTCATTTATTTATGTCTTAAACATGCTTTGATTTCTAAATAGATAAAAATTATTGTTGTAATTTTTTTTTTTTAGGAATAGAGTTCAATTAGCTTACTTGAGAAAATTTAAGTCCAGTGTCTAATGGATACACAATAAAAGAATACAAAACACAAAACTGATATTTTGTCTGAAAGTAGGATTTCTTCAGAGAGAAGGTTGAAGAGACTGCTTTCTGAAACAAAATCAGTTTTGTTTTGTGTTCTTTGTGTGTCTATTAGCTCCTTGGCTCTAATTTTCTCAGGTAAACTGGTTAAACGGCATTCCCATTAAAAGCTTCCTTACTAGTCATTTGACTTTTCTTTTAAATATGTTATGAAATAAATCCTTCATAAGTGGAATACACTGTGTAATAATGTTTTCTAGGATTTAATGTTCTTTTAATTTGTTTTATTTCGTCAGTTTTTTATTATTAGTGATAAATGATGTTTTTTTTTTCTTCCTGATATTTTTTTCAACTCAGATATTTTGTTTCAACTCTTCTTATGTTTGTTATTTTAAAAATTAAGTACTATGAACACTTTTTTTACTTTTGGCTGGGTTTGTGTACTTTTGATATACTTTAGGTTTTTTTGTATTTAAGATGGGATCAGGTGTTGGAAAATGTCCACAATCATTTCTTAAAAATAACAAAAAAAACTCACCATCATCAAAAAAATGAACTTTAAACAATTTTTTTTTAAATTCTAAATTTGTCTAAATTTGAGTTATTGTAATTGGTAGGGAGTTCAAGTATTCTCAATAATTGTATAGTTTTATCCATAATTGTATGAACAGAATTCTTAGGCATTATATGACCTGTAATAAAAGTGATTGATACATTTTTGAAAACTTGCATCACAATTGTAATTTAGTTGTCCCATCGAAAAACTTTGCAATAGTAAATATTTTCAAAAAGCGAAAATACAAAAGCGAATATTTTCAAAAACGTTCTGGCTGGTGCCAACATAAAACAAATTTCCCACGCATTCAATCGCTTGTAAGTATTGCCAACTTATGCATAAAAAAAATGAAAAAATCCAATTGGTAGAAAACATAATTTGCGTTTAAAAATATTAGTTCCCAAAATATGCAACGTTGTCCGTCGGGGATACTCAATATTTCTAAATGGCAAAAATAAATAAATGTTTTTATTACGGTTTGTTTATTTTGTTGTTGTTGTTATTAGACTTTAAACAACAATATTTTCTTCAGATTTTGAACGAGAGAGGTCACAAGTTGCGAGAGTATGAAGGCCACCCCAGTGCAGTGACTAGACTGGATGTTTCAGCTCAGACAAACATATTTCTGTCAATGTCCAGTCATCATGTGAGCCTCTGGCGGTTACCTGAGTTGGATTTCAGTGTCTCGGTTAGCGGAGGTAATGTTATAAAAGTGTGGCAAAGATTGTTCACTAAAAACCTGATTAATAGGATATTAGTGCTGATTTGCAAGAGGTACTCGTTCGGATACAGCGGGTTTGAATTCTGAATTAGTTTCTCCTGTATTCAAGTTTCAAGGCACCAAAAATCCAATAGGTTTATCTTACGTTCACTTTAATACTTATTATTGCAGCACGTAAAAGAAATAGTTTATAATTTGTGTATTTGCAATAATTCAAAGTTATGTATTCTCGCTAAAAAATATTTTTAGCGGAACATGATGAATGTCTTATAACATTTTAATTTTTGTTTATAGTAGGGAACTAATACTTTACAAGGACACAAGTCTGGGCTTTGTAAAAAATATTTATCAAATTTTTTGTTGTTGTTATTGTTATAACTTTTATTGATAAATTAAAACAAACAAGAACAATCATAGTTTTTAATAGCAAATATTATAGCTGACATAGTGGTAATCTCTTATCTACAATATTTTTTTTTACAAAACATTTAATAACTAACTTTTATAAAAATCAGTAAAGAACTAAGTGTTATTCTCCAATGGGTTAAATTTACCTGATAAAATAGTTAAAATAGTGTTCTCGCCAGTTAAATCCCCCAAACTATAGCTTGGTCATCCCCTAAATACCAATATTCAATATTCTATTTTGACATCGTAAGATTATCTTTTAGTCGTTTTGTCGTCTGCTGTTAACTAAAATGTCACATGTTATTTGCAGAGTCAGCTAACAAAGGCACAGGTGACCGATCACCTTCTCCGAGTCAGAGACAAGACAACTTTGCCGAGCTGTTTGCGTGCAACACTCCGGACAAACGCAAGGCTTGGTTCACCATTGCGTACAAGAGCCAAGTACAGTGGGCCTGCTTCGCACCTAACGGCACCAACTTTGCCGTATGCTGCTCACAGAACAAAGTGGAGGTGGGTTTAGTAAAATCTGTCTTAATCGATACAAAATAAGGGAAGGGAAGGTTATTTTGGAATGAAAACTTTGGGTTAACATGTTTCTCTTGGAGCTGCCTCACCTCCGACAACATCCCCTTTCAAAACAACCTATACTGTTTTTTGGACGTATTTTGTTGGGCGTGTGGAACATACCCTGATTCTTTACCACTCATCTTTGTTGGATTACTTAAGTTTTTCTGGCTTTTACCGTGAAACTAACTCGGCAAAAACTACATACAGTAGAATGTTGATTATCCGAAGCCTGATCATCCTAAAGGTTGGGTAACCAAAAGACCGATCACCTTGCCGATACTGCAAGATATGCTCACAGGTTAAGGCCCATGCTTAAGTTGTATGAGACACTCAAAATCGGTAAAAATATATTTTAACATGTAAAAATAAATGTTAATGCTATTAATCAATGTATTATATCTCATTTTTACTGTAAATGACGACCTATACAAACGAATCTGTTATCCAAATACACCTAATCCCCAATTGTTTCAGATAATTACTTTACTGTAAAGTGTATGACAATAGACAATAGACAATAGACAATTTTCTTTATTTGTGATTTCTTTAAGAAATACAATGGCGTCAGAAAAATTCAGAATGTTTAACATTTAGATTGTTTTAACAGTTTACATTTTCTTTTGTGTTGAAAGTTCATAATTGGTCAAAAAATTCCTTAAGGGAGTACACCGGTCGGTCCACAAGCCAGTCCCAGAGTTGCTGTTTGAATTGGTTTCCTGTTGCGTTCTTGAGGTTGTTTGGAAGAGAGTTGATGATTTTTCGGCCAATATAAGAGGGTTTTCTGCTGTATTGTGTAGTGTGGTGGATCGGAAGGTTGTAGTCGGCTGCTTTTCTGGTGTGGTAGGAGTGAAAATTCTCATTTCTGGGAAGGTTAAGTTTTTTTGTGTACAGGACAACTCCATGGATGTAGAGTGCTGTCACTGTTAGGAGCTTAAGGGATTTAAATGCTTCCCTGCAGCTGTCTAAGCGCTCAAGGCCGGAGAGTGCCCTGACAGCTTTTTTCTGGAGTACCAACACTTTGTTGAGGTTTGCTTCTGATGTTCCTCCCCAAGATATTAAGCAATACCTTATATGCGATTCTATTACAGCATAGTATGCTGTCTTAGCTGTTTCCAGACCTCCTATCCATTTCATCCTCTTTATTACATGGACACCAGATGCAAGTTTCTTGGTCAGGTTGTGTATGTGGTCGTTCCAGGAGAGGTCTTCATCAATTGTCAGGCCCAGCAGTTTTGAGTTTTTTTCAACGGTTATTTCAGGAATTTCTTGGATTTGTTCATGTTTTCGGCTGAAATTTAACTGGGTTGTTTTTGATGGATTAATGGCCAGGTCATTTTGAAGGCAGTACTGCAGTGCTTTGTCTGTTGAGGATAAGATGTTGGAGTGTAATTCTTGTGGTAAGTCGTGCATAAATAGAAGAGTTGTGTCATCAGCGTACATTATTGTTTCACAATTGTCATTCTTAATAAAATCTGGAAAATCATTGGTGAAAAGGATGAACAAAAATGGGCCCATGACTGAGCCCTGGGGCACTCCCCTGTTGATCGAAAGTTGTGTGGACCTATGTACAGATTTTCTCCCATTTGTGTTTTGCTGGATTTCGACAATTTGTGTACGTCTTTTCAAATAGCTTGCCACCCAGTCTTTGGCCATTCCCTCTATTCCTAGGGCTGTGAGTTTCCTTAGGATGAGATTATGGCCCAGGCAGTCAAAAGCTTTGCTGTAGTCAAGTAAGACTGTTGATACATATCTGCGTGCTTCTAGATGGTCAATGATTTGTTCGATTAAGCTAGTTAGAGCTGTGGTGGTGGACCTCCCTTTGAGAAAACCATGTTGGTTTTTAGTGATGAGATCATTGCTTTCCAAGTGACTCAGCATTCTTGACAGAGCGACCTTTTCTATTACTTTTGAAAAGGTTGATATTAATGAGATAGGGCGGTAGTTTTCTTGTTTAGTGCGTGAGCCTTTTTTGTGCTTTGGGTATATTTTTGCTATTTTTAGGGCGGAGGGAAATTGTCCAAGGCTAAAAGATTTGTTTATTATGCTGACAAGTGGAGCTGCCAGTTGTTCGGCACAGTGTTTTACAACTTTTGATGGCACTTCATCTACTCCACATGACAGCTTTGATTTCAGTGAGGCTATTGTTGCTAAGACTTCTTTAATGGTTGTAGGAGTTAAAATTAGTGGCTGGATATTGCTTTGTGGTAGAAATAGTGGATGTGTAATTTTTTTGTTTTTGAATTGGCTTCTGTTTTTCTCTAAAGTGGAGTCTGCTATTTCTGCAAAATATTGGTTTAGGTGTTCAGCAATGTCAGTAGGGTTATCTAATATTTTTCCCTCTATTTCCAGCTGCAGATTTGGTTCTTCCTTCTGTTTACATTGTTTTTCTTTGTTGATGATCTCCCAGACAGCTTTGGATTTATTATCAGCACTTGTGATGTATTCTGCAGTGGCTTGTCGCTTGAGGGACCTGAGCTTTAAATCATATGTTTTCTTTTTTTCCGACATTGTTGTTTTATCATTTACATTTCCGGTAAGCTCGTATCGGTGTAAGGCATCTAGAAAATCTTCTTTTAGTATTTTGACTTCTTCATCATACTGAACCTTAATTTTCTGTCCTTTCTGCTTAGCTCTTATTTTTTTGATAGGGCAGGCATGGTCCAGTATGAGCCTTACAGTCCTTTGGAATGCAGAGTATGCCTCTTCAGCATCAGGGGCATTGTGCACCTTTATCCAGTTTTCTTTGGAGAGTTCGTCTTTCATGCTATCCAGGTTTTTTATTGAAAAAATTCTTTTTTGTGACATATCCGTTTTAGCAGTAACTTCACTCTGTATTTTGAGGGTACATGTTTGGCCTGTGTGATCTGCTATTCCAGCGTTAATTATAGCAAAATCTATAGCATTATCATGTGTATTCGTACAGATACAGTCTATAGAGGTTCTTGAATGGTTAGTGATTCTTGTCGCTGGGAGTGGTAGTCTTCTAACTCCAAAAGTTGACAGTTCCTCTTCAAGATAGTTACTACTGGCATTTTCAGTTAGCCTGTCTATATTGATATCGCCCATTAATACAACGGTCTTGGTGTCAGCTTGAAGTGACTCCAGAACTTCTGATAGGATGTCAATGGCTAACTTAGCTTGTCCCCCTGGTGGTCTATACATACCAAGTAGGTAGAAGTTTTTGTTCTTTATCCTTATTTTCACTAATGCTGCTTCAAAAACTAACTCTAAACTTTGGTTGGAGATTTCTATTTCTTCTGCCTTGATAGCAGCAGTTTCCTGGATATAGATTGCAACTCCTCCCATTCTATGCTCTTCCCTGCAGGAATATGTGACTAGGTTGTGCCCACTAATCTTAGTGAGTAATAACATATCTGAGCTGAGTCCATGTTCAGTAATCACCAAGATAGTGGGTTTGAGTTCACTCATTAGATGATTTATTCTTTCAATCTTTTTCCTAAGACCTTGAACATTTTGGTGAAAAATTGTGATGGAGGTTGTTTTATTTTGTGTAATAACTAAATGTCCCTGATTATCTCTTCTTTGTGCTTTGGGGTTTGTGTTTTGGTTGTTGTCATTCAGGGGGGAAGTTGATTCTATGTTTCAATTATGTTTTCTAGTTTTCTATGAGGTTCTGTTACACTTTTAACGAGTACAAAATCTAAATATATACAAAAACAACATTGTTGATTAGTATTAGTATGTTCATTCTTGCTACATTTCCCATCAACATTAACTCTTTGTCGCTTCATTAATAACACAGCTGGCGTATCTTCCCGTGGTTCCAGAAATCATAAAGCAACTTAAATGAATGAAAAATTATTTAATTAATGTACTGGAAAATCTCTAGTAAAGAAATAAATAAATTTTGTAACAGTATAAAACAATTGCTATCCCTACATCAAAATAATATGAACTTACCTTGTAGGAATTGAAGATATTCTCTTTCACGACTACTTTACTTAGCTATGTAATTCAGGTTGTGTGCATGATTTTGTTTTTGTTTACTCGGAAAAAAACATTGTGAACTTTATTTGGTCCATGATACTTTGGTCAATGATCTTGAACAAATCCATGTCAACCCTCCTCACTTTTTCTTCCTTTAAATCCTTAAGATTCAAACCAAAAGCATTGCGCACAAGGATCCTTAGTGCATCCTGCTACCTACTTATTATTAAAACTAAAAGTTATGGTTTGTTGATAAACGATTCAATACTGAACAGAAAAGCAAAAGTGTGGATTGGAACAGGTCTATGTGAGTTATGAGCTCAGTTTAGAGAAACATGCTTAGCGTTCATTTCCGGCAAATAACAATTGGTCAAAACGACGTCTTGTCAAAAGAAGCCTGTTAAAGCTCTTGCCGTTTAAAAGGTAGCCAGTTAAGAGAGAAGCTACTCTCTAGAATTTACCCTCGCTATGCTGTTCAACTCCATACTCATATAAGACTTAGACCTACCAACAAACCTTATTTGATTCTTTGATTGTTTTGTTTTAATTGTTAATTTGTAAGTGTTCAATTAAAACATTATAACGCTAGTAAAATGTGGTGTAATACTTTTTATACTTTTCTTTGAAATGGCGACCATACAAAGGTAGGTATTTTAAGCCAAGTATGAATGGAGATGAGTGGCGCGATCCTGTAGTCTTGTTAGTGACTAAGGCCGACATATTCCATAGACACAGCTTTTAATTAATAGTCCATACAGCTAATGGCAACTAAGGGACCTACAGTTTATAGTGGAATCCGAACCACATTTTTGCCTTGGTATTAACGAATTGGTCTAATTATCAGGATAGCACTGCGCATAGTCGTACTCATTAGTGCGGACGTTAATCCACACCAGGGAGTATCACATCCACAGTACATGCCTATAAATATAACACACATTGTAAAATGGAGAATTTTTTTTCAGTCTATACAATACATTATACACTACTAACTTGTTGAAAGGAATATAGAATAGGCCTATTACGTTCATTTGGAAATTTGTTTTAGATTTACAAGCCTGAAAAACTAAACAGCCAGGCACAACACATTTGGGTCGTTTCGCAGACTATCCAATGTTCTAGTGTACCCAGTACCTGTGTATTTTCCTCCGATGGAAGTTTCATCACTATAGGAAGCGCTATCGGATGTTGGTTTATGCTTCACCTACTTAGTGAGAGGACTACAAAACGAAGCGTCTTCTTGTCTTACCCTATACTGATGTTGTTCGCTCTTCCAGGTTTGTAAGATTATTTACGTTTTGGTTTGAATAATAAACTTAATAAAAGATCCATACTATCGCACATTTTGTAATATTATTTATTTTAAATTCAAAGAGTTAATGAACTTGCTTTACCATTCATGCTACCAAAACTACCAATTACGCTATCTTCAAACTTAATAAACTTTAACTTAATAATTGATAAGCAGTTGTAAGTAGATGTGTTAAAAAATGTATATAAGTGTAAAGCAAGAACTATAGGCTAGTGATGTGTCAAAACCGAATCTCAAATCTCAAAACCATCAAAACTTTGGAAAAGTTTCGGTTTCGAGATTTGATCACCAAGTTTTGAGAATCCAAAGTTTTGAAATTTTAGATTTTGGCAGTTTTATATTTTAAACTGCTGACATTTTTTGTGTGATTATTATTGTTTTTGAAACTATTTCCATACAAGCTGGTAGCAATGGAACATACATTTCACCATTAACAGTAATGAAACAAGTAGATTGTTTTCTGAACTTCAAAATGCATCTTAAATAGTATAACTGGAACAACGTACGATTCAGTTTCATATCAATATTTACTAAACGCAAAGAAATATTGAAATAAATAAATATGTATGTTAAGTTAAGTCTGGGTCAGGAGAAGATCTCTTTCAGTTTTGATTGCATACTTAACATTTATTATTACCTGTATTATTTGTAACCTCGACCTTTGTAACCAGCTATGTATACAAGTTTGGTGTTTAGTTTTTTAGATGCGAGATTCGGGATTCAATTTTTAAAGATTCTGTTTTGGTTTTGTGATTCAAAATTTCTGGTTTGACCATCACTACTATAGACTCACTACTATATCGTGCCTAGCGTCCTAGGAAAAAAAAAACAAAAAAAAAACTATAGACTGCCGTCCTTGGTGGAAATATTTTTTCCTTTACTACCTATCCAAAATAAATTAAGCTTTTGCCTAAATACTTTTACTAAATACTAGCTTTTTTGTAAATAAATGTTATATTTCATTATCAGTTCAGAGAATTCTGTTTAGATGAATTTTAATTATTTAGGACAACTGTTACACTGTACACACAATAATATTTATGTAGATTTAAAAGATACATTTATTTGAGTGAAACAATTTTTGTTACAGGGATTAAATTTGGGGTTCTGACCAAAGTCAATCTAAGTGTATGGGACTATGCGGATGTAGAGCAAACCGATGCTGATAACAAAGTACCTGTCCCTTGCTTAAAGGTGAGTATGATTACGAATCCTTGGAGGGTAAAAGGATTAATTTTACCTTAGCTATTATTTTAGGATTCCGCATCTTATGGACTTTATGTTGGCTACATATTCTTATGAACTAAGTTAGTAAATACACTCTGATGAGTAAAAATTAAGAAAAATGCCTAATCAATGTGCAACTCAATAATAATGTAAACTTTAACGGAACCATACATTATTTAGGCTACTTATTATACCTTACTCAATATACATTAATATTTTGGGGACCAAGCAGGTATAGTTGTAGAGCGCTGACTTCGGTCCCTGAGGTTCTGGGTTCAAAACCGCCTAGTAACGAGATGGATTTTATCAAAATGATAATCCCACAATTCCTAGGTCCAGCCTTTCCAGGCCTAGTGATCTTGGACAAAATACATTATTGATTAAGGTGGACTTGTACGAAGCGCTGCCAGAGATGGCACCTTATTGATATGCAATTTGAACCCTCAGTGAGAGAGTGATGTTAGTGTTTTGTCACAGGACTATGCCAAGGGGGAGAGCGAGTTGTACACGAGATGTGCCGCAGCCTCAGACGGGTCTGTGGTCGCCGTAGCAACCAGTAAAAGTAAGATCCTCATCTGTGACCTAAACAACGGAGATGTCATACGGGAGATTCACGAATCTACTGGGTAAGGCATGGTAAAATAGATGGAAAAAACTAGTTCAGAAAATTTCATCCAACTATGTTATTCAAGAAGTGCCATAGGTGCTTTAGTTTTTTCCCTTTGTTAAATAAAAGGCTTTACGATTTTAAAAATCAGGCTTCATTAGGCAGACTTTTATCGGTAAAAGAAAATAATAAATTAACCACAAACAGCCTTTACTCTTGATAAAGATTTACTTTGCTCTGCTGCACATGTGATTGAAACTAATTAAATATTTTGCATAAGCAACTGAGTTGAAAAATATTAAGTCAGTCAGTTAAAGGAAAGCCAAATGGCAGAGTAAGAATTTTTTTTTAGGAATTTAGTTAAGCCAGTTTACCCAAGAAAATCAGAGATCAAGATACGTTATAAAAAGATTACATAGCATAACTCTATTAAATTCTGTCCTAAGATAAGACTTTTTCAGAGTTTAGAGTTTGTTCATGGAAAGGCTCTGGGCCAGGATTTTGAACTGTAGAATAAGGAGGATATCAGTTAGCTTACCTTGAAGAAGGGTAGGTAATAAAACATACATCAGAGACACTGTGCACAATATTTCGTCCCCTCGGGGACTTGGTCAAGTATAGAGAGAGTGGTAGAGAGTTCACTTGGCAAAGTCTCTCAGGACTAAATATTATTGTACATAGTGTATCTTCTATATGTTCTATGACCTAACTACACTTCTTCAAGATAAGCTTAACTCTAACAATATTTTTATTCTTACCCTTTCAAGAATGAAACACTTTTAGTGAATAATAAATTAGCCAACTCAATAGGAAACTTTTTAACGTTTTCCCTGTATATAAACTGCAAATACATCTAGGTATTGATTATTTGCAGGAACATAAAATACTTGGCAATGGACGAGACCGAAGACCGCAGATTGTTGGCTTGTTACGACGACTCTACAGTGAGATTGTGGAAACTTGGACAGATTCACGTTGACAGACGAGCGACCATGAGAAGTAACTTTGTGGTTGCTTGGACACAGAACGGCCAGTCTGCTGGTTGTGTGCTGGTCGCTCCCACGCTCAAGTCTTGTGTTAAGGTACCGTAGTCTTCTGCTGTTTTGACAAAAGCTTTTAGTTTTTCATGCTTTATACAACAATGTATCGTGAAAGCCTGCTTCGGCATCTGATGGTCCGGTTCTTTCAATGTTATTTTGTTGTATACTTTTTTATAAGCCATTTTGCACTTTTAGAGTTGGGAGTGATGGGCAGATGTAAAATCATATTTCTTACCAATCCAACCCATTTTATAGTTGACACGTTTGAAATGTTGTTTTAATTTTACGATTTTATATCGCTGCTAAAATTAGAGAAAGCATAAGAAAATACGGAATAATGGCCCGCCAACCAACCATTTCCACCTTTCATTTAGCGATACTTCTGCTAGTCTTGTAATAACGGCTGTTTTTACAAGACGCCCAATAATCTGGCACTGCCAAAGTCCCAATCACATAATGTATGCAAGTAAGACAGTGATATTCCAGAACTGTGTGGCCCTTTAAGCATAAAAGCTTGATCTGTTTCTGCATGCTAAAAAACAAAACTTTGTAGCGTAGCTTACAGTGGCACATGTCTTAATTAGCTGTGAGAAATGTTTAAAAAGGTTGAAAATTGATGTACTAACTGAGCAAAGATTGTATTATTGGAGTCTAGATTAATAAAGGTTATGTAGATTTATCAAACAAAACAAAATTGAATATTCGGTGATACGTTTATAATGGTAATCATTAATCATAGAGTTTTTACCTAAGTTACATCACCCCAATAGGTATTTTTTGAAAAGAGATAGTTCTACTTGTATATCTGAGAAATTTCCAGGTGCATATAGATGCACAATAAATCATTCACTTGGAATTTCTACACCAGAAAAGTAAAAGTGTCTTTGTCTCAGAAAATCACGAACCTGAAGGAGAGCGAGTATTTGCCGGTGCCGGTGAGTGGCGACATAAACATCTGTGGAATATCAGACTGCGGACAGTACGTGGCCATCGGGGCTCCCTCGGGTCAGGTGTTCTTGGACAGGGAAGGCTACATGGAACAACTGCTGACGGTGGATGGCACAGACAGCATCGTCAAGCTTGGCGTGAAGAACATCGGAGGGAGGGTCTACGTCATTGTCGGACTCAGGAGAACGATCCTAGTGAGTTATCAATCAATTCAGGAATCCTTCAATATTGCTCAATTAGGCCTAATTGTGTCAGCAATAATAACTGAAACCATATACATTGTGGCTGGTTCTGAATTATTTTGAAAATAAGTTGAGTTCAGATAGCTTCACTGAAAAATTACAGTTCAGAAAAATAGATAGACAGATAAAAGATAAAAAACATAACCTTAATGCAGGATATCTTCATGGAGTAAATTTTAAATTTGCTCTGGTTCGCTAACTTGACCCCCTCTTCAAAATAATTCACAATATACAATTGGACGTTTTAAAATCATTAATTAATAGATAATAATCCTTTTTTCTCTCCTGTAACAACTATTACAACTGAAACGTGTCCTAATCTTGTAACAAGATTTATCTTGCAAAAAAGTTGCATGATCTGATTGTAAATAGTTTTAGGCATGTTGAATATTTTATGGTGCTAGGTATTCTAATTGTATTACCAGAGAGTAACAAATCAAGGAAGCTGTTGGTTGATTCTTGATACCAATGTCCAAGAATCGGTAGTATCAAGAATCGGTACCGAGAATTGACACAAGCTTTGAACTATGTCTAGGGTATGTGACACAGTTTGCCTTGTCTCAGAACTGTAAAATTCAGAAATATTAGAGACAAGCTGTATCTATTAGGGTTATTTGACAAATGATAGTTCCCGGATATAATTAGCATCCAAAAGGATGTTTTTTTTTGTGTCCACAATGTTTTAAATTCTTTCACTTTCTAGGTTTGGTCAGGAGAAGACTCTGAACAAAACAAAAAGACAAAAACGACACACTGTTGTAAAGAAAAGTCAGTTTACAAAAAAGTGAAGAAGAATTTGCAGTTTGATCTCTCTGACCGATTGGTTGAATTCTTCATTTTACCTTCCAAGGAACTAATCACAGTCTCTAGGAAAGGGATGATCAAGGTAATTTAGATAATGATTCAAATCTTTTGTTTCTCTTAGCACTATTTGTGTTAGTGTCTTAAAATTAAAAATTAAATCAGGTGTATTTTCCTATTATGTTATTGTATCATGCTCTACTGTGTACAGTGGGTAACGAGCTGGACTAGTGCTAGTGCGCCTGACTTTAGTCCCTGAAGTCACTGGTTTAAGTCCTGCCAGTCACTAATGAATTATAATGCCAAAAATTCTCGGCTCAGCCTGAAGTAATGTAAAAACGGTTCGATGCTATAGCTTACCGTCCTACAATGTAAAGGTGGCACAAAAAAAAATTAAAAACTACAAAAAGACCTACATTTGATGCTTTTAGACCCGTGGATTTCTCGTTGATTTTATTTTGCCATAATTTATTTCTTTTTGCTTCCCTAATCTCATAAACCCAAATCCAATTTTAAACTTCATGTTGTTTCTTGTCTCAGGATTACTGTTTTAGATTATAAAAGGTATAATGTTACCTGGATCTGCCAAAGTAATCCATATTGCTGTCTAACGACTACGCGTTTCGAAGCAGTATAAGCTTCATCTTCAGGTCGTCAAGAACACATTTCACTCATCAGAGGTCGTCAAATAAATATAATTTTTACACATACATGGACGGAGAATAGTTACTGTAGGCCTACGAACCGCGTGCGCGCACTTAGACAGGTTTGTCATGACTTTGTGTAAAAATTATATTTATTTGACGACCTCTGATGAGTGAAATGTGTTCTTGACGACCTGAAGATGAAGCTTATACTGCTTCGAAACGCGTAGTCGTTAGACAGCAATTTGGATTACTTTGGCAGATCCAGGTAACATTATACCTTTTATAATCCAATTTTAAATATTATCTGTCATATATAATAATGAGAAAGAATTATATAATTCAATTACACATTGTCATAAATACATTTATAACATATGATTGCAGTGAATGTGGTATTTGTTGCAGACCTGGTGTCTAAGGATGGGCAGGAGTTCAATTATTTGCCACGGAAAGTTGGACAATACAGTAGAACTGTGTGAAGCAGACTTAAGTTCCGACATGTTGGTAACCTTGAATTGTTGCCCTCTAAATGCGAGTGTCAACTTCTACATCATAGCTGACAATAAACCAGAGCCACGCCGCTTTTTGCTAGAGAAAGGTGTACCATCTAGCTGTAGCTTCTCTAGCGACGGGACAAAACTGGCGGTTGGACTGTCAAACGGGGTAATACGGGTGAGTTTTTGTAGGGTAATCTTAAATCTAAGATATATTACCAAATCGATCAGCTGTTGATGATTTACACCTAGTGTAATAATTATTTACAAGCTGCTATACCCGTGCTTTGCAACGGGAAGAAAATGTGACCTAGAGAGCTATTAAAGTGGTGCTGATGTGTGTTTTAAAATACGGCACAACTCTATGACTTAGTTTGAAAATATAAAATGATTCAAAAGTGTAAACCTACTTACTTTTTATGTTAATAGATCCAAAAGTATATGACAACATACCTTAGTGTAGCAACAGCATCAATCGCTTCATATTGATGCTTCACGAATGACATATTTTACCATAATTCTTCAACTTAAGTCAAGCCTCTTTACATGTAGCTTACTATATAAATTACAAAATGAAACTATGAGCAATACTTTACAAAACGTATACAACCTTTCTTTAAAACCAAACATAACCCTCCTAAATCTACATAAAGCATCACAAACATCTTTTTCGAGTAAATAAACACCATTTCATTGTACTGACCAGCTGTTTTATTAACTAAATTAAATTAAATAATGTAAACTTTAGAAGCATGCCAGGCGTAGCCCTTTGGAAATCAGCCTGTGGGGCAGAGCCCATAGGAAATTTGTCCATATCAATACTTTTCGGCAAATCTACACACTCTAAGCTTAATTTTGATGTGACACATGCCTATATTTTTATTTGGTAAATGGCCTTAATCGTTTACATAAAATTTGATTGTATCACTTTAATAATATAGTAGATTGTTTATTTTATTCAATGTTTATTTTTGGATTAAATCTCAAATATTTTGACTCGTTAAAACTTTGATTTTCAAAATATAATCAAACATGTCAATATTGTTACAGTTGTGGGACATGTTGACACTAGAGGATACATCAGTGAACACAGGAGACGAGGCGATCAAAAGTATTTGTGTTTCTCGGACTGGTGTCATTGGTGCAGCCACGACGTCCAGGTGAGGTTATACAGTGTCATTGGGTAGGGGAATGTTGTCATCAGTGAGGGAAATGTTGTAGATGTGGGAAATACTGTCTTAGGTAAGAGGAATGTGAATAGGGGGGGGGAATGTTTTCTAAGGCGAGGGAAATGTGGTGGGGCAAATGTTGTTACAGATGAAGGAAAAGTTTGTTGTAGGTGACGGAAATGTTGTGGATGAGAGAAATGTTGTTGTGGATGAGGGAAATGTTGTTGTAGATGAGGGAAATGTTGTAGATGAAGGAAAGGTTGTTTTAGGTACAGGAAAAGGTTGTTGTAGGTGTGGGGAATGTTGTTGTAGGCTGGGAAATGTAGATGAGGGAAATGTCGTAAGTGGGGGAAAGGTTCTTGTAGGTGAGGGAAATGTTGTCGTAGTTGTTGAAAATGTTGTCGTAGTTGTTAAAAATGTTTTCTTAGGTGAGTGGAATATTTTATAGGTAGGGTGAATCTTGTCTCAGGTGAGTGATACCCTGTATATGTTTGTTTAGTCAATTAGTCAATAGTTAGGTTATTGCTTTGACCATTAATAAAACTTGACATTCCATCCCCATGTAAAAGTTGTCGCCAGTTTTTTAACCAAATTTCTCATAGTTGATGTGAGCCACCTACAGATTGCGCTGATCTAAATTACTGATTTCTTCCGAATGCCCGATGGTTTTTACCAAGTCAAACTGATGGAATGATTTATTATGAGCTATAGCAACTGTTATGACCCAGCAACTATGCCAGTAACAAAAATTAAGGTACAAAATAGAGTTTTAGATACTAGCGCAATCTGTGACTGGCTCACACAACTACATTCTTTTTTAGTAAAAAATTGGCTACAGCTGATCCATATAGATGGGATGTCTTAATGGTTATAGATAAGAAACACAGGTTGGATTCAAGTATGTAGTATCGAATGTGGTTGCTCTAGTAAAACTTTGTTTAAAAAATGATCTTATACACATTCCAATACACAGGGTGTTGCTGGTGACCTCAACAGGGGCCGTAGGTCAAGCGAGGCTGAGAGTGACCAAGGTGGTCATGTGTCCAGACAACGATACAATCATCACAGTCGACGTCGACGGACATTTGCACCTCATTGATCAGTTCAACTCTTCCAACTTCAGTGAGTACACCAAAACAAAACCTATGTGTGTCGATGTTGATACACATGGACATCTCATTTCCTTGACATTGGCAGATAAAATGCTGTTGCCAGTTTTAAAATAAAATAACGTAGTTTTTGATCCTCTGACAGCTGATGTCAATTATATTTTATGAATGTCCAATACACTAACTTGAACAAAATTGGAAAGGAGAGAGTAATTAAGGATTGCCCTTGAGAATAGCCACGAGAAACCCTCTCCGTCCAATTAATTATTAAGATTAAACTCATTATTATTAAATGAATCTTCAGATTTAGGATTATTCAACAAAGGTGTCAGTAATCATTTTAATAGGTACTATTGGTACTATTGGTACTGACTCGTTAAAACGTTGATTAGATTAGCTCGTTATGTTAGATTTTTTCAGTTTTTTTTGTTTTTTAAGTGGTTGACAACCTCTTTCTCCTTGTACCCGTCCACATGGGCTACAGAGGCCTGTGCATGGATCATATCCAGTAAAGCAAGGGAGGAGCTACAAGGGTGAACTGTAAATATAACTGTATTGCTATAACTTAACTGTACCGATACAAAATAGCGGCAGGTACCAGGATCCGAACCCACAACATCGCTGTCTTGGTCCCGAAGTCTGTGGTGCAGACTGAGCCACCGACTCACTAAAATTTCATCTCAAGAGTTTTGATTTGTCAATTTCAGAAGTGTTTTGTCATGTTCACAGATCCAATGCAACGTTTGAGCAGACAGTTCTCTACTTGACCCTGATTTGGATGTAGATTTGTACTTAGAGAAGAACCAAGGCTGATGTGCAACTAACCATAATTTGGGTGCATTTATATTTATTGATACCATCACATTTCTTTTACCTTAATAGTGCCTTTATAAAGGCATGATTAAAATAAAGAGTATAGTATAACTCCAATTATCCGAACACCAATCATCCGAATCCCTTATTATCCAAATTACTTATACAAATAATTTAAAACCATAGTAATAAGAATTGTTATTAAAGAAGGCAGGAGCCGTGATTGCGGCAAAATCCAAAACCTGTCTCGCGATCGTTATAACACCATCATCGTCTCCTGCAGTCACGTAAACATCGTCATCGTTATTTGCAAATCCCGGCAAAATGATATACTGAACATATCCCACAGTTGTGTAGAAACTGTCTTCGTCTCCCCTGGTCACAGTAACATCGTCAGAGTTTTTTTTTCGGTCGCAGAAAAATTATAAATATGTCCCACGGTCATTTGGACACCATCATTGTCCCCATGGTACCAATAACATCGTCATAGTTTTTGCGATCGTGTCAAAATGTTAAATATATCCCATGGTTATATAGACACCATCATTGTTCCCGTGGTCACAAAAATATTGTCATCGTTTTTGTGCTCGTGACCAATTAACATATTTCACAGTCGTGTAGGAATTATCTTTGTCTCCTGCGATAACAATGACATCATCATCAGTTTTCGCTATCGCAACAAAATGTTCAATATATCCAAGGGTCATGTAGACACCATCATCGATTCCCGCGGTCACGAAAAAGCGTAATCGTACTGCGCAATTGTGACGAAAGCATTATTTTTCCGATCACGGCAGTAAAAGCACGGCATGATTCGGCGCATTTTCTAAAAAAACTCTGAATTTTGGTAAAAATCCAACCATCTAAATGGGGTCCGGTCCCAATTGATTTGGATAATTGGAGTTCTAGTGTAGTATAAGATAGTAGACCAGTAGACCTATTATTCAATATACAATTTGTTTATGCTTTTATTCAACTATGTCTTGACTACTATTGCCTATTACTTTGGCTGTTGATGTGTAACACCATTCATTGAGGAAATTAATTTCGAAAACTAGGACAGACTATATGACATTTGTTTGAGGTAGGCCTATTTTCAAAAGTATTACTTTACTACTTTAAAATTTACCAACATTTAATTTTTAAGTTTTATTGAAAAATCAACCTTTTATTTATTAGTGAGCTTCGTTACCCACAATGTATTAAGTATTTTGAGTAAACTAGTAAGTGTATTTTATTATAATATTTTCCTTATTGTAAACAGTGTACATTATTTTGATTCTGTGTAAACTATCTGGGTCTCCAAGAATGGAATATTTTGTACAATAACGTTGACGATTGCCGTAACATTAAACAAAATAATCATGTATTAAAATTTTAATTAGTAAAATGTACTAATGAACAATTTATGTGCTATAGGGCTCTTTACATGTTAAGATATTTATATTTTTTGTAGAAGTTTTACATTACAGTAGTTAGCTCAAAAAGTCATTGATGACAAGTTGCGTGTGCAATTAATATTGTGATAGAAATATGTTCACGTATCAATTAATTATGCATTTACTAGGGTAAGTAAAATATTGTTATTATGTTATTACAAGACTATTTAGTATTTACATACATATTTATCTTTGAAACATGTATATTATTGTTTTATATAAAATTTTATTTATATTATATTTTGGATTATTTTTCCCCTTTTAGCAAAAGATTTTTTTTTATTTTGTTCTAGGGTAACCGTTAAATATTTGTTTCTCAAAGGTATACTTTTATTTTGGCTGACTATTAATTTTATGACCATAACCATGACCATTTTTTTATGACCATTTTTTGTGTTATGTTGAATTTTGTGTGTGTTTTTGATTTTATGATAAGTTGTACTTATATAAATTTTTCATCATTGTCTACGTCAATGGCATTTTATACTGAGATACATTAAGCAATTCAATGGAAAGCAGTCCAAATCACTATCGCACCAAAGTTTGAGATGCGAGCAACTAAAGCTGACATCTTATTGCAAATTTGAATTTTTCCTCGTATTGTATAAAAACCCCATAACAAATTTAAACGTGTACATTATATAACCAAATGTACGTTCCTGGGAAAGTTTCTCTTTTCCCAATCTTGAAACCCCTTAGGACCCTCCCTTTTGAGCTTTGACAGTTGTTACCATGTCCAGCATATATCAGAATTAATTTTTGTTTAATTTTATGAAATATGGAGAACGTTTTAATGTTTACATTAGCTTTGTTTACAATTGCATATGCTTTTCACTTCAAATTGTCACACAGGGATTGATTACTCCAATGCAATGTACAGGTAAAGATATGGTAAAAGAATAAAAATGCAACGATTTCCTAGATTAATTTTTCTTTGAGCTCCGTACAAATACAAAGTAGAACTCCCTGTGCCATTCGTCCATCCCACTGCTGCTGGAGACGAGACTGAAGCCGGCCCTCAGTAGACGGGCAACGATGGCCGCGATGTTGAAGTGGTCCGGGACTGTGTTACCGGGTCGGGCCATGTAGTCCCGGTAGTCCAGAATGTGAGAATATCCCGTCATGGTCTCACAGACTCCCAGCAGACAGCCGTTGCTCTCAAACCTGGATAAATAGCAGTATTTAAAACCTTTTTTTAGTATGCCACTGAAATTTCTACGTTTTTGTTGGTACAAACCAAAGTTAATAGCCCAATGACAAATAAATTATACAGCAACTGGTTCCAGAATCGACTACGCTTGGAACCGACCCAGCAATCATCAGATAGGTGAGCTCTACAACCTCCTCGGTTTCCCAGACAGATATAGTTTAAATTCCTCTTGAGAACTGTAGTACAAGGAGTTTTTAATTGTATAGAGGACATGTTAGGTAAGGCAATAATCTGAAAGTGTTACGGAATAAATTGTTGTGCTGTTGCTAACCTATGGAAGGTTGCTTTAAAGTATCACAGTACACTAGATTTAGGAGTTAGTTGGTTAAAGTGTTTTATGACAATGGTTGCAAATAGGTTTGATCTTTCTACATTATGTTTTTAACATCAGAAAAGTTTGATGGACTACAATTGCTTCCAAACATATTTTTACCCAAACCTCAAGTTAAAGGGGACTTTGTTCTCATTACACTTAAATATTTCCGATCTTACTACGAACCTGAGGTCCACCGGAGCAGAAAACCACCTCTCCACTTTGCCGTCCTCATCAGCACACACGATCACACACTCGTACGCAGAATCTGTATCGTTCTCTGTGTCTGCTTTGGCTCGTTGGTCAGCGGGAGTCTCTTCATTAGGGTGTTTCGGAGGGTCTCTGTTAGTCTCGACACTTTCTTGTTCCTTTTGTCTGCTTTCTTGTAGCTGGACTATATCGTCGTACATTGCTGGAAGGGAAGGTTTAGATTAATTTAGTGCACTAATGATTTTCATGTGTAAAATGTAAGTTTAAATTCATGTAATAATCTCCGTTTAATGAGCAGTTTAGGATTATGCGATGACACATACACACTCACTTGGACTAATCTGCAGACGGATAGTGACTTGCCTACAAGGCTTTACTCCAAAAGTATGCAATTTTTATGCTCAATGAAAGGTGCAACGTTTACAAACATTAGATAGCAAAAGTAATGTCTAATACTCAATTTGTTAATGTTATCATCTCTTATGATTGAATCACTGTTTGTTGTTGATTCTTCGCTCTTGACACTTAAGTCTTCCTTCTGAATTACTAAACCAACAAAACAATATTTTCTTTATATTTTCGTTTTATCAGTAGCTTTATAATTTTTTACTATATATTTTTGTCTCAATGAATGGGCTGATCTGATGAACAAAGATAGTATTGAAAGGTTAACTTGAGTATATTAGGTTCAACTTACAATACAGGTTGTAGTAGTGAGCTTCCTCCAAAAGTTGGTCGAGCTGGTCGAAAGATGAAGGCAACAATAGCTTCCCGCTGCGAACGTAGTTGAGAACGAGTCGAAACATTTCACCGTCTCTGTCGTAAAAGTATGTTTCTCTTCCTGGCTTGTAGTTCTGGGCCAGCCGTGAATCAGGATACCTGTTGTAGTTTGTGAGAATACATTTAAAAATAGTAGGTGTAAAATGAGGCTAATATCAAATCAATTTGATGCTAGGTAAATGAGGTGTATATGAGGCTATTTATTATTTATTGAGGTTGCACCTCAATTGGCCTTATTGACAACTACAAATTGTTATACTTCGGCTAATTTGTATTTGATCTTTTTGAACTTGGTGTCGTTTGATAGGAAATTTTGAATGTTAAATAAAAGTGTTCCTCACATTTTTTCACAAATCAGCCGTTTTTTAATCATTACATTTTAAAATTTCAAATAGCCACAGTTTTTAAATATTGTTAGACCAAGTGAGTTTTTCTAACATGGGTTTGTTCTACCTTAACAGACATGTTAAGTTGCATAAAGATTGGTTGGAACAATAAAAAGATAAAAATGTTAAGGTTTGTAAAAAATAAACAGGGGATACCCTGGAATCCATTTTAGAAAAAGTTTCATGCTTGATTTTATCTTTATTTTGACTCGCAAGCTGTTTACTTACAGGACACCCTGTATAGCTTAGTAGATAAAGACTTTTGCTTAACAAATTTATATTTCTGATCCTGTATGATACTGTTATAATTAGTTCAATAATGGTTTGAGTTTCTAAAACTATGTCAATACTGGAATAGTTATGACTTTTGGCATGCAGCCTATATCACTACATTTTAACTATGTAGCCTACACCATGACATAACCTTGTCAGAGTTGAAGGGGAAGTAGTGAACAATACTCCACCGACGTTCAGTGTGATTGTCTTCATCTCTGGAGGAAGTCCAGAACAATAGGTGACCATTAGTCTGTTGAAACAACAATGTTTAAAGCGTTACTTTGATGATTAAACCCTGGAGATGAGCTGAATACACAACAATGCTAAGCAATTCTTTCATTTCCAAATTCCAACTCTAAAATTTGGGATGTAAAATCTATTGTACATCCACATCCAAATTGTTGGGTTTAATATTTATTGGGTTCGGTCACATCTAAAACCCCGAAACTTAGAGCCAAAATTCCATGCTACGAAAAATTACAACAAAGTGAACAACAATCTTATTTAGGTACTTTGTGAGAAACCTATATTGTCTCAGAGTAACCAACACAAGTGTGTGTGTTTTTCCACGGTATTACTGTTAAAACTTCATTGATAGATATAAGATTAAGGATATACTAAAGGGTAGGAATTGATAAAACGAAATAATACACAGGTATGTGAAGAAAGAATTTGTCGAACGGGAAAATACGCGTCGTGCGTGGGCTATGGGCTATCAAATAACTTCTTGGCCGCGCAGAGATCACCAAAATATTTAACTGGATGAGTAAGGAAGTTTTAGAATAATAATCAGTAGCTCTAGTGATATGGCGAAGCCCCCACCCCTAAACCCCCCCCCCTAACCAACACCCCTAACCCCCCTAACCCCCTAACCTTAAAATTAAGTATGATTTAAACTCAAGATATGATCAACTTGGATACGGAAACCGAATTTAGAAAATGTTTTTTAGTTAACTTCGACGTTCCTTCCGCTACATCGTCGCTTGTACGCCCGTTTGTCACAAAATATTATATAATCTGAATACACAAAACAAATGTATAACAAGATACATATCTCAAGTTTTTGGCAAATATCGCAAATATTGCCACAGGGGACGATAATAATTATGATTGCGGGAAAATATCACTTGCTATCACAAGTGATAATTTCAGTGTAATAAAAAAAGTTACTCAACACAGACACGAATATTAGAACAGGAACTTTATGGATCATAAACCTAAACAATTGACGTCACTGGCGTGAAACTAAACAGGTTTGTATTATTATTTAAACGGAACAGTCAAAAATTTCTACACCGGATATTAATGTTATTAGCATAAAATACGGGCCAGTGCAAGGCCCCACTAGAAAAACCTTTTTCTAGTGGGGCCTTGGCCAGTGACGTAATTTGTTTATATGTATGATCCACAAACAGTTTTCCGTGCTCACGCAGATATTAGTTTGTTGATAACGAATTTAATGCAATTCTAATGTTATACTTTTTTATCGATTTTAAGTATTATGCCTATAGGAATTTATTTTGCATTGTGAAATTTATTTCATGCAAATTCAGTACAACTGTCTGGTTTAGACGATACATACAGAGCTCCGCTAAAGGCCACCGGTCTCAGTATAGTAATCTATATATCTAATTCCGTAAGCCCAAAATTTTACAATGAAATTGTGAGCGAACGGGAGGCCGTAGAAAGCTGGGAGAGGTCTCATTTTAAAGGTCTGGGCATGAAATTTTGGGGAAAATTATTCATTTTTCTCAATTATGCACCTAAAGGTTTATACGGAATAAAATAATTCACATTTAAATAACATGGGAATCTAGCTCATGTCTGCTTTGTTTACTTTAAAACATGTGGTTTAGCTTTATTTAAAGCATATGGTAACATGTAATATGTAGGCCTACTGTAATATGTATACTAACCCTACAGAGAGGTTGATCATACCAATTTACTGTATAAATTCACCATCTGGAATGCCACCACGTTGTATTAATAGTCAAAGGCCACCACACAAATTATTTTTAAAAGTTAGTTCAATAGTGATGCTCATAAAGAAATATGAACCTAGGGTCTGGATTAGCTAATGTAGTACGATTAATTGTGTTAGATATATCTGAAAAAGTGTAAAATTAGAAGTAATTACTGGAGTAGGCAAAGGGAACATATTTTTCATGCCAAAAATAAAACGAATATCTACAGATCCTAATACGCCGTTTAAGTTTACAAAGATAAAGTTTTCACAAAAATTTGCATTTATTGAAATAAAAATATCTCCATGTGTTTTATCTAAGTGAATTTGTGCCTATATTCAAAGAAATTTATATACATTTAATTAATAAGTCATAAAGATTATTATTTAAAAAGTTCCTTAGTTGTATTATTATTAGAAAGTTTATATTATAAACACACCGCATTAACAGTCCTTTGGAATTTTAATTTTAACAGAGCAGACATCAAAATGCATTATGTAGGTATGTAATAACTATTATACATATTATAGGGGAATATACAAAAATGTTAAACAATAATTAGGGTAACCCGTAATAAGTAATAAGTAGGGTAACCCATGAGACTAATAATTTGTACAAAATAATTGCTAGGATATAATATAGGGGCTATTGCCCCTAAAAGCCACTAGTTATAATAAAACAGTCATACAAACCATTTTAAACACCGTAAAATCCACGGTTAATACTATTTTTATGGCTGAAAAACATGCTCGTATTCTTATGTTTTACAAGTGTTTATGCAATTTCTATTACAATAATTGTTTATCCACCATGTATTGTTTACTTGTATTCTCAAATAATTAATAAATAAATGTAAACTATAATGACTTATAACGGTAATAATCACAAAATGCTTCTCTTCTGTATAGATACAGACTCAATGATAAAGCTTGTTTACTTACAAGATAAAGCAAAGCTTGAACATTTTCACGCACTAAACAACACGATAAAAACATCGAATCGAGTCGAACAGATCGCGATTTTCATGCAAATGTGGGTGGGATAGTAGTAAATAAAATACTGGCCTTTAACCCGTTTAAATGTTATTTGTAATATATTTTAGTAATCAAAGTTATATTTAGTTTCGTTACTTTTTTTACAAATTCCGAAGAAAATAAATATACAGTAATCTAACTTTGCAATGTACATTTTTCCTTACGAACGTAGACAATCGGTAATCTTATCGATAAGTATATCGAACGGCATTTTTGCGATTGTCGACCAAAACACAGGTGTTCACCAGCTGGTCTATTGTTGACCATGCAGCTAACCTTGCCGACTATAAATAACACAGCTTAATTCAATTTGCCGACTGCTGGATTTGCGAAGTCGTGTGAAAATTGTAAAAGACAAAATAATGCTTAACAGTGTTTTATAAAATATTGCACATTTATTGTAATTTAACGGGTTTATCTTGTGTAATAAAAACTGAAGTGTTTTGAGACGTTGCTGAAAAATATGTTAGTATTAGTTTTTCCTTTGATTAGCAAAACATTGTTTACACATTTTGAATTCGAAATCTAATAATTTTACTAAGTATCTTCGGATATATTAATGCACTACCTACTGTATTGTTAAATACGTCCCCATGTCAAAGAGCTTTTGAATAAAGGAACTTATATTAAATTTTATTAAAATCCCAACTGTCTAAATTCTAAATGGTCGACTGGTCATCCCATATATTGCTACCATAATAAACTTGTATTTTCTCTTCGGTTTTTACTTTAAGGAACATAAAATGTTATAAGTTTACAATAAATAATTTTCATTTTGATTTTGCATTTAACAAATAATGTAAGACATACAAGATGAACGCTGCATGTTAGAACAGCAAACTTTGTCAGAAGCAGCTGACTACGTTTTTTTGTCATTCGATTATTAGTGGCTACAGCACAATGAGCACCTACTTTTCGGCTTAAAAACGATTTCGCAAAATTCGCTTTACGATAGGCATACTGTACACTGTAACTAAACTTACTTTTTAACCGGTATCACAAAATTTGCGGATTTTAATGATTCCTACAATAGAATGTCAGTTGATTGTAGATTTATAGATGTATTATTTTTTCTTCAGAGTTTGTGTCAGTATTTTACCATACATAAGTAATATTAACATAAGTAATATTGCTCAAAAGTATTTTTCTCATGACTAAATTCATGTTTCAATTTTTTATACTGTATAAATAAAATATTTGTTTAATTCTACTATCAGTCGTATCGAAAAACGGTGGATTAGCCACTTATCTCGTATTTTTGAATGGAAAACTTGTCTACAAAACATAGTTATGTCCCTGATGCCGGCGAGATATCTGGGCCATGTTGAAGCTATGTAAACAGCCTCGGGATATTAGAGACCTTCATCATTCACATCAGTCGGCTTGGTCAAATAAAAACTCGCACTCGAGGTTCGTAATAGAAATTGAACAAGGGTAGGAAATGTATTCGGGAAAACTATGTATTATTCAAGATTCCAGGGGGTTTGGGTATAAGGTCCACCCCTAAAACGCCAGCTTTAGTTTTCTGCTCTTTCGCAATTTTACAAATACTTGTTTCCAAATTCATTATACGTTTGAAACAACCAGAATATGGTTCACAGTTTAGTATCTGCGAACATGTAACAGTATTACTTATTTTCTCTATACAAAAAAATAAATACAGACTAAACGTTCAGTCATTTAACCACTGCGAAACGATGGAGTATTTATAATAGTATATTTCATCACAAGGGCCTAAAGTGGCTCTTTTTGACCCGAGGTCAATAAGTTTTACCATCGAGGCGAAGCTGAATCAATTTTTACCCGTGTGGTGAACTATATTTTTCGTCATTGCATCATAAAATAACAAATCAAAGCTAGAAAACGAAATTATTGTTATGTAAAGATTTTTTTTTTAACAAGTATTTATTTACAATCTATTCAACACGAGAATAATAAGTAAATTCAATAACCATTTTAACATGGGTTAGTTACACTCCATCAAGTGCACTAACATACAAAAACTTTTAAAAAGTTTAACTAAAAACGATTAGGAAGGTCTATTGGATTAACTCTTTTGAGCCTATTATGTAGCTTCACTATTGTCGAGGAGGTTAACAGCCAGGAAATTTGGATGGGTTTCTAATTTTCTTTGGTATTTTTCACTTCGTTTCTTTATTTCTTCTTTAACATAGGGTAATTTCGTATCTTGATGAATTACTTTATTTGTGACAAACCAAGGTGCTTGTAAAATTTTTCTCAGTGTTTTCGATTGAAACCTTTGAACTATTTCTATGTTTGAGTTGGAAGTGGTTCCCCAGAGTTGGATACCGTAGGTCCATATAGGTTTCAATATAATTTTGTATAAAAGTAATTTATTTTCAACAGATAATATGTAAAGATAACCTCTCAAAACGACTTCCAGCTTGTTTTCAATTCTGCTAATGCAAAAGCAGCTGTTTAGTAAAAGTGATTGAATTATTAAGTCTATTACGATTGTGTATACCATCGATATATACAGGGTGAATAAAAAGTCAAGACCCCCCCCATCTAATATTTTTCCAAGTAAATATATAGAGATATCCTTTTGAGGGTCGTGCAATCTTAGCAGGAAGTTTCATTTTGTGATTTTAAAAATTCATGAGTGTCCCCCAAAAGGGGGGGATTTGGGGAGTGACTCAAATATTTTAAATGTAAACCCCCTTCAAGTGACACCTAATTTTAAAGTGTTTTAGGCACAATGTGCTGCATAACCATTACAAAACATGAATTTATTGGCTTTCGTTCATTAACAGCAACGCATTAATGGTTTCAAATTTCATTTGGTGGCTTAGTCGGTTAAAGAAAGGCAAAGACTTGGTTGTTTAGATACCGGCGCTTCTTAAACTATTGCTCAGTACAGTTTGCTGTCCGTATCGCCTCCTCTAAAAGGCCGCGGCAAGACAAAAGTGGCAACGCCGCAGCCCCGGCCTACTGAAACAGCTGTTGCACTAACTCATAGCGTATGCGCAAAGTTTATGTTTCCTTTCCACGTTTATTATTGCTGTTTGCTGATATTACCATGGTGATAGGCCGTGCGATGCGACCTACGATCACATTTTGATCTTCGTTTGTTGCGACGTTGCCACAATGTTACACAAACGTCGCGGCCTTGTATTAGAGGAGGCTATGGTATCACGTATTTTGCTTAAAACGTCCCAAGTACACGGGCAAAACCAAGGTTAAGAGACGCCGATATTGTTTTTGTAAACAAATATTGTCACTTCAAGTCCCGGCCATGAATTAAACCTATTTTCTCCCATAGACTTTTCATTCTCCTCTGAAAACTATTCTATTGTGTGTTTTTGTCCGACAGAGTGAAATTTGATGTAACCATTTATTTCTTGCAATTTAAACCCATTTCGACCAAATTGCCCATTGTAAACTTTACCTCTAAGGGTAAACATAATCAAGTGTTACCGTAACATACACTTATACTTCATTTGTTTAAAATCTGACATATACTTGCAGTGCTCAAAGACAATGACATAACAATGTTTCAATTATTTCAACCACTATGGAATCTGTGGAATGGGAACTGTTGCAACATTGTCGGATCGTCTAGGGGTTGTCTCAGTTTGTTATCTTATTTGTACATCTGCAGGACTCTTGTTTTGACACTTAACTCTATCGTAAACAGGACAGAATGTGACTTTCTCAATCTCAGAAGGTCGCCGACGCTCACAGGCCATCCAGGATGCTGCTCCTTACGGTAAGTTTTTATGTGCTTTAAGTTATCCAAAAAGTTATATTTTTTAAAGTAAAATTGGAGTTTTGTTTTCTTTGGGGTTGAGTAATGTTTTTTTCTTTCAACTTTTTCACCTTAGAAAATACTATACGATAACGGGTGTTTTTCGGATTTCTGTTTGTGTGTCTATCGCCAGCGAGTCCTCCTGTTTGGTCTAAATTTCATGGGAAAAAAAGAGAGAAGATGTTAAAAAATTAAAAAAATGTATTTTACGCTAAATTAAATACAGTACCGGTCTTTGTGGGTTGGAATGCAAACCTCTGGTTTGCGGACACCGGCGTTATCTACACGTGTTTTAAACCAATTATAAGCATTAAGCAATCCAAAGATGAAATTTTTTTATTTGTTGGAATTTTTTTTGTTTCCGCCAGTTGTATGAGTTTAAAACATAAATTTTGTTTTCCACAAAAAGTTGGAAACACGTCTTTTATCACAGGATCTTTTGTTTTGTTGTAAAAAATGTGGCTGGATGAAAAAGTATCGCCATTGTAACATCTTTTACTTAAAATAGCCTGTTGTAAAATATTTACAGTATTAATAAAGACTTAAAAAGTGGTTGATATACAGTATCCTATTAGTATTTTACCATACAACCGAGTTATCAGTTTTTCTACATTCAGTTACGCAATTTAATAGAACCTAACTTAAAAGTATGGCAGTCAGTTTAAATTGTGCAGAAAAAAAAACTGATAACTCGGTTGTTTGTGATAAGATTTTAACAAATAAGGTCTAATTTTATTTGGATTTAAATTTTACATCTTTTTGGGTAAAACACAGTTGTTCTTAATATTTATGGTTTTCATGAAATTTGGCATTCTAGATTTAAATGGAACCCCACAACAATGAAATGGCTTGGGGGAATTACAGAGCCACTAGGGTGGAGCCTGGAAGGATTTTTGAGATAAGAAAATGCCTATATGTTAATCGGGAATGTTAGATATCATCATGCCAAATTTCAGCCCAATCCGTCCTATAGTTATTGCGTGATTGAGCAACACACAAACTTTCAGATTTATAATATTAGTAAGATATGAATAACATTAATTTGAATGAGGACTAAGGTTTGATGATACAGGGAAGGTAATAAGGTGTGTTTTTATTGATACTGTATGTTAATAGTTTAGTATGAAATAAATAAATTTGCAATATTCAATCAAAATATATCTATAAATAAGAAAACTACAACAGTTTTCTTTTTATCCACATATAACGTGGAAATTTTATTTAAACTTTTAGGAATTTTTTCCGTCACTTCTTATAGTTCTTATAGTTCCTTATGGTTATAGTATTGTAGTTGTAGGCATACAATACAATAATGCTTCCATATACTAAATTATTTGTTTTTTAAGCTCTAAAAAATGGTTTAGAATTAAATTGAGAATTTAATGTTTTTAGGGTCAAACATGAAAAACCCAAATTGTACCCTATAAACCCCACCGTAAGCCCCCGTTCCCATAGCCCGATCATGCTGGTTTGTGAACTCGTTTGAATTAACGTAGGTTGACACGTTTGTGACAAATTCCATCAAAGTCGGATAATTTTTGCTCGCGTGCTAACGATCAACGGCCAACGGGCATTTGAATTTGAACGAATGGTATTTTTGGCGTCTGGGGACCTCAAAACGAAAAAGTAAATTGGTCCCGAGCCAAGATCTTACCATGAGACCCATGGTAATAGCTTATTCCCTATGGGAAATTCCCTAAATATATCTACACGTGTCGATATAAAGTCAATGCTCTAAGTACCGAGGAGCGCAACAGTTCGCCTAATCACCGCTAGATGTCACCGCAAAAAGTGCGGCGAGTTCGTCTATTCACCGCTAGATGTCACTGGGTGAGGTTCATAATGTCCAAATTTCACAAACTCCAACGTCTAAAATATTAAATAAACAGTGCGTTTCATAACCTCCAAACTTCATAAACTCCAAAACTATAACTTTCAAATAAGCACAGTGTCACAATGTCCAAATTTCACAAACTCCAACGTTAATATATCAAATAAACAGTGCGTTTCATAACCACCAAATTTCATAAACTCCAACTTTCAAATAATCACCGATTCACAATGTCCAAATTTTACAAACTCCAACGTTTAAATCAAATAAACAGAGCGGTTCATAACCTCCAAGTTTCATAAGCTCCAACGGTACAGTCTCTGCCAGAAGTCGCTGCAGAGGTTGCCGTGGTTCTGCCTGCTATCGACTGTGGCAACCACTGTAGAGACTTCTGGCCCAGACTGTACCGTTGGAGGTTATGAAATTTGGACATTATGAACCGCACTGTTTATTTGGTATCTTAACGTTGGAGTTTGTGAAATTTGGACATTGTGAAACAGTGATTATTTGAATGTTATAGATTTGGAGCTTATGAAATTTGGAGGTTATGAACCGCTCTGTTTATTTAATATTTAAACGTTGGAGTTTGTGAAACTTGGACATTGTGAAACAGTGATTATTTTAATGTTATAGATTTGGAGCTTATGAAATTTGGAGGTTATGAACCGCTCTGTTCATTTAATATTTTAAGCGTTGGAGTTTGTGAAATTTGGAGTTTATGAAACGCTCCCATGTCACTGTCAGTGAACACTGAACAGATAGATCTTAACCCATTGCGGTTAATTTATTTATTAATATTTTTAAGGTACAAAGACAAATCAAGCTTTACTTGAAAGAAAGAGTACCATTTATTAACTGTGAAAAAAGGACAATATTGTGATTTAAAGCCGTGGTAGTTTACTATGAGTCCTATGTATCCGTTGACACTCACAGGGAGTTTATAGAGTAGCTGGATTTTATTTTGAAAACTGAGTTTATTAATAAACTTTGCCTATTAGACACAGTAAAAAAAAAAAACTTAAATTTACGATATAAATAACATGTAACATAGATTAATAACGTTGTCCATATAAATGATTTTGAATGATTTTACATGATTCTTTTAACACTTTTATGACTATTTCATTTTTTAATTTTGATGGAAGATTATATTTTTTTAAAAATTCGTCAAAAAATTTTGTAATAGTTCCTCTTGCACCAATCATTATGCCAATTACTGATATAGAATTTAGATTATATTTGTTTCTTAAATAAGTTTCACATTTACTATAAATTTTCCTCTTTTCTTCATCTACTTCTAGGGGTTGATTTGTTGATGTTTCGAACCTTATTGTTGGATCAATTACAATTCCACTTTTAGATTTTGTATCATAAATTAAAATGTCCAATCTTCTGTTCGATCCACCATCTTCAGTGCAATGTATTTCTTCTACTACTTGCCAGCCTTTTTTTCGTAGTTCTTCTGCGATCATTGCTCTTACAGCATGGTGTCTTGCATTACGCAGTAAGGCACCAAAGGGACAAGAGCCAAGGACATGCGGAAGGGTTTCAGGCTCCTTGCAATGTCTGCAAAGGGTTCCGTCCTGGCTTCGCCCTGGTACGCTGCGTACTGGTACAACACCAGATATCATTTTTAATGAAGTGATCCATTCTCCTGTAGTAAGGCCATTTTTTAAATATATCCATGCGTTGCTACTAGGCACTTCTTTGAATAATTCTATTCCTCTACCTTTACATGGTAATTTAGACCAAAGTTCAAATTCTTTCAACTGTAATTTTGATCTCAAATTTAAACCAATTCTTTTTTTCTCTTTAAATTCAAAATCATGTGTAAAAATATCATCAATTTCTATTTGAAGTTTTTGAAGTGACATGGTAATTCTTTGGGGGATGTTTATTAGCTCGTTTACATGGCTATTTTGTACGTTTTTTAGAATTACACACATATTTATATGCTGTATAGAACTTTCCCATTTTGCTCGAATTATTCCCAGACCTTTGAATCTTTTAGGGGAATATAAGAAAGAATTGGGTGTGTCACTTGGTAGAGTGAGAATGACTAGCTACTAACCTCACAACCAACTCCTAAACTGAATTAGGAATTTAGGTGTACAACACACCTTACACATGAATTGCATTGGTTTACGCCCTTTATTTGGAAAGCCGAGAGTCGTGTCTTTTACTTGAGACCGATGATTGGCTTTTAACTTATAATTAAAATTTACATCTTGTAGTAGTAGATTAAATTCGTGCACCCGTTGGTTGCTTTTGAATAGTCCATTTCCACCCATCAGAAGGGCAACCCATACAGGAAAAAAGCTAATTTCAGCATATTGTTTTAAACAAATTCCCAGAACCCTGGACCTCCCCCTCTCCATGCCACCCCCAGCGACCCCTGTTTCAACTATGCTGCTTGCTCCCCCCTAGTTTTGATCCTGGGTACGTCCTTGTATCCTTTTGCAGCAAACTAATTAGCTACTAATTTTGGTCTCCTTGACCCATAAATTGCAAAACAAAGAACTATAGCTGCTAGTTTTATTCTAATAATGTATTTTCTATAAATTTTAAAGCACTATAATAACATTACTTTACAAAATTAAATATAAAGAATCTTTAACAGCAGGCCTAATTTATTTTCGTAACAATAAAATCTAGTTATTTTGATTTTTGTTTATATTTTTAAAAGGTTGGCAGCAATTTTTATCTATGTATTTGCTTGTCCACATATGAGCCTGAGGCCAGTGTGTGGAACGTATCGAACGAAGGAAGGGATGAGTCTGTACAGTACAAGAATTAATTAACTGTAGGCTAAATATTAGTGGTGAGATAGGAATACAAATTCACGTTATCACTGCCATGATCGAATTTGTAGTCCAGTACTACCAACTGAGCCACCGACTCACCTAACTGATGACAGTATTACTATCTTTTTCCCTTCTTCAGTGGCAATTGACGGTTTCAAAAAGGTGGGCAAAACATACCTGGAAAAATGGGGTTATAACCATACAAAATTTCAATTAATATCTCTGAAAGTAGAGGAATGCCCTCTGAATCGCCGCCTCGGTCCCTAGTAGATTAGAGGACGGCTTTTAATGTACCTGTATAATAGCATTGACTTGATAGTCAAAGATAATAGCTAAACAATCTTGTCTTTGTTGCAGTTATGTTTAACAATTGGGGTCACAACTATACCAGAGGTATTATGTTTCAAGAAGTTTCCAACTGCAACCAAACCCCCACCACCTCCACCGGCTCCACCACTCATAGTGTTCGATCAACCTCAAAGAAGCCAAGCTGAGGCTCCAGCAACTGCCCCTCAAACTTTCGCTCAAGCTCCTCAAACTTTTGCTCAAGCTCCTCAAACTTTTGCTCAAGCTCCTCAAACCTTCTCCCAATCTGCTCCTCAAACCTTCGCTCAAGCTCCTCAATCTTTCGCTCAAGCTCCTCAAACCTTCGCTCAAGCTCCTCAAACCAATGCTCAAGCTGCACCAGCGCCTCAAATCACTCCTCAAGCGAGATTTGAGTATTTTGAGTTGATTGCTCCGAACCAAAATGGACAAAACTACAATCCGACATTGACCATTAGCAATCCTGATTACAACGTGGTGTATCGTCCGCAAAATTCAGCACAGCCTCAGCGTCCTCAATCTCAGCGTCCACAAGCCCAGCGTCCTCAACCTCAACGTCCTCAAAGGCCTCCTCAACGACCTCAAGTTCCCCAACGGCCTGGCACACCACCGTTGTACCAGTTCCCTAAACAACCCGGCCGACCCAACAGTCAAGTTCTGTCTCGTCCCACGGTCACTCGCCCTCGGAACGATGTTTTCCCCGCACCTGGTCATCGGTTTGGACCTCAGGCGTTCAGTAGACAGCCTGCCTAAGAATATTTGTTGCTTTATTTATGTTAGTAAACATTTCATTTTTTGTTTTTGTCGTTGCTTTATTCACTGTTGTTCCTCTATAGTGTGTTGCCTAAAGATTTGTATTCAGACTTTAATGTCAATGTGAGAAAACAGGGTTTGTTCCTCGGCATTTCCACAAAGATTTTTAGGTATTCGTAATTTTACTGTTTTTTTCTTTTATGAGTTTGTAAGAAGTTGTTTCCCAAAGGAAAATAAATAAAGTGGCAAATTTAGAGATCAGTTATCAAATATGTTAAATATTTTATGTCTTTTTCATGTATATCAGGAAATAATAAGAAAACAATATTTAGGTTTGATAAATAAAACATAGAATAATTTATTTAAGTAACAAAAATATACTGTGCTATCACAATAAAACAAATAAATTAAATTAATTACAACCTACAGATGTATTACTATTACTGACATTTAGCATACCGGTATTCTTATATACATTTTTTTTTTACTAAGCCACAAAATCAAACAGAATGAAGGCACAGGTTTATAACAATTGACAATATGAAAACACGTTAGATAACAATCTCATCTGCAAAACAATTTATGAAAGGGAATGCCTTTGTAATAGTATAATTCGTACCTAGGGCCAAAAATGAGGTTTTTTTAGATCAAGATTATTTTTTAAGTTCGAGACGAGGGCGAGATAAAGGAATTTATAAAGGGGATTAAACTTAATCTATGTTGTAGTATTCTGAAAATTGGTGTAAGTACTCTTCCATTACACTATTTAATGGCACCATTTTGAAAGGCACTTTTTATAACTAAACAAGCAGTCAACATTCATGTGCAATATTTTAAGAACGTTTCAAATAAAATAAAAATAGATAAACTAAAAGTAGACTACCGGTATATAATGAAAACATTTATAGAAAAAACAAAATCATATCACATATTAATTAGTTACAACACATGATCAGATCATGTACAACACAAATATAAATACTACTAATATAGGTCTACAACTAAAATTTTAAGTACAGTATGTTGTTGAGTGTCTATACACTACTATCTATATTATAACATATTGTCCATATATCTGTTGTACCACAATAATAGAAGTTGTAGACTATTTTTATTGAGCTAAAGAGAGCGCTTACCGCAAAAAGTGTTGCTAGCATAATGACTGATTACAATAGGCTATACATTTTTTGTTATTTACTGTTTGCAATGGCCATGTCATTGGTGTAAACAGCTCTAGATGGTTTTAGATCAGCTGTTTTACTGCATGTTTTACCAGTACAATGTGCCACCTTTCTCTGCATATCAGCTGTTTTTTTGTTTGTTTTTTATTTATACTGAAAAAGATGTTAGATATAGATAGACTTGTAGTAGCCAATTATTTTACGTTAACTGGTATAGTGTAATACTATCAAAACTATATTTTTCTTCTATGATAGATTATGTGACGTAATAGATTTGTGTATTAAAAGCGCAAATTTCCTCATCGCCGCTCGAGAACTGCAGATGGCCGCACCAAGCTAGAGCTGAGTGCGGCCATACATTTTGTGAGCGGCAATGACTGTGCTTGTAATAAACATAAGAATTTTCCTACCACCATATTTAACTTATAATAACACAAATTAACTATTTAGATGTATAAAATGGCATTTAGGTTAGGGTTTTTTTAAGATTATGTTATTTGCTTGGTTGTTGACTAACGTACTGGATCCGTGGCTGTGGTTGGTGTAAAAACAACTGGGAAATCAGCTGATTTAGCAGGAATTCCTGCTCTAGAGCGTAAATAAGCTATTTTGCATACTGTTTGGGGTGATCATTTCCATACAGTGGTAAGAAAAATGTCGAATAGCATACAATAAGTTGTCCTATCATTTTGGTTTATTTTTTCCCATATATTTAATTATCAACACCATACTCTTTCGGTGGATCAAATGAACTATGTTCAATTTTTTCGCTGCATCCTTAAATTGGAAATGTGTTTTCCACTTCAATCATAGTCAAATATTACCGACTACTGCTGATCCATAGTATATGTCTACTTCAACTTCTTCATTAGTTCGTTGGTCAGTTAATTAGATGTTAGTTATATCTAATAAAACATTAACCAAAGAAAGTGCAGCCATACCTCACTAGAGTGAAGTATAATCAACGATATAGCTAAGGAGACACAGCAAGTAGGAAATACAGACTCAGATTCACAGCATGATCCTCAGCAGATAGCAAAGCCTCATTGGTTTTAGATAACCAACCAAAATTCAACATCCAATAGTCGGACAACAGCGGCTCACGTTGGCAGCTTCATGAGTAGAACTTCCGAACTTCCAATGTAAGCATGTCCATAGTCATCTCGTTGATTTCGATGAACCTCTTGTTTTGTCGGCTGAAGTAGAAGATATCTCCGCTGTATATATCGAACCAGAGGGCGTGAATGTGCAAATCATGAGTCTCTAGTCGCTGTCTCAGAAATCCGTAACTCGCAATGTTCTGAAGCTGCTGAAGTGTGTTTATCTGAAACCGAATATTTTATTAGATTTTAGATTAAATTTGTACAGTATTTTAAATATTTAAAGCTAAATGAATATTTACAAAATCTGTGAAGGACTGTCCTCAGTGGCTAGCTTGAGACATGCCTCAACTGTCACTTGGAAACAAATATTCAATTTACAATGAAAATTTCATGATGAATGTAGACAATAAAATAATTGAGGATTGGTGTTGGAGAATTAAGGAGGATGGATATTTTGGACCTCAGGTTTCAAGTCCAGTGCATACCTAAATTTCTATACATCAAGCACTGGAACTATACATTACTGTAACTGCATTTTTTGTGTCGAGAATGCAGATATAAGCATGAAACCTTACTTGATGGAGAACCGATTCTTATGATAAAGTTAGGTGACAAGGAAACATGCATAAGTGGTGTCTAGCACTAGTCACTGGTGTCTAAGGCAAAGTCCAACACCACCACCTTTCCCTGTACTACAACGCTCACGGAGGAAGACCCAGTGTCCTGTGTGATTTTCTGCACAGTGCTTGAGCTCTTCATTGCTCATCACAAGTATATTTCCGGCACAACAAACTAGAGCTGAAAGCGCACAGTCGTTCCATGAGCAATTTTCCTCTATACCTACTTCTATATTTTACTTCTCTGTAGTTATTGTGAAGTCATAAAATGTTTCCATTGATGACCTCAGCTGGAAGATAAGGAGGTTGATTATTGCCTGCTAACTACAGTTGCTAAAACTTCTCTTATGATTATGCAACGTCAACAAGTGAACCTCACCTGAGATAGCTTATCCTCGATGGAAAACCGGTTCTCATGATCGATGTAGGCAACAAACTTCCGCATCGGTGACTCTCCCTGGAAGATGAGGGGTTGGTTGTGACCCGCTAACTCCAGTTGTTGGAACTTCTCCAGAGAGCTGTGAGCGTGATTACACAACCAAGCCTTCAGCGGAGAGATTCTTCTTTGGTCTTTGCTTGCATACTCCTCATCCCGTAACTTGTACAGGAGGTTCATAGCCTGTGGGTTAATAATTTGTAGAATCATAGACAAAAAATACTCACTAATGGATCATATGTGCCTTCCTTACAGATCAGCTTATTTTAAAACTAAGTTTTCTTTACATCTGCAAATATAGGATAAGCAAAAAGTAGCTTTATTTGAGGTTTAACTTCCAAAGAGTTTACCCTTGAACTTCCACCCAAGCTGTTCACCGTTTTATTTTTGGATGGCCTTTTCCACCGCATCAAGCTATAGACCAATAAACTTACTACAAGCTGTACAACAGAACTGACCAGGACGAGATTCAAACTCTCAATTTATGGTGCTGTCTCCTGACAAGAGAGAAAACTTCATAGATTGCCCTTCTATTGATCAGACCTAATACCCAGTATACTACACCATAAACAGGTCAATCAAAATCTGATGTGTAGTAGTTGAAAACTTTAAGGTTGCACACACCAAAGTGTACAGACAGATTTAAGTTGTACTATGAATATTTTTAACTGTGCGCTCAATTATGTTACTCTTGTATCCACTATCAGTTCTTGTCGCTCAAAGGACTAATTAATAAAACCACTAACGCCAACCTTGCAGTCGGAGTGGCCGCAGACGATGATGTGCCGAATGTCGTTGACGACACAACCGAGCTCCAAAGCTGCTGGCTCGTTGGTCGTGTACTCGTCCAGAAAATGGTGTGAGTTGGGGATCAGGTTTCCTGCGTTCCTCACTGAAAGTTTACAATATTTAGAAATCAAAATATTGTTGATGTACATAACTACAAATAGGTATAGCATTTAGGAATTACCTTTAAAACCATGGTTCTATATACTGGGCTCGTCCCATGAAAAGGATCACTTATCTATTTAACACCTATTTAAACAAAAAAATTGATTAATAATTTAATTAATAAAATAGCTGTAATATTACTGAGGTCTATTATTCTGTGTTTGTGTATGTTTGTGTGGACTGCGTCATGATGAAAAGTATCGTTCATAACTTGTCCTGAGAGTTATTTTCCAGCACTTGAACCATTATTCCCGTCTTTAGCTTTGCCTCGCACGTGAAATCGGGGTTTCCTGTGTTCGGCTTCCCAACACACAAAAACTTAAGCGCACGCCGGAAAATGTCACTTTTAGTCCTAGTAGGCTAATGAAATATACTGTTGTAAAACTGTACATGTTAAAATTAATTCGGAACATGAGTAGGTATATTTCTCACCAACAAACATATCTCCGACATCAGTCTCTGTGAACCTGGTGGGGATCATCCTGCTGTCCATACAGGTGAAGAATACTGCTTTTGGCTGAAAAAGTAAAAATATTTAGGTTATACAAAATATTACTAAACCCTTTCAGTGCTATGTGACGATATATATCGTTGCAAGTGTCTTTTTCCCGAAAAGTGCTAAGGAACGATATATCGTTTTTATAGCGTTTCATCCAAATAGTGTCAAGCGAAGATATATCATCTCGGCGCGACTTTTTAATCGTGTGAGTTTAAATGGGCATATCGGCTGACTCGGTTGTTGTTTCAAAACAGTGATGGTTTCTTTCGATTCCTCATACGATCGAGGTTAATATATTGTTCCTTAACACTTTTGAGGGCAAATTTTATTTTTACAGATTTTTTCACGCACTAGACATTCCCCCCCCCCCCCGTGGCAAGCCTAGCACTTTTCATACAAAATAAGTAAATTACTAGCATTTTTTTGGAAAATTCTATAGCATCGAATTAAAGGGTTAAAGAATAAATTGTTTAAGACCTTTGAGAAGGGGGAAAACTATATACTAGAACAGATCAAAATGTTTATGCCTAGAAAATAAAATAAGAAAGTACTAAAGAATATACCTTCTTTTTACTATTCGTTTTACTTACAAAAAAGTATTGTTTATTACAACATCAGAAATAAATAAGTGCACAAAAAGACATAACAAATAATAACGTCAGCAACTATAGGGAAACATTTTTAAACAAAATTAGGCTTTATTAGTTAACAGCTAAATAAAGTTTAAAATATGCAAGCAAATCTAAACTAATTACTCGTAGAATCAAAGAATTAATTAATTAGTGATTAAAATAATTGAATTGATATATTTCACAAAACTACTGTACAACAACGGCCATAGATTGGTGTTATCTTCTTAGCCATTGTTATCAATGCAGACGACAGTCTAAAATTAGAATAGCAAATCATTACGATTTAGGTACAAACATAGAGTTGTTGTTCCATGTCCCAGCGTATGGTGATTAAAAATTAATATCAATCTTTAAAATTGTACACGTTCAATAATAATCGATAAATTACAAGCCAAACGTCAAACTTATACCATTTTAAACTACTGTACAAACACTTGACAAACATATGATTAGTTTCTACTTGTTTACAGCTGACTTGTCATCCGCCATGTTTCACGTTTCACTTGTTGATTCTCTTTACAACATAAACATCTGTTTGAATATTGTAGTCTGCTATACTTGAGATAAGAAAGGCTACAGTTTTAAACAAACAAAGTTTACTTACCGTAGGGTTATTTTTCACTTCCTTGAACTGTTCCACCATTGTTTTACGATCTGTTCTTCGATATTTCATTATTCCTCGAAGGATTTTATCCATGTCTAAGCCTATTCACACACTGTTCTACTGTAAGCTGTACGAACTCGGCTAACCCTTTCCTAATCCAAGGTCCATTGCGTATAATGGCTGATAGTGAGAGTGCAAAGTGCGTACCGGCATCAATTTTAACTTATTTTGGGAGAAGAATCAATCCAAGTGGGTATGTTTATTAGACTAAGTTTAGGCTTAATTGCACATAACCTAACAAGGTCCACAACTCAAATTATAGCCCTAGGCCTACTAATGGTCAGATCAGATCTATATTTAATGAATCCAGCTATTAGAGTTGATAATGACTTGAATGGCGTAGATTAGGATTCAATCATTATGACTCTTAACTTTTTATTTACCAATCAACCCAGTTTTACTAAAGCCTGTTCAAGTAAGTTAAAGTTTGTTTTGACCAATTTCTTTGATTATCTGATTTTATAACCAAAAAATTGAGCCTTGTCATCAAGCCAGATTATTTCCATAACATTAAAACTAAGGGCAAGATAGGCCCAAATACATTTTTTTATTAAGGCGAACTTAGGACCTCATTAACTTAATTGTCCTTAAACTTAAGTTACAAACCACAGCAAACCAGTACCCACTTTTTTCTGGCAGAACCTATTTAAGCTTTTTACCATTATTACCATTACCGGTAACTTATTACCAAAGCTGCGTTGTTGACCAGCATAGCCGGATAAACTGCGTCAATTTTTAAATATAAATATCAATTTTTACAACAACGAAATAAGACTTGTATCTTTCAAAAAATTAAATGTGAAAGTTTCAAAAATAAAAATAAAAGCTTGGCGGGTGACTAAGTTACGGAGGTGATGTGCACTCTACTATTTGCCATCAAAATACTCTCTCACGGAGTAATAGGCTCTTTGAAGAAGCCTATCTCGTACAACCATGGTAAACGTTTTTTTTTTCAGAAGACTGCTGATCTCTGGGGGAGCTTGTTGAACAACTTCCAAGAAAAAGCAGGAAAACGGCGCTGTGTTCCCGTGAGGCGGAATCTAGGAATGTCAATTTTGCTTCTGCTACGTGTATTATAGCTATGAACATCTCCTGGTCTTTAGTAGCTCAATGTTCGACCTGATGTGTACAAGAGAGGAGAATATATACTGCCCAATAACAGTATGCACCTTTTAGCCTTCTAAAGATTGGCTTACAGTGTTCCAAAGGAGCGCTACATGTTATGGCTCTCAAGACAGATTATATGACACTATTGGTTTATACAAATGATCATAATACAGGTTATTACTCATGCAGATACACGTCTTACCAAGCTTTAATATCCTAAGAACTTATATAGGTGGCTTTAAGTTTTTAGATATTTTTGGATATAAAAATAGTTTGGCAGTGATAAACTTTAAGTTAATTATTCTTAAAATATTAGTTAAAACTTTATATATAATTTTTCAATTTTTCACAAACTAAGTAACTTAGGGCAGAAAATAAGCTAGCCTACATTTTTCCTGGGAGACACAAAAATGATTTGTTTAGTATCTCATGTTTAAAGCTCTGTGTCCTACGGTACCGGTACCGATCTAAAGTTAGCCTATCAATTTTTGTAGACAGAAAATTTAATCCCAAATGGACAGACCACATGTTGTGAGAATCGGCTAAAGAATACCACTGGATTTATTTTCTGAATCAGATCATAAGATACATAACTTAAATAACATGTTAAATACAGTAATATTATAGGTGGTTAAGTTAGAGAGTTAAACTGGAGTACGGTACTTAACATTAAGTAAAACTTGAAATAGTTTATGAATATTTAATTAAGTAGGCCTACACCAAATAATTGTTCATTCTATATACTCAAACAATAGTCAGATAAAAGAGGCTAATTAGGTTATTGATACTGCTACGTTGTTTTTCAGAGAGATAAGCTGACCCTTGTCGTCAGCTGTGACGTGTTATCTGCCGTACCCCTCATTGCTCAAGTGCGTCTGCTGTTGAAGTTAGTGTTTTAGAAGAAGAGTAAAACGTGTTTTCAAGAAGAATGTCACTCACAAGAATCCTCAGGTTAGGATTATGGTTTTTTGATGAGCCGAAGTAAGTTTGTTCATTCTTATAGGTACAATCACACAGCTAAAACTAACCACGACTAACAGATAAATTAATTTGCTACGATATTTTTCAATCCAAATTGCTCTAAACCTTTTGAATCTGTAGTTTCAATTAATGTTTAATGTAACTTAACAAAAATTCACTTGCTGGGGATTATTAAATAAGACTTGTTATCAAGGTTGACTTGTTATCGAGGTTGTCAATAACATGTGATAAAGGGTAAATGAAATTCAAGGGTTATTTAAAATTACACTTGTTATCAAGGGTGAATTGTTATCAAGGGTCTTCTTACTGAGGTTCCATTGTATATTGTCTTCAAACTAAGATTAAGATGCTTGATGTGCAACATTTTGTTTTGGTCAATAAAATAATATTTTCATAATGTCCTAACAACACTCTTACTCTTGTACATTGACTTACCTACTGCATATTTTGCACGATTCTACCATATTTTGATGATGTGTACCAGTGTGTGTAGACAACTAAAAATTCTTGTATGATGTTAGCATGGTAAATGATCGCCAAGCTCTAAACTACAGTGGTATTTTTAAAGACATTCTTTTTGAAAAATCAAATGATAGTAATATTTGCCTAATAATAACAACCGAATACCTATAGTTAGAACATTGTATAAGAGTACTAATCGTTGAAATAAACACTTTAAATACCAAAATCATAATTTTTCAGTCACTCAACACAGAGGGTAGGATGGAGAAGTATAGTTACCGTCGTCAAACCGACTCATCAGTCTGCAAAGGTGAAGAAGGCTCGGATAAAAAAGCTGTTGATTGCCAACCGAGGAGAGATCGCCTGTCGAGTCATGAGAACGGCTCGGCGACTCGACATTCATTCTGTAGCGGTCTATAGTGATGCAGACAAACGTGCAATGCATGTCAATATGGTATGATAAAGGGCTTTGGATATTTTTATTGTTGTAGTTAAAGTTTTAAATATAGAATTTGAAAGATACAGATTCCTTTTCCAAGTAGAGAACAGAACACACCTTCTCGTTCTGAAACCTCAGCCCTTGTCCAATATTAAAAAGTCCTATCAATACAAACATTTTGTAAACCACTGGTTCATGGCATCATTGCATAGTTTTTTGTTGGTTCGAGGGATTTGATCCCAGGCTTTCAGTAGAAAAGTTACATCCATTAAATAGTCTGGTGGTTAAGAGTTCACATTAAGTTGTTGGTTTATCTATCTGGAAAGCAATGAAGGATAGGTCTTCTAGGCAAAAAAAACTTTCTCAATTTCAAAGAACTCTTTATATACTAAAAGGCTTTTAATAGATTTAATATGATCAGTTCAATATTTTTTGTATAGTATTTGCTGTGTCTAAAATGTGTGCATTTTTTGGACTGCATAGTACAAATAAGTTACTGGTTTTTAATAAATAAAATACCTGCCTTCGTTAAAAAAACTTACCCCTCTAAGGTTATTATGGTTCAATAGATAGAACCTGTATAAAATTTTACCTCACAATATTTGATAATGTTGTTATTTTTAGTATCAGATTTATATACTTACTTACTTACTCCCATGATCATTGATACCCTAGGTGGTATTTGGCCTTGTCAAAAAGTTACCTCAATCACTCCCTGTCTTCTTGCTTTGCTCTCAATTTTTTCTAAATCTTTCTCCATCTGGTCCTCTCAGTTATTCCAGGGTTTTCCTTGGGGTCTTCTTCCCACTGGGTTGCATCCAAACTTCTTTAATACTAATACTAATTACTAATAACTGGTTCCCATCTTCCATCCTAAATGTCAGAGTATTTGTAATAGTAAGTTTTCTTCTTCGTTACTGAAATAAACACGTATCTTAATGTTACAGGCAGACTCAGCTTACAATATTGGACCTCCTCCTTCTCGGGAGAGTTACTTGTGTGCGGACAAAATCTTAGCGGTTGCTCACGACAGTGGTAAGTCAACGAATCATAATGTAAACTATATATCCTTTTCTGTTTTGGTTAATCCTGTGTCTAAGAGTCAACATAGGTTCTTCCATTTTCTCCCATCCTTCCACACACGGTTTGTTTATCCTTCTTAAATCTTTGTCCTTCACATCCGTCTTCCCATCAGTACTTCTTCTAGGTCTTCCTCATATCATTTAGGTATCTTCATCTTCTATCTCTCCACATTTCCTTTCTCCTTCCTCTAACATCTTAGTTCTTTTTCTTCTCATCCTTCTTTAGCTTACCCATCCAGTCTTTCCTTAAGTCTTCCTTATGTCAAATAGGCATCTTCAACTTCCATCCCTCTACATTTCCTTTCTCCATCCTCCATCATCCCAGTTATTTTTTTCTTCACATCCTTTTTCAGCTAATCCATCTATCTTTTCTTAAGTCTTCCTCATGTCAAAAAGGCATCTTCATCTTCTATCTCTCCACATTTCCTTTCACCTTCCTCCATCATCTCAGTTCTTTCTTCTCTACATTCATCTTCACCTCATCTGCCTTCTTCTTGTCCTTGTTTGTTTTGTTCTCAGTTTTATCCCCTTTATCATCCTCAACTTCATTTAACATATGTTCATTCCTTCATGTACATATGTTTTCTTCCTGAATTCCCCTCACATGCCCAAACCATCTGCTTGCCTTCTCTATTCTCCCTCTAGAGTTGTCCTCCATTACTCTTCTTATTATCTCTTGATTCCAAAATAATTTGTTGTTTTACACTTAATAAACTATAAATGTTATTTCCCCAACTATTTTCGCTCCGTTCCATTTGCTGTGTGTAAATAAATAAACGTCAGTCACTCTCTTTACTCTACATTCCACACTGTATGTTTTGCTAAGTATGTATATGCTTATAGCAGGTCTTGCTTTATTTATGAAAGTTTGTTGGTTCAATTGGAAAGATTAATTGACTCATGTGGCATTTATAATCCGGTTAATCAATTAATGATGAATTCTAAAATATCAATGCAAATAGTAAAACATCTGGAGCTTGGTTATTCTTTGACAAATAGTAAATGCATATACACAAAATAAAATTAGTAAACATTAATTGGTTAAAAGACAAGAAATTAATTTTGTTATAATCAGGGTTTTATCATGGTAAACAAGCCTTGAAGAAGATAAGAAATATTCTCAAGATATTATTATTTCTCTAACCCAACCATGTTATTATCTATTTTTTGTTTTTATGTTATGATTCAAAATAATCGGGCTACTATTTATCGTCTTATTAAATTGATGATGCATTTTAATTTGCTTTGTTCCATTTTTATGAAATTATTAGCCCATTTCATATACCAAAGTTAAGTTTAAGTATTTACTTTTACTGTGGGGAAGTCTAAAATAATGGAAGGAAATATTTTTTCCCATTTCAGAATTCTTATAAAATCATATAGAAGCAACAGTGAAACTAAGTAAAATAAATAATTAATTTAAACTTTACTTCAGAAACTTTAAAAGCTGAGTGGTATACAACCTGCTTTGAAAGTAAACATTTCTTTGCTCATCTCATTTCGCGAGAGCCTCATTACACCAAAATGTCCTTTGGATAGAATGTCTCTTTGAAGAATTACTCAGGAAATTCCCAAGATTTCATCGAGTAGTTTGAAGAAGATGCTTTGCAGCTGGTCCAGCATTATACTTCCTCGATAGCTTCTAAAAGCTCACCTTGACTTCTTTTAAATATAGAGTTAGAAGCCTCCCTGAGCTGAATAATAGCGTATAAGATTAATATTATTATGTGACTTATTTTTTAGTATAATGTTTTGTAACAATTGATAACAGTTATTCTGAAAAGTAGTTACACAATGAGAATGGTTTTGTAAAAATAGTTATTTTTATTATTTATCATTATTACATCTAGGGGCCGACGCTATCCACCCGGGCTACGGTTTCCTCTCGGAAAACGCAGAATTTGCCGAGCAGTGCCAGAAGGAAGGTGTGATCTTCATAGGTCCTCCTGCCTCTGCGATCCGAGACATGGGAATCAAAAGGTAACCTTCTTACTCGTCTTTTATAAAGGTCGTAGATCTTGCATATTACCCAAAAGCATAAAGAAAAAATCGACCAAGCTCCTTTTATTTTATCAAACACTAGTTGAGGGAATGATTGCAGCATGGATTAAACACTCCCTTTTAAATTTATCATACTTATGGGTATGCAGAAGACAATTTTGAGGTTAGTTTTGTCCGGTTTTGTCTAGATGGTGGGTTGTTGTTTACTATTTAATCGTCAACTTGATTCAAAACCTCTTGAAACTATTTTTATTAAATATTTAACTATCTGTGAACTATTTTTTTGTTCTTTCCAAAGAATTTATCGTAGGATTATTCAATACAGAAATAGTTTTATCGAAGAGGCATATTTTTTTGTTTTTCACCGAATAAAAGACAAAGTTGTATACAGCTTTGGAGTGGTGGACCCAAAAAATCAATTAGTATTGCAGGATTTGAACCTATGTTTTAAAAAATAGGAATTACAAGCTTTAATCATCACCCATGCCTAATTTTTTACAATGACTAAATTATAGAGAATGTGTTAGTAATTTTTAGTCTGATAATGGCTTAGCTTCTAGCTTATGGAGAAGTTTAAAAGCTTAGTGAGCATATTTATTTACTGTCTAGCACATCCAAAGCAATAATGTCGGCTGCTGGAGTGCCAGTGATTGAGGGTTACCATGGCGATGAGCAATCAGAGACGAGATTGGCCGAAGAGGCGGATAAGATTGGTTTCCCAATCATGATCAAGGCGGTTCGAGGAGGAGGTGGTAAGGTACGAAAACAGGAAGTTAAGTTCTTTATCCCTAGGGCAAAAGAGAATCTGTTGGAATCAAAGACATCAGCCGCATATGTTTTGCACTTGTTAACTTAATCCGCTGCGGTTTTTTGTAAAATATATTTTAATAATGAATACATCGTCATAATTAAATGTTTTTATGTCCATCAATCTGCTTCGTAGTGTATTTTTGGAAAAATTGAATAACTTTTTGCTTTTAATTATTAGTCATTATTTGCATCAGTATTTGATAGCAGTTAATTTATGAGCAAATAGAATAATGTAGTCTACTCAGGCAGACATTTTGGGATATATCATTCATCACAAAATTGTACTCTTAGCGAGGCAAAAGTAATGTCGATCAAATTTACTGTTTGCTCAAATTTCCTTTCTAACTTGTGTTTTATTCTATCAACTCTATTTTTGCAGGGGATGCGTATTGCCATGACTAGAGAAGAGTTTCTCTTCGCGTTGGGTTCCGCTCGGAGAGAAGCGTTGAAGGCGTTCGGTGACGATGCAGTGTTGCTGGAACGCTATGTTCGCTCACCGAGACATGTTGAAGTCCAAGTGTTCGGAGACCAGTATGGCGACTGTGTGTATTTGTTTGAACGAGACTGTAGCGTTCAGCGACGTCACCAGAAAGTCATCGAGGAAGCACCTGCGGTAGGTAGCCGTGGAAACCTCATGATCATATTAGATTTATATGGCGCTGACAGTGACTTAGCTAGGATGAGTATTGAAAGTGATTAAATGATAGCCCTGTTAAACCAAGATCAGCTGGTTTTGTAACATCTGTAACATTTGAATTGTCAAGAAGCTATTGCCATTTCTCTCAGTGCACTCATTCATTGCTGTACATAATTCAACCTTAAAATTTTCTCTATGTGATCCATGAGGATGAAAAGTCTACAACAGTTAAATCCACATCTCATGTCAGGAGATGATGAATAGTACAACAGTCACCATTATCTTACACTGAAACTCTATGAGCAACATTCTCAAACATATGGCAGAAATTTCACATTACCAATTGAACTGTAGAATTGATTATGTACACCATAGATATTTTTATTATTCAAGGTAAGCATCGATTCAAGAGGTAAATGGCAAAACTAATCAATACTAGTCTAATCTGCCCCTTGTATTCATGGCAACGTACTTTTTTGGTAACCTTCCTCTGTAACTATTGAGCAGATTGTAACGTTTGAAGTTCTGACATTGAACTTTGAGTGTCAGAAAGATTAAACTACTAATTGCACATAAATGTTATTAACTCATGTTATATTTACCTTGAAGAGCGTGATTCGCCTTCAAACATTTGAGGACTAGTACCACAAAATATTGTTAATAGATTATCTTCATTGCAATGCCTTAAATGTATTGCCCAGCAAAGCTGGCTGTCTGAAGCAATGTTTTTATTCAACCTCAACTTTTTTTAAATCTTTATACACACCAGAAAGAACTCAAATGAAAAAAAATCTAGCTAACCCATTAATTAATCCTTTACTCAACAGTTTCCTTTCTTTAATCCAATTTTTCAAAACTCCAGCCGGGAGTTTCGCCAGAGTTACGCAGACAGCTGGGTGTAGCGGCTGTAAGAGCTGCCCAGGCTGTTGGCTACGTAGGAGCTGGCACTGTAGAGTTCATCCTGGACCCTCACGATCTCAGCTTCCACTTCATGGAAATGAACACCAGACTCCAGGTGGAACACCCGGTGACGGAGATGATCACGGGAACGGACCTGGTCGAGTGGCAGATCAAGGTAGTTTTTACGAAATTGATCTATGCAAAGGACAAATCAAATATTCAAGCACCCACTGTGCACAAATCAGATTTTTGTCGAGGTTTTTTGTGGACAACTGGTTGTGACTGTTGACTAAATGTTTGCCTCGGTAGGTAGCTAGTGGCGAGAGACTACCGGTCAGACAGGAACAGTTGTCACCTCAAGGACATTCGTTTGAGGCTCGTGTCTATGCAGAGAGTCCTGATGCTAACTTTATGCCTGGCGCCGGACCTCTTCTTCACCTGTCACCCCCCACCACTGAACCATCCGTTCGCATTGAGACAGGTACTTTGACTGTGGTAGATTGTTGATTTTTTTTGGGATCTACGCCAGTGTTTTGAAGAATTGCAAGTACTTTAAGGGAAAGTAATAAGTAAAATCTCTTAAATCTTTGTGGCCTGGTAAGATTATTCCTTGCACTGAAGTCTGAAATGCCAATGAACAGAAGTTTTTTGATTTTATAGTTATCAATTTTGATAGTTTCACAGCATTTACACATGGATGATTTTAAACTAAACCTAGCTGTCCTTGATTAGCGACACTTTAGTGAGCTGGTGACTATATGGGTAGCGCAACATGCTATGAAACAAAGATAGCCATGTCAGGTATCCCGATGCACCTGCATAAATTTGATCAGTACAGTTCGTGGGAGTTGCCATTCATAAGTTGGAGATCTCAAACAGGAGTCAAAGTCACTTAGGATTGAGAGAACACCTGTTCCATTTGTACTGCTGTGCTTCACCACTTGCTTGATTATGATTCAGGTTTCTTGGAGCCCATGTGAACGGCAAATTCTAGTTTAAACCAACCAAATAAAACCTTGGTCTGTAATAAGGCTACTAAGTCTTCTCCATCCTTTCTAAACTTAACAACACACTTTACCTGTATCAATGGTTATCCTTATCTGGTTCTTTCTTTGAATAATCGCCAAGTTTTCATTTTATGAGGTAAGCTGGACTGAAGTGGCTTGAGTCTGTGTTTCAGCTTGATGTAAGAGATCTTTTTATTTCTTTTGCAAAGCTACAGTGTTACAGAATATAATACTTAATGTTTTTTTACAGGGGTTCAGCAGGGTGACGAAGTTAGCGTACACTACGACCCAATGATAGCGAAGCTGGTGGTGTGGGGCTCCGATAGACAAGCTGCCTTGGACAAGTTGAGGACGAAACTAGCTGAATATCAGGCAAGTCCAGCTTCCCTGTGTCTATCCCAGCAATCTGATCGTTGAAGGCTATTTATCTCTGTACTATGTAGTGCCAACTATTGGCAAGCGCTGAGGTTGAATGCAACAATATTTGCAGTAAAGTATATACATTTAGAATATCAGTAAAAACCAGAGGTCTCTATCTCACCCCAGTAGGACATAGTAGTTATTTGGAAATGTATAAAAAATAGTGTTGTAACATGAGGGTGAAGAAAATTGAAAATAATCACCATTTTCTTCTGGGTTAAGATATGTCTAGTTTTCACTAATGTTCTTCGACCTTTAAATTAGGTTTCACTCAATGGGGCTTTGGCTTTACGTTTAATTTTTCTTTACTGCCCCAAAAATACACTTTTAGGTCATATTTAGGTGAACAGAGTTTAGTTGTGGCATAACCCGTTTAAAAGCTATGGGGGTGTACTTTTGCCCCATGTATTGAATTTTTTTTTAACAATATTTCTCCTCTCACTTTGCAAAAATGTTGTTCCTATGCATTGTTAAATTTCAAAAGGAGTTCTGCAATTGCAAATAACCTCGTGAAGTGTATTTTTATTTAGTAATACTGAATCCAAACATAAGTTTGTTAACTAACCACCTACAAACTTGCAAGCACACAAACTTGTAAAATAACATTTTGTAAGATTTCAAGATTTCAAGCACTTTTCATCTTCTTCCCGCATTATTTATTGTATGTTCCGACCAGGTTGTAGGTTTGGACACGAATCTAGAGTTTCTGCGCAGGCTGACGTTGGAGCCGGAGTTCATCGAAGGTCGGGTTCACACAGGGTTTATAGAAGAGCACACTGAGACGCTTCTAGGCGAGCGGCCAGTACCTCAGTCTGCGGTAGTACAGGTAACTTGTAGCAGTTATAACAGGGTCTATTTTTAGCGATTGAGTCAACTCAGTGCTGGTATTTTGGGCTGAACCATAGCCATAGCTGAACAAAGGCTGGCCTCAATATTACTACAGTCACCACTGGATTATGCGGTTTCATATTTTTAGTTGTTCATTCAAATTTCATCTAAACCTTCTGCCATTCTGTTAAAAATCTATGTTGGTAACATTTAATTTCCAACCCATTAAAAACTTACCTCCACAGCATCCAGTAACCTATTTCAATGTGTTTTTTTTACAGATTTGATTGGACAGTTGTAAGCTAATAGGTATGATTTTTCCAGGCTGTTCTAGGCATTGTACTGCATGACAAGGCACAGGCATTGGCTCAAGCTGCTGAATCTAAAGACCCATTCAATCCCTTTAACACTCTCACAGGCTTCAGAGTCAATGGGCAGCTGACCAGACAAATACGGCTGCTTCATAGACAACAAGGTAATCTTATTTTAATCTTATGAATATACAAATTTAAGGTGGGGGGTGGACTATGGTAGTCCTCTCTCTCCTACCTTGGACCATAGGCCTGTGGGCTCAACACGCCCATCCGGGACGCAGGGGTGCGAGGGACTCAAAACCCCTATCCAGTGAACCCAGGGCTGTCCAGCGTACTCGGGTTCTCAGCCCTTCAGGTCTCGCACGGGTGACTCAGTACACCCATCCGGTAGAGCCCGGCCAGGAGGCCCAACTGACTTCCTAGTGCCCAACATCCTTTTTTAAGCTCATCAGATTCCTAGTGTCACGGTTCCTAGTGGTGGGGAGTTATTACGTCATTCCCTCCATCCATTTTACCCCTTTTGGAGCTTTTTCTGTCTTTATTGCCTTTTTATGACTGTTTTCCCCTTAACTTTCAAATTATCAGGAGGGTCAAAATAACTTTCTAATTCATCGTTTTCAACTTCTAAATCAAATCTGATACTGTTCTGGTTCATCCCTTTGATTTAATCAAAGTGTTCCACACCTGATGCCCATTTGGACAGAAAAATTATTATAGGATTTAACGTCACCAACATCCTCAAGATTTTTAAACAAACACCTGATGTTGCAGAGTACGAGGTGCAGGTGGTGTACGAGGCTGACAGTTACACAGTGACAGTGAAGGGGGTCGGCACAGTTCAAGTGTCTGGTCAACTAGACAGCAGCGGCTACCTGACGACGCAGCAGGACAGACAAGGCAGGTCTAGGTGTAAGATTGTCATGCAGGATGCTTATACACTCCACGTCTTCACTTTGGTTAGTAAATTGGTGTTTCGTGTAGTTAACTAACCTAACCTAACCTAAGTAGTGGTATTATGCACATAATTTTAACTATGAGGGGTGTTGGAAATAAATACTTATTCGTAGTACATAAGTCTGACTGGTAGAGCATCGGTATTCATAAGGAGTGAAAGCAACAGACTGACATTTAAAAGGTTTTCCAGTGACGATGAAAATCCAGAGAGTTTTCCTTGAATTAGGCTATCTCTAACACTACACACTTCCGACATTTTATGTTGCCAACTAATAAATATTTAGATATTGGTTATATTATTTATATTGGTGTTACTTTTAAACTTTACAAAGTTGCAAGAGTACAGTGCTGTATTTTAACTAGCTAGTGTGTTCATACAGTAGACGGCTGGAATTGATGGGGTGGTAGCATAATTTTTGGGTTCGATTCTCGTGTAAGGTTGACAATTTGTGGAATCATTGAAATTTGATATTAGCTCATCCTCAGTTTAAATTAAAAGGGATTAAAAAAGTTTAGTTGTTAATAGGCTTACTTTAGTTATAACGCCAATCACTTTTGCTCTTTGAACAGCTCAATTTTTACACTATTACTAACTTTTAATTTTAGTGTTGGCTATCACAGATATCTCTTCACCAGCACCTTTTTGTTCATTGTAATCCACTTGTCATTATTTCAGTGTTAACTTGGAACTGTTTCTGTGCAGGAAGGTGCCTATAAGTTTGTCCTACCGCAGTACGATGGTAGTGGGGCCAGGGAGGGGGGAGTGTCAGACTCCCTGGTGGCCTCTCCCATGCCTGGGGTCATAGACAAGGTGGTCGTCTGTCCAGGGGACAAGGTCAAGGCAGGAGATCCCCTGGTGGTTGTCATAGCGATGAAGATGGAGGTGAGTCTTCCTACGTCTTGTATTATAGTGTAATGAGAAAAGACCTCTCAAATACCTTTGAGGTTACCTCATAATTACTTTGGTTTGCTTCAAGGCAAGGCTCTAGGTCAGGATTTAGAATTTTAGAAAAAGGAAGATAGCAGCTGGCTTACCTTGAAGAAGTGTAGGTAGGCCAAATAGAAGATACAGAAGAGACACAGAACACACAATATTTTATCCCCTGGGGGATTTTGTCGATTGTAGAGAAAGTGGTAGTAGAGTTTACTAAACCGTGGTAGAGGTTTAGGCACCAAAAGTAGGTAAACTCTACCGATTTCTCTACACTTCTATTTGGCCTACCTACACCTTCTTCAAGGTAAGCTAGCTGCTATCCTTTGTAATTATTACTTTGGAGAATTAGCCATGGAATTAAATCTCTACCTCATTGTGTCGATTCTATGTCACTCTCCTAGGTGAACAATATCCCCGTTTCCAAACGTATTTTTGTCCAATAAAGATAAAAAAATATTTCATGAAGATCTCTCTTCTAATATTTACAAAACCAGTATTTGGGGGTTGTAGCACACTTGGCAACTCTTGCGGAAGCGAAGATGTTCCTCCCACTTCTCCATGGGGACCTTGGCACATTTGTTAACTTGGCGCGTTCGGTACTGGGACGAGATCACACAACAGGTCCCAAAAAAACACAAAGAGCTCTGTTGTTTGCCAATTTTGTGGTTTCTGCTGCTGCAAGTCTGCGCACACCTAGCAAACTGATGGTGGTTCGGCATGTCAAAACCAAAAATTCCTCCTATATTTTCCTGCTGGCAGATTCAAGAAGTTTTCCAAGAGTTGTACTTGCTCCCATAAGATAACATGTGATTTATTTTTTGCTGTAGTTGTAGAAATTATTTACTTTACAGCACCTTATTTTTCTACCTTGAGAGAGCTAAGTGCCATAATATGTCTGAGTTGAGATAATGTCCCATCTGAAACATTGATGGCCCTATTTGGGTTTTTGAGTTCCCTTGCCGTCTTTTCATTTACCTTTTTCTCCTGAATCTTTTAGCTATTTTATGATACAACAATTTGTAATTTTTTACAGCATGTGATCAAGTCACCCAAGGATGGAATCATTGAAAGGATTCTGTACCAAGCCGGGGAGAGCGTCAGCAAAAATGTTCCTCTGATTCAGTGGCAGGAATAACAATGTTGGTGAGTATAATTTTTATGTTTGAAATTTGCAAAGTATTTTTCCTCCCTTCGCAGTTAAGTATTTAAAAAGTGTATATAATTCAGTAAGCGGTATATTTCACCCTTAATGAGGAATCTTCTAGTCAAGAATAAGGATGACTGAAGATAATGATTCCCAATTCTCAAACCATTTTATTGATGCTGATGGAAGAACCTTTTTGCTTAATCCTACATTAATTTTATTAAGTTACATGTGAATCCAGGGGGAGCGAGCTGGTCTAGTGGTTAGAGCGTGGGACTCCGGTTCCTGGGGTCCCAGGTTCAAATCCTGCCAAATCACCAATGGATTTTATCCGAGTGATAATGCCGTAACTCCTAGGCCTAGCCTGCAGTAATGTGAAAAACAATTCCGGGCTCGTGCCTAGTGCCTAGGAAAAAAACCATGTGAATCTTAAGTCAATTTTAGAAATTAATTAAAAATGTTTCATTAAACGCTTAAATCGTAATTTTTATTTTTTTACAGATAACAAATGGACGTGGTGAGAAATCTACAGGGATATATTGTTAAGTTTTATCCTTTTTTTTTACTTTTTGTTACTATTTTTAATTGCTGTGCTGTTTATTGTGCCATATTTTTAGTCTATTTCTCAAATATTTACAGCCGAGTTAAAAATAGGCTAAGTTACTTAAATACTTCGTTACTTTTTACAGGTCTCATTTTAGCGTAGCTTGAAATGTATTATTCTTGTTATTTTACGTTACTTATTATAATTGTAAATGTAAGTTTTAGTAGCCTAGTATTGTTTTATAACAGTTTCCTGTACATTTTAGTGATATGTAAATGTGATATTAATCTGTATGGTGATATGTAATATTTAAGGTTCCTCAGTGACTTGTTTTGTACTGCAAAGACTTATCTTACCCATACTTATTTACAATTGTTGGGATTTTATAGTTTTGTAATGAATATACAGATTTTCCATTAAAATTGTTTTTGTTACATGACTGTGACTTTTAACTCCTCTGGAACCTGAGTCTAATAGTGAACTTACAGTGGTGAGGGTTGAAAGTCTGCACTGGATGCGGGAACGTAGCCTAGATGATTAGCACAAAAAATAGCACTCCTGATGTTTCACAGTGAGAACTGGTTCACCCATCTTATAAAAAACCCCGCTACTGTCCCCGAATGTTATTTTTACTGGGGCTGTTTTATTTGTGCAACAAAATTACTGTGCTTAAAAACCCGTTACAAAATAGACAATACCATTATAACTTTTAATAATTAAACTAAGTTTCAAAGGCATCATTTATATGTCTTTAAAAGACCACAACCTTATTAATTTTTACTTATTAAGTTCTTACTTGATTCCACATTGTAGTGGCAATTTAGTACTCTTGATTCTTATTTTTTTATAGTTAAATCTCATACTCGTAAGTAAAAACAAATTAATACTATTAGCTAAAGAGTTTGGAGGGTTCAAAGAACTTAATCACATGTTTTACAAAACTTTTAGTAACAAATAATGAGTACGTGATTGTTACGTTCCGTCGTCTATGTTTGCATCCCCCTCCACATCCATGTCACCATCATCAGCGTCTGGTTGCATATCTGCAATAAACACACGGAGTAAATTAAACAACTGTTCATAGAAAAAAATAACTAAATTCACTAGATAACTGAGCCAAGTATTGTTCTGGTTGAATAAAACTTCAGATGGTTTGATGATGAAAGTTGTTGCAGTTAATAAAAAATACTATTTTATACTGAAACGTAGGCTTAAGAAAAGTGTCAAAATAATGCTAGAAAAGGATGGAAAAAATCAACACAAGAAGGTAAGCACACTCTGAAGAAATTATAAAGTGCATAACCAAAAGATCCCAAGAGCTTTATGTAAACAATCCTTTTAACTTTTCAATTTTTCAGTCTAAGGAAGATAATTAGGCAAGACTCCTTATTAATAATGACATTGCATAGGGGCAAAATAAATTTTTAGGTTAGATTTTAAACTACAACTCAATCCTTTTTTGGTTGAAATGGCTGTGAAAGTGAAATATTCTGTTTCTAGTGCAAACATTAGGGATTCTTGTGCATAATTTAACTTTTTCCCTTTTAAACCTGCTGTCCTCACAAAAATCCTAAGAAGCCTAGGTCCTTTTGCTCTATGTTACATCCTTTAACCTCAATTTTCAGAGATACCTGTGGATAGATTGATGACCTTGAAGTTGCAGCTTTTTTTGCTGCCGCCAATGCATATTATGTTGGGATTGTCAGGACACAAACTGAGACAGTGTAGTTCGCCCATGTTGGTCTGTTTAGTCTGCTTCAAATGAGGATTACTCTCCAACAAACTCCAAACTTTCACGGTTTCGTCCGTAGAACACGTTGTTATGCTGTCACCGCCAACAACAACCAGGCCTGAAAGTGAAGAAGGGTTGGTTTATGTTGCATTTTTGTATTGTAGGCATGTGTCCTACCTTCACATGCTACGATACTAGGAGCTAACCCGTTTTAAACATTGCCTCAGGCCTTGAAGGTTACTTAATTTTTTTGTGGTGTTTCCAGTCCAATTATTTGACAATAAAAGGTTATATTACCAGTTGTTGCCTTATAGTCCAAGTTTCGTTTTCAATGGATTATTATGGGCGGTTACTCAGCCATCATTTTATCTTACGACAATCTGATGGTAGCTATAATGTGCGTAATCCATTGAGGATGAATCTTGGACCATAAGGCGAGAACAGGTAGTTAAACCTTTATTTAGTTTCATTTAAGGTTACAGCATTATTATATAGCTTCCACTTTCCAGTCATTGGTGATTGGCGGGATTTGAACCCAACCCTTTAGAGCCCGAAGCCCAGATCTACCACTAGACCAGCTTGGTCCTCAAATTAAGAGTAGGTAGTAGTCATTCTGCTAGAAAAAGGCTGTTGTTAAAAACTAACAACTCCGTACAATTTATCTTGGAGATTTTTGTAGCTTAAGATTACATTTTAAAAAGTTTTAAGGAGACACAGGTTTTTTTTCCTATAAGTGCTGTAATACGAGATTGCGAAGGGGACGACTTACTCTAGACACCAGCAAATGGGGCTAGACACCACTTAAGTGTACCATTCAATATATCCTCTGTATCTAACTTCTCTGTGGCTATTGTATATGATAAATTCTTACCTGTTATTTCCTTATTGTGAGCTTTTACTTGCCAGACGACGCTGCCGTTGCGACAGTCCACAGCACATAATGTGCCATTGCTAGTTCCAACCTGCACATGCAAATAATGTTAGTCTCAATCAGTACTTGGTTAAAAATCTACAAAATAAAACAAAAATTGGCACATAAGGAGAAAATACAAAATAAGAAATTTGTTTACAAATTGATGTTGATTTAGGTTGGTTTTTATTGTTTTTTGGACTGGTTAGGATAGATCTTCCTAACTCAAATCTTGGTTGAAAAATGCTGTCAGTGACAGTAAAATATTCAAATTATTGTTTACAGTGTGAAGTGGTTCGGTTTCTTGCACCAAGATTTTCTCACTTAGGTAAGCTTGCTATTGCAAGAACAATCCTAAGTTTCATACAATAAGATTTGTTGGTATAAACAACTTTAACAGGGTACTTGGATTTGTATCCAACTTACCAAAGCATGGAACTGATTTGTGGGGTGCCAAGCTGTCTTCTCTACTTCTCCGTCTACCGTAGCCGTGATGAGAACCTCCTCCAGACGACAGTCCATCAATCTCAACTTACTGTCAACAATAACTGCTTTTGAAAGATTGGATTTTTGTGTTCATGGAGACGAGGAAAACATTATATAGTAACAAGTTAGGCGTCAGTTGTATTGTCATATGTAATTGCTGCTAGACATTTCACCCTTAGAATAGGCATCCTCAGTGGCTCGACTGACCCTCCACTGAGGATGATCCTTCTAAGGGTGACGACGCAGATGGTGCCGAAAACAACTATAATTTAACTTAACTATAGACACTAGCCACCAAAGCCTTCGTATGAAGATGATAATAACTAGTTGAATAAATTAATTGCTCCAAATACAGGGTGTTTACAAAAGAATGTTGATATTGGAAATGGTAATTGCTTGGGTCAAGTTAACTAAAAGTTGTATACGTCAAATTGAAGCTAAAATAAATAAGTTTTGTTTCCCATGTAGCGAAGGAAGAAACTTTGACCTTGGCATGCGCAAAACAGGTGCGCGGTGGTAGGCCGCCGTTTAAACTCAAACGCCAGTCGCCAGTACGATGTTTACGGCGCAACAGAAGGCACAGAGTGTAATCTGTAGTTCGCAGAGGTCAGATTGATTGTTAAATTAAACTAAATTTAAATCTACTTGATGATAAAAAATTTGACGCTGGTTTAGTGAGTTTTGTGGCACCATTGTTTTGAAAGGATCTTCACCTGGCGGGCTAAAAACAAAGTCGAAGAAATCCGAGAAATCTGCATCAGAAGCCCGAAAAAATCTATTGCCCTATGAACTCTTCAATTGATGAGATACCTTAGTTGACAATGCTGCAATGATGCAAATCTGTAAATTATTAATTTAAGATAGATTTAGTTGACACCATTCAATGTACAACACTGTACTTTATGAATAAAGCATATTTGATTTGATTTGATTTGACACTGCATGATGTTATCCGTAAAAGATTGAGTCTTTGTGCCTACAAAATTTGGTTGAGACATCAGACAAACCCGCCGATTGCAAGCGTACAGACTTTGCCAGTTTTAAGCTCATAGATCATTGATAAAAATCTGAATTTTATTAAATTGTTCCGAATTTTATCAAAGAGAATACTTTGTTCTTTTCCCTTCAAATTGACGTATAAATTGTTTATTTATCTTTAATAGTCCCTGAGCAAAGGCCCGGGTAAACTTTGTATGATTGTTAATTAAGCTCAAAAGGGTAAGCTGTTTAACTAAAAACATTTACCAGTCACACGATCCAGCCATGAGTATGTTAACTTCTGTTGGGTGCCACTGTAGCGTTTGTACTTTCTCTTCAAAATCCTTAAACTGAGTAGCAGCTTTGGCGGTGGCGAGGTCCCATAGAAGAACTGTCCGATCAACTGAACCACTTGCCAAAATATGTCTGTAGACAAATCATACATTTGAACCTCATAAGTATATCTACAGTAAAATTATTTTATATCAATACAAAAATATAGTTAAAATATTAAAATTTCTTAAATTCATAAATGGAAAACAATTAAGAATTTTATTGGTAGTAGCTGGGTCATAAAGTGGTTAGTGTTGTCAGAAGGTTGCCAATTTAAATGGGAGAGAAGAAAGACAATTTCAAGTTTTGTATGTTCCTAGATGATTCCAAACTAATCCCAGGTGTAATTTTAATTGGGATTCCAATGAACTGTCCTAAGTATTATAGAATCAGCTGGTTTTCGTCAGTACTCAATAACAAAGCATTAACAATTATCTCACCATTTCACACTCATAACTTTTTCATGTAACATATGACAACAGTCTAGGTAACCGAATGGTTATAGTCTTCGCCTTTAAATCTGAAGGTCGCTGGTTGGAATCCCAGCGAGATCGTTTCCAGACCCAGGTGCCATTTCTCATTGGGCAGTGAATTAACAATGCTATCTAAAAAAATGGTTGACGATACATAGTAACAAGACTGTTTAAACCGTCCCTTAATATGCCACTGGCGTATAAAACACACATAAAAAACAGAGTCTTAAACTTACGGCATTTTAGTGTTCCATGCGAGGTCCAGTACAGCATCTCGATGTCCGTGATTGCGGTGTCGATCTTTCTTCCTCCTGGAGAAACGACCGAGCTTAACAGTTGGCTCCAGAATGTTCACCAGGTCTAAGTTCCAGATTGTGATTTCCGGGGTCATTCCACCCATTGCAAGATAGTTTCCTGTATGCAGTTGATAGTGTACACAAAACATACTACTTGATATCTGACTACATTATTTTGAAGTTCAATTAGGAGGAATGAAATATCAAATTTTATCTTAAGTATCTGAATACCATAAACAGTCCGGAATTTTGTTTCAAGAGAGATAGTACATATACATTTCATCTTCCTACTTTTTCTTACCACGATTTTTGGCAAAAAGCTGTTTTGTTACGATGTAATCAGTAACAAACTATAATGAACGTTAGTTTAAAAAACAATCAAAAGTTCCCGCCAATCTCAAATGGCTCTTATCAATGTAAATACTGTGACCTTGTTAGTTTAGAACCTACCAAAAACTAAGGTTATTCTTGTTGAAGAAAATATATAATCGGTCTCTTAGGAAAACTATTTCTGTATTGTGGAATCGCCTCCACTAAAATCCACGTGACAAATAAAATTTAATAGTTACAAATTCAATGATAGATCTTGAGTTTAGTATGGGTTATTAAAGAAACAAAAATAAGTAGCTTACCTGATGATGGTGATCCTGGAATATTACTCAGCCATTCTAAGGCCAACGGAACAGTAGGAAGGACTATATCGTGGTGAACGTATAAATCATTGTCTTCCTCGTTGTATACTGCCAAGAAAAATACTTATTTTATATATCTTATGAATAAAAAAATATTTATAAACAGATTAAGGGACGTGTAAATGAAGATTAAGCAAACTAGGCCTATATTCTACTTATAAAATTATAGGTAGATATATGTTGATAAAGATTACAATACAATAAAACTTAACGTTCAAAAAAGGACAATGATGATGAGTTTTAAGTAGCCGAGCAACTGAGTCGCTACAGTTGCTCACTTAGTAGGCCTAATCAGAAAGTTGCTGGTTCTAACCTAGAAGTTAGTAGCTTTTTAAAACATAGAAATGCTTCAGAAAAATCAAGCTGAGCTATTAAATGTAACTTAATGTCATTTAATATGTCGATTTGTCCCAACTCTCTTTTTCCATAACTATTTCCAATATATGAAATCCCCAATAATGGGAAAATTTAAATCTGAACAGTGTTTACAATCCTAAGCTACAAAATCTACGGATTTTGTTTGCAAACTTAAAAAATTCATATTTATTAAACATGAAAACAATTTTCATAAAGGTAGTTTGGAATCTTTATTAATCAGTAAAAGTGACTTTTTAATAAAAAAGTTTAAAATTTTGTAGTCTAATATTAAACGGTTTACCATAAACTTCCAAGACACTTATGTCGCCAGTAACGTGACCAACCGCTATCAAGTTATCGTTTGGTTTGATTTCGTCATCTTCTTTATCTGAGTCATTTTCTTCTCCTTCCTGTTCTTCCGTATCAAGATCTTCATCGTCCAAAGATATCAGTCCTCCGATACCAGCTAAATCTTCAATTTCTAAAAAAAATTTTACTATCTCATTCAAAGTTTTAATTTAAGGTTATTCTATGTCGTCATGATTTAACAAAAGTAGTCTATACTATCAAAATATAATGCTTTTAAACAATATTAAAAACTAAAAACCATCCTTACATTGCCTATTTATTTTTTACTATTGAATCAGGGTTCCTACTAAAACCAGCAATACCATCAACAAGATAAAATACAAAATAAATAAAACAAGCAGGATTTTCCAAAATAAAAATGATTAGGCCTATTGCATCCAAGATTTAGCAGGGTATTTAAAATCGGGATGTTGGACCCTGGCTAAGAATCAGCTGATCTCAGTCGGTAACAAACTGCACAAAAAGCACCTCACTCCATTCTTCATTCATAACTCACTCATATTCAGATTTTTTAAACCAGCACAAGGCCAGTGTTTAATTATATAATGATAAAAGGCAATATTACCATCATCTTTATCGTAATCCTCCATGCCGAACTGGTCTTCATCTGTGTTCTGAGGCACGTCAGTTTTATCCGCATTTTTCACACTCCCAGCAAAACCTCTGTATAAACGTATGCTTAGAATTAACAACCAAGACATGTAAGTCTATAGCGCCTCGTTTTCCTCGTCACAAACAGATGAGAACCTTTTTAGAGAAGGAGTGGGGGACATGACGTCCCTCTTCTCTTGAGGGAACACCTTTACCGTAACGAGACGATATGATTCCAGGAGCGTAATTGATAGCTTCTCAGACTGTTGTTCAGGAGGTCTCCAGTTCAAATATTGCCTTAATCTTATAATTAAAAAGTTATTTTTATAACTAAAAAATTATCAAATAAATAGTTTTTCTTAAATCAACGTGAGGGGCTCTCCCACAATCCCCCACTCCTTCGCAGAAAAGGTTCTCATCAGTTCCGGACGAGGAAAATGAGACGCTAGTTATGTAAGTCTAGATAGTTCTAAAGTTGTTATTATCAAGGTAATAACAACTTGGAATGGCTAAGAAAAAAAAAATAGGCCTACCTCAAGCCTGCTTTACTATTGGGGTAAATTAATAATAAATATTATAAATGTGTGTTAGGATATCAATATAAGTTATCGTTTATCAACTGAGTTAGAAAATTTGCAAAAAGTATTGTAAGAAATGTATTGGTTTCGAGGGTTACTTGATCCTGTATAGGCCTATCCCAGTCCTTCCCCCTTGTACATGTAAGGAACGGCTACTAGGAGGTCAGGAATTGTGGATATTTATAGGCATGCACGGTGAATGCAATGCTCTCTGGTGTGGTTTAATGTCCGCACTAGTGAGTACTACAACCCTCCGCAGTACTATCCTGATAATTAGACCAATTCGTTAATTACAAGGAAAATATGTGGTTCGGATTCCACTAATGTAGGTCCCTTAGTTGCCATTAACTGTATGGGCTATTTAACAGATGTGTCTATAGAACATGTCGGTCTTGGACACTAACAAGACTACAAGTTCACGTTACTCATTCTTCACTCATAATTGGGTTAAAATATGAACATAGTGGCGTCGCCATCTTGAATAATTAATATAATTGATGGGAGCAACAAATAAACATATTTTGCCACAGTCAACGAGCCAAATTCTTTATTAGACTGAATAAGGAATTGATCTTTACCCAAACATACACAGAAAATGTGTGTTTCATCAATGTAGGTAGGTAATAAAACAAAAACTACAAATCTCAAAATTTCTACTGTGTCAAAGGTTACTTTTGTTACATTGTTCGACTGAAAACAAAATAAGGATAATAAGGCTAAACTTTGCAGGCTACTTACAAAATGTCACTTTTTGCTTTATCAACCAGTCCCTTTAATTCATCTTTACTGAGCTGTACCTAAAAGCAAACAAACACCGGTTTAGTTACAACCCTCTTGCAAAAGATAAAATTTGAAAAAAAATCATACTCCTCTTATTATCTTGAAGCAATAGCAATTCGGTGGGGTTTAGCCACAAATCAATATTACAAACAAATTAGAACTAGCCTAGGTAAAAAGATTGATAAAAGAAACCAACTTGCAGTAAGAATAAACTTCAATGATTTATGTTGTCCTTTTTTCAATAGTTCAGTAGTACAGTTTCACAGAGAACTCATGATGAATGAAAATATCGATAGATTAATCGATATATCAAATGAAATAATCGAATAAAAATATCGATTGATATTTTCATTCGGTTGTTTTTGACAACAGATGTGAAAGTTCCCCCCTCCCCCCCGGTATATTGTAGGTTCTATACGGAACAGTACACAATAAACACATCCCTTAACTTGAGAGGATGGATCTACAATCGAGTTTATTTTTTAATTTCTCTCTCAACACCATTTTACAAACAATACATGAATATATAGAGATGTTTTTTTTTATACATCACAAAAGTGCTAATGTAACAATAACTATAACAATAGATAGTATAACATTAGGCTAACAAAGAGATTTGAACGTAATCACAATAATAATAAATAGCAACAATTTTTACTAGATACATGTAACTTAAATGCGAGTGCTTAACCCTTCCATAGAACGGGAAAAAATTATAGGAAAAAATATAATATATATACTCTTATTTGTCTTTTGTTATACAAGTATACATAAAATAAACACAGTGGAACACTTCATACCATCAAAATAATCCCGTCCTTTAATCGCCAAAGACTTAGGCGGATATATCCGTCACCCTTCCGGGAAGGGTTAAGTTACAAACAATCCCAGGTAATATCGAGAATGAAGAACAAAAGAACTAAGAAAAGGTGTGATTGATAGGGAACCTGTTGATGATAGGCCTAGTGGCCTAGTGCCTGACTCTGACTACATTGACAATCCATAAACAGCTAATGACAGGGATACAAAATAACAGCAGAACTACAACAAAAGGGCAATATTTAAATTTACAAAATTACTGTTGCTAATTACTAACTGGAGACAAAATTAGGCTAGTATAGAGAAATTGAGATTTCAAGCAAATGCTTGTATGCTTACCACTTCAGGTTTTGCTTTTGCAACTCCACGTTTAATCCATTTGGAACAAGGAATAAAATTGTGTTCCATTTCCCCTTATAAAAAGAGATAAGTTTAACAATGGTTTAACACACTTTTAGTTTTCAACCAATGTAGAATGAAAGAGGTTAGAATTTGAACGGTGCAGACGACTTTTAGGTTAATGTTTATTTACAATTTTATTACCATACCATGTGCCATGTGATTGTCAGGGCAGCCAACTCACTTGCAATTTGTTACCAATGTATTGTATGTTGTACTGTTCTTGATGAATAGTTTGACTATTAATAGTGGGTAGGGTGTCATACCGGGATAGCGGAATTTAACCTCCTAACGTCACAAACAAGGGGGTAAAATTCCGGCCGCGAACTTTTGAGCTACACAGCATCAGTCCAATAAATTAAAGGCAGAATTAAACGTATATTTTCACGGTTGTGAATTTAATCAGAACACATGTCAAATTATAAAACCTAGAGTGTATGGACCAGAAATTTATCCCCGGAATTTTTCCCTATTCATGAGGTCAGCTCAAAATGTACAGCCCGGATTTTTACCCCCGGAATTTTACCCCCGGTCAGATATAGAAATTAGTAAGAATAATTAATTCTTACTTAAACCACGGCCGCCTTAATCAAAACTGATATAAGAAAATTAATTATTCTCACAAAATCTTCTATATCTGCATAGGAGGTAAAATTCCGGGGGTAAAAATCCGGGGTAAAAATCTGTGGGGTAAAATCCAGGCCGTACACCTATATGTTGCCTGAACCATAGATAAAACATACTCCCCTGAACGTAGTTATATGGACAGTGGGTAAAATTACTTAAATTCTGGTTTTTCTACTAATCTAATTTTTTCACGCTAAATTTTCATTAAACTCCCAAATCTGCGGGGGTGAAATTCCGCCAACGAACAAACTTGAGAGTAATAATGTTGAGATTGTAGCACAACGGATTGAGTTATCAAATAATTAAATAACTTACGTCATCAATCCATAAATTGCTGTGGAGTACGCGTTTCAACCATCAGGTCACCCTCAGTGCTCAGGTAACTACGTCATAGTGTCGTCAGCTTTGCCCAGGGGGTGAAATTCTAGAGGGATAAAATTCCGGCAACCCGTCATACTATACTTTATAGTGGCATAGTTTATAATTTAGAATTTGATCCATTAACTCTTGAAAATGCTGCATAGCATATATGGGAAAATTTAAATGGTTACATAACTTAAAGTCGTATAAATGTGGCATAGCTTATAACGGGTTTTGTTAAAATGTGGCATAGCTTATATTAGTATAGCTCAACTGCTTAAATGTGCTGCAGCTTATAAAATCACGTTTGTTACATACTCCAAAAACATGACTTAAGCTTATAATAATGCACGGGAATTATGTCATTGTGGGTGGGACAGCTAACTGATCCTTAGTCTTGTTATACAAACAAATTATCGTATTTATAATGGTTTAAATACCTGCATTCAGTAATCCAAATTCCAAATTGCTGCTTGTGGCAACTATCGTTTCAGTTCACAGGGAACCATCTTCAGGCCGTACAAGGCGTCGTTACTCACCTTAGTATATGAAGGTCATCATTTAATAACTATACATAGAACACACACGAAAACGCACATTGATAGACGAACATTTAACATTAAAAAAGCCGAGTACTTGGGGACACGAGACAGGTGACGTGACCGGGTGGAAGTTGCAGCTCGAACTATTTTTTCCATCCGTTCAAATTCACATATATCTCTCGGACAAAGAAAATATCCTTCCGAGGGGGGTTCGTATTATTTCGTATTTCTTATTCCTACCTAATTAATCGCTGCAATGAGTTATGTAGGCTATGACTCGTAAGACACCCATAAGAGGAGGCCTCTTATGAATGTATGTTCATAATAGCATTTTCTTTTTAACGTGTGCTTACTCGAGAGTCAGTACACTTAATTTTCATTTAAAATTTACTTAAGCGTAACCATATACGAAACAAAAATCAAATCATGTAGTGATATTTCTTTCACAAATTATGCTATCAAAATACTATACTCAATGATCATACGTTTCATACCAGAGACTTATTTTTCTTGAGGACTGTCGCTTTGCTTCTGTCGATTTGTCCGTTGTCGTTGTCACGTCGTCCGTTGTTCGTGCTTGTCCGTGCTTGTCCTTAACCGTCGTGAAGTTAGCGGCTCTTTTCATCGGCGCTTTTTCGGTTTGTAATAGATGTGGGTTGGTACGCCTGCGGACGCCACAAACGTGTTTTGCAGGGATGTCGGAAACACAAATCAATGAAAATACGATGCTAAATGATGTTTATATATTTATATAATGTCAATAATACATTGATAAAACGTGTATACAAGTTAAAACTAATTAATTGACGTATTTTAAAAGGCATATTTGAGACCGTACTGTACATTATACGTAGCTAAGGCTTAACATAACGCGAACAATTAAAACTCCGAACATAAAAAGTGCATAATCTTTTTTCCCAAGCCCATCACATCAACTTTGAGCAATTCTAATGGTAATACACAATGTGTAGAATACTCAGTATACATATGATTGCGGCAGTCCAGTGAATTACGAAGTTATATGGCAAAATGTATATGGTTGATAGGAACTCGCATCAGGAAAAGTGCACAATCTTTTTCCTAAGCCCATCACATCAACTTTGAGGTATTCTAATGGTAGTGTACAATATGTAGAATACTCAGTATAAATATGATCGAGGCAGTCCAGTAAATTACGAAGTTATATGGCAAAATGTATATGGTTGATAGGAACTCGCATCAGGAAAAGTGCACATTCTTTTTCCTGAGCCCATCACATCAACTTTGAGGTATTCTAATGGTAATATACAATGTGTAGAATACTCAGTATAATTATGATTGCGGCAGTCCAGTGAATTACGAAGTTATATGGCAAAATGTATATGGTTGATAGGAACTCGCATCAGGAAAAGTGCACAATCTTTTTCCTAAGCCCATCACATCAACTTTGATGTATTCTAATGCTAATATACAATGTATAGAATAATCAGTATGAGTATGATTGCGGCAGTCCAGTGAATTACGAAGCTATAAGGCAAAATCTATATGGTCGATAGGAATTTGCGTCAGGAAAAGTGCACAATCTTTTTCCTAAGCCCATCACATCAATTTTGAGGTATTCTAATGGTAATATACAATGTTTAGAATAATCAGTATGAGTATGATTGCGGCAGTCCAGTGAATTACGAAGTAATATGGCAAAATGTATATGGTTGATAGGAACTCGCATCAGGAAAAGTGCACAATCTTTTTCCTGAGCCCATCACATCAACTTTGAGGTATTCTAATGCTAATATACAATGTGTAGAATACTCAGTATAATTATGATTGCGGCAGTCCAGTGAATTACGAAGTTATATGGCAAAATGTATATGGTTGATAGGAACTCGCATCAGGAAAAGTGCACAATCTTTTTCCTAAGCCCATCACATCAACTTTGATGTATTCTAATGCTAATATACAATGTATAGAATAATCAGTATGAGTATGATTGCGGCAGTCCAGTGAATTACGAAGCTATAAGGCAAAATCTATATGGTCGATAGGAATTTGCGTCAGGAAAAGTGCACAATCTTTTTCCTAAGCCCATCACATCAATTTTGAGGTATTCTAATGGTAATATACAATGTTTAGAATAATCAGTATGAGTATGATTGCGGCAGTCCAGTGAATTACGAAGTAATATGGCAAAATGTATATGGTTGATAGGAACTCGCATCAGGAAAAGTGCACAATCTTTTTCCTAAGCCCATCACATCAACTTTGAGGTATTCTAATGCTAATATACAATGTATAGAATAATCAGTATAAATATGATTGAGGCAGACCAGTGATTTACGAAGCTATAAGGCAAAGTGTATATGGTTGATAGGAACTCGCATCAGGAAAAGTGCACAATCTTTTTCCTAAGCCCATCACATCAACTTTGAGGTATTCTAATGGTAATATACAATGTGTAGAATAATCAGTATGAGTATGATTGCGGCAGTCCAGTGAATTACAAAACTATAAGGCAAAATCTATATGGTTGATAGGAATTTGCGTCAGGAAAAGTGCACAATCTTTTTCCTAAGCCCATCACATCAACTTTGAGGTATTCTAATGGTAATATACAATGTGTAGAATAATCAGTATGAGCATGATTGCGGCAGTCCAGTAAATTACGAAGTTATATGGCGAAATGTATATGGTTGATAGGAACTCGCATCAGGAAAAGTGCACAATCTTTTTCCTAAGCCCATCACATCAACTTTGAGGTATTCTAATGGTAATATACAATGTGTACAATAATCAGTATGAGTATAATTGCGGCAGTCCAGTAAATTACGAAGTTATATGGCAAAATGTATATGGTTGATAGGAACTCGCATCAGGAAAAGTGCACAATCTTTTTCCTGAGCCCATCACATTAACTTTGAGGTATTATAATGGTAATATACAATGTGTAGAATAATCAGTATGAGTATGATTGCGGCAGTCCAGTAAATTACGAAGTTATATGGCAAAATGTATATGGTTGATAGGAACTCGCATCAGGAAAAGTGCACAATCTTTTTCCTGAGCCCATCACATCAACTTTGAGTTTTTCTAATGGTAATATACAATGTGTAGAATAATCAGGGTAAATATGATTGCGGCAGTCCAGTGAATTACGAAGCTATAAGGCAAAATCTATATGGTTTATAGGAATTTGCGTCAGGAAAAGTTTCGGTTTGTAATAGATGTGGGTTGGTACGCCTGCGGACGCTACAAACGTGTTTTGCAGGGATGTCGGAAACACAAATCAATGACAATACGATGCGAAATGATGTTTTTATATTTATATAATGTCAATTATACATTGATAAAACGTGTATACAAGTTAAAACTAATTAATTAACGTATTTTAAAAGGCATATTTGAGACCGTACTGTACATTATACGTAGCTTAGGCTTAACATAACGCGATCAATTAAAACTCCGAACATAAAAAGTGCATAATCTTTTTTCCCAAGCCCATCACATCAACTTTGAGCTATTCTAATGGTAATATACAATGTTTAGAATAATCAGTATGAGTATTATTGCGGCAGTCCAGTAAATTACGAAGTTATATGGCAAAAT